CTTGTGGTGATTTTGGTGATCGTAACGGTTGATCTTCTATTCGTTGTTGTGGTGGTTTATGTCCTGGTTCTTGTTGTTCTGGTTCTTCTTCTTGTGGTGATTTATGTCGTAGTTGTTGTTGTTGTGGTGGTTCTTCTTGTGGTGATTTATGTCGTAGTTGTTGTTGTTGTGGTGGTTCTCCTTCTTTTAGTGGTTTATATCGTGATTGTTGTTGTAGTGGTTCCTCTTCTTGTAGTGGTTTACGACGTGGTGGTTGTGGTAATTCATCTTGTCGCGCTGGTTCTTCTTCTTGTACTTGTTTTTGTCGCGGTTGTTGTTTTTGTGGTGATGGTGGTGGTTTTTGTTGTTCTGATTCTTGTACTGGCTGTTGTGACAGTTGTTCTTCTTGTGGTGGTTGTTGTAACTGTTGTTGTTCACAATGTTCCTTTGGTTGTTGTTGTGGTGGCTGTCGTTGTGGTGGTTGTCGTAATTGTTCATCTTGTGGTGGTGGTTGTTCATCTTGTAGTGGTGGTTGTTCATCTTGTGGTGGTGCTTGCTCATCTTGTGGTCTTGGGTGTTCATCTTGTGGTGGTGGTTGTTCTTCTTGTGGTGGTGGTTGTTCTTCTTGTGGTGGTGATTGTTCTTCTTGTGGTGGTGGTTGTTCTTCTCGTGGTGGCGGTTGTTCTTCTTGTGGTGGTGGCTGTTCTTCAACAACCGCTACAACAAGAACTAGAACAACAGCCACCACAACAACAAGAACAACAGCCGCCATTACAACAACAACAATGCATTGTTCACAATCAAAATAACTTCTCATCTGACGATTGCTCAACAGTTTCTATCATCACAATCACTGGGTGTAGCGACGATGGACACCACAACGACAAACAAGGCAAAGGGATAGCGAGCTCTGTGGGCTTAGATACAACTTCAGGTCTACCTAGCCCACCCCACACATCGAGCAAAGAGGAGCGACTAACAACCACTGCTATGTTGGTGGCTGCGGCATCAACTCAGGAAGAGCCGGATACTTCGGCACGGCCTGCATCTTTCCTCAGTGGCGGTGGCCTAGCACCTCCACCATTACCACCTCGATGTCGTGCCCAAGCTGCTGGGGGCTTCTCGAACCGCCGTCGACGACGAGCATTAAGCTGCCGTGATCTGTTGATCGCAGTTGAACAACGAAAGAAGGCTGGACAGGCAGCGAATGGCTCACCGTGCTGTCTGCAGGAAACTCAAAGAGAGCTGCAGTCGAATGGAGAAACCTGCGGAGCACTGCATGGAGACAGCAACGGCTGCGTCTGTAAGCTACAGCCGATGCTACCTTGTCAGAAATGCGGTGCCTTCTGGCATTCGGACTGTATCGGCCCGTCTAGGATTTGCTCAACGTGCTTGCTTGTTTGATACCGGCGACTATACCGACGCTATAATGAATCGATTTCATCTGAGTTGCCGTGCCCTCTAATCGTGACTAGATTCTTGGGACTGAAGAAAACCGCCTTGACGGTCACCACAGACTCACACCCAGTCCAATTCTTTCAAAAGGTCCATACGTAAACTTCTTACCGAAAAAGTAACAGAAAAATATCGAGAAAGAGAGAGAGAAAAAGAATGCTTCTCCCACCTTCACAAAAAAATACAGAAGTACGGCATTATGCATACATAAACACAAACACACACATGTATTCATGTTATGATACCTTGTACATAGCTTTTTTATAGCACCGTACATGCGAGGAACACAATGATAGACAAATCTATATATAAAAGCGTGCATTAACACACGTAAAGGTGCCCTTAATTGCCTAGGGCATGATCATCTTCTTTGACAGACGGATATTGGGACCGATCATCCCGTTCCAACTGTTGTGGATGATGGCGCATTATTTATTGTTGTTCGGTCGGCCAAAACACATAGTGAACAGTCACTCGCGTGACGGTTGTCGATTCCCATATGCCTGAATATGTACGTCGCATCGTAAGATAATAATGTACCAGCACAAAATGTCTCGTTTACTCTATTGGTCGCGGTCTTCGAGGCAGGAACAGCAGTGCATACGAAAGTTAAGTCGACCTAACCCTGGGACACGTGGTCGTTTTGTGGCAGAGATAAAAATGCCGCCTGCTATGTGTCGCTATAATACAACCTAACAAGACTGAAATTCATAATAGTTCATTAATAAACGATAATATGTGGGCAAGTTGTGGTATCGATGCATATGATCCGCATCCAAATTAGAAAAACAGACAAATGAGATGTAGCTGTACTGCTGGTGTTTAACGTGACGAATATTTATTGACAACTGCTAGACTGTAACATACCACAGATTGTTGAAAAAATTTGAAAAAATAAAGATGGAGGTTGCCTTATTAATTTAACTATGACTAGCAAAGGGATATGACGAAGTATAAATTAACGGTTATTGCCAGCAATGGGCGTGCATAACTTGGTGACGACATCAAACAGGATTATTGACAATATCCATGACTGATACGTTCGTTATGCTACCTAGAAGACCAGTTTTCAGTGGTTTTAATGTGAAACTATACTTCGATCAATTTATTATTGTTTTTATTGCCGCTCAATGGCTAAAAGTGTCTGGGTTTCTGTCAGACCGTATGAAACGACGTAAAGGGTATTAATATCTTAATGTAAATGCAAGGGGCTTTGTTCTCATGCTAATAATGTAGTCCAAAATATAAATCATCGTCGAAAATGCATGTACCCGTTATTTTCGTATCTGGATCATCAGTAGTTGTCGATGACTCTTTAAATGCAAGAATAGAACTAAGTGTCAGAATGACTAACTCGCGCAGACATGTCGTAAACGTTGCTTTGTTTCATTTTCTCTGATGGTGGCATTCTAATTATTTATTGAATTTTGAACTTTGTGTGTACTTTTCGGTATCTGGTTTCTAAACCGAGGCGACGATTAAGTGAAGATTTGTTTAAATAAGAACGGCAGAGTACTAGCTCGATTTAAAAAGAAATTGCCAAAAAAAATAAGCTCATGCTGTCGTCTCTGTTTAATCAGATCTGGTTAATCAATAGTACCATCAACTAGCACCGATTCGTCAGAAACGATCACAATAGGTATTAGGAGGAAAATGAGGAGCATAGTTATATTTAAGTAAAAAGTGCTTGTTACCTTTGGCTGTACTCGAACCAAAGGTTTTACACCTCTATAGGCAACCTTCTTTGGACAGTAATAATAATGATAATAATAACGGTAGTATTCGTATGAAAAAAGAAGCCTACATTTTCTTCATAAAAAGACTACGCGTGTAGTGATCATCTCTCCAAGGGGAATCGTATATGCAACAATCTACACTCGAAAGCTGTAGTACTGGCAACATTATTTGCAACGTAAGTAAAAACGCCGAGGTTCAATGGTGGTGGGGTCATTAGAAATCAACAAAGCCTTCTTTATTGTCGGTGAAAAATAGTATACTCAAATTCATTAACATAACCATCGTCATCACAAAATATGCAACAACCTGCACATCTGTCTCGAATAGCTCTTAGACTGCATGTGAGCCTATTATTTGTGCACCAAAGTAGGAGAAAATTAATTTTCAGGCAAAGGGGCCTGTGTAGAACTATCGTACATCAACGCAGGGTATGCAGCTTGCTAACAAAAAAAGCACCACAAATGACAATTTCTGTGGACTGAGTAAGGACACCGAGCGTTCACCGTGAAGGCGAGCCTGTTGCACCTGTCTTTGACCTTCAAACTCGGAACTATTATATTATCAAGGACTTATTGATGAAAACGATCATAACCAACGTGAGGCAGACTTGCAAAATGTTGGAGATAAGATGAAAACTCTAGTAAGCGACGCCTGATAAACTAGAACAAAAACAAAGAATTCGAGGCAGATAAACGTATTTGTGAGTGTATGTGTATGTGTGTGTACAAGACGATTTACAAATTATACGATTCAACAAATGCTACACTATGTAAGCGCAGGCGACAATACGACAATACGTGTGCATGAATGAACAGATAATGCTGATGTATGTTGGTGCGAACTGAATATAAATATATAAATAAATATTAAAGAGATAAGTTTAAGTATAAAATAATTCACAATAAAGGTGACAGATAGGCGACGATACCCTTGATGATACTGAGAAGGTAATGATATAGGATTAATAAATGCGAAAACTACGACGAGGTATAAATATGTAATAATAATAGAACCATGACAGAACACAAATGAGTAAGTGGGAAATGAAAGGAAAAATAGTTGAGTGAAAGACAAACAACCCAACGAAAAATGTTACTTGACACAGAGTCTAAAGAAAGAGCGATGTGCGGGAAAAATTCTGGAAAAATAAAATATTTATCTTGAGTTAATCGTAAGTTATGTGTCTTGATTGAATAGGTGAAAATAGGTTTAAGAGCCAGAGATGTGCGGCGCTTCAGTGTCCTTGTATGAAGCCATCCAAGAAAAATTTTTAAATTACTTAGATTAGTGTGAAGCAAAGTCCTTGCCACGACATCGGATGAGTATAGCTAAGTACTTGTCGAGATATATTATCTCGGTAATAAACCGAGTTGAATACCAGAGGACGTAATGTAAATTCGGCTAGTTTAGTTGAGAAGACTTTAGTTAATATAAATGAGAACCGCATAGGTTGAGAAGCCCAAATATTGGTTCCTGTAAATGATTTCGATGTTCTTATGAGAACCAGCGATGATACTTGACTACTTTCCTCTAGGCATAACATCGTAAACTAAATTGTAAACTAAAATAATTTCGACTGTAAATATAATACGCATAGCTAACCAGATCAGTGACATACCTTGCAACCGTTTGTTTTATAAAAATTCAATAGTGTATGTCACCCAAGTGAGAAACCTACTGATTAGGTAAACTCGGTTAGCATGATAGGCTCAGGGAAAATAGAAAGGACTTCAAACACTGGATGGATTCGATGAAACCACACACCCTCCTGGACAGTAATTCTGCAACAGGTTTTCTTAAGTCATGAATGTATACAAAGACAGTCTGCTATAGGGAAGAAAAATACATAATAAACTTTTCCGGTGGCCCTACCGCTTTTAGGGCATGATCAATGCAACTCGTCACGACAGGACACAAGCTTCGGGTACCAGTATTACAGGAAACTAAATTGCGACAGCTATTAAAAATTTCAAGTGCGCTAACTCGCACATGACGTTCGTACTGATTCGTGTTATTTTTTAGGTTAGCTAGTAAAATCTGACATGACTTTGGAATAGCGCTTAACGACTGTACCAGGCGTAAAAGGTCTATACATTTATTTAGTAAAATCTGTTGCGATATATACTATTTTGATACCCGAAGTGCTGCGCCAACGTTGTCCGCATCGAAAGCACCGAAGAAGGGGCATCCAGAATAAGCTGTATATTCATTTGTACATATGTCAAGTAAATTTCCTCTGATTGTGTAATATTCACATGTCCTTTACTACCCATACTGGGTGCGCTAAAACTATGTAAATCAAGGTTGACGTGATCGTAAAAAATAACGTTTTAATATAAACCTTATCATTATTACTCTGTGAAAACGACAACACTATCATGAGATTACGTCGATTTCTTGAGATCAAAAATTATAGAAATGTCATCCATAAAGTCAAATGAACACTTTATTTTGATTATGAATCAATACAGACGAAGTTCCGACTGGGTGAAATTGGTTCAGATGCCCCACTATCTTCCTAGGCCTAAATATTTGGTTTGGCGCGCAGAACTTGACAGCCGAGGCGCATCTCAATTGGCTGATCGTTTTTCTAGAATAATTCGCTTCTCTAATAGATACAGAATATTGAAATGAGTATCGCAAGTGCATAAATATAAAGATATACATCTTAAAATATTTACCGTAGGTATTTGAAAATTGCTTTTGAAACGATCAAGTATAATTGGCTACAAATAGGCTAGATTACAAACAAACTGATCATGTATACTATCAAGGAAGATCTACTTTATTTTGCCTTTCAAGGTTTTAGGCAAAATTTTTAAACATGTTCATCGACCATCTTCGGCAGGTTTGTCTGCCTACGGAAATTTAGCCGCCCAATGGGCTGGCGTTCGTGTAAAATTTGCAAGCTAGTACTACGACCCAGAGCGAATACCAGTGTCGGTCTCATATAGTTTACATACGGAAATACACTAAATTCGGAATAAAAAATTTATTTGGGAAAAAGGCACAACCTACTTTTCACATACATCCTTTGTTTATTAATACGACTGCTCACGTAAGCATATTGCTTCACACGCAAGCTATCAATGCCACCCACAAATCCCTTGATAATCAACTTTTTTAATACAAAGACCGGTGAAATTTAATCAGATTTCTATTTACAGAGTATGTACAATAGATTTAATATTTTGGCAACATACCTCTGTAGATATTTGTATATGCATGTAGTTGCAGAACGGATCTAACTTGCTTTCGTTAATAATAATAATAATAATTAAATACTGTCTGCCCAGTGAAGCTTACTGAAAATTTCAGCTTGAACTATTATTCTTCACAATTCACAAACGCACCCTCTTTCTTCGGAAGGATCTACCTCACCATTTCTAGCTTAGGTCAACATTTTGTCTCTCTACATATAGGCTATTAGATTATGGTAGCTTTTTACAAAGATATATCCATGTATTCACTTTCATTATTCCTTAGGTTTTTGTCAAATATATGTTGAATCGTTGAGCTCTTACTACTTTACATTCTTCTCATTCTAAATTCTACATTCTGCTTCTGGGCCATTTTTATATGCCCTCGTCGAGTTTCGTGTTTCGCCCCTATCATTCCGACTTCACCCACTTAGGTTTGCAGTATTTATGAAAATTATCGCTATGTCCGCGACATTAACATTTTATAATTTGTGCAGCTGGACATTATTAATATTCATACAGTTAAATAATGTCGAAACAATCTCACTCACTGTATGGACGATTTACTTTGTCTATATGATGCACTTCAAAATCCGCGTCCCCTATATATTATACACCCATCTCATTAGCTTAAAAGCAATCTGTTACTAAAGAAAACAGAGTAGCTCCATCTTCTTCTCGGTAACCCATATTAACTGATCGAGTTGGGGTTGTTTAAAATAAATTAGCTTCGGTAAAACAACTCGAATAACTTTTTGACAGTTCTATAAGTATGCTAAGCAATATCTAGTTATGAATTAAATACAATTACCCATTTAGATCTGTGGCAGCAAACTTACTGGATAGAAGATTGATGGGTGTTATCCGCGGTTAAAATTATACTGTGAGGCTTTGTAGCCATAAACTGTTAGTTTTTCCACATTCAACCACTACTTGAAGTTATTCAGAATCCTACGCGGTCTAAACTGATTATATGTATACAAGATTGACAAATTATTATCACTACTCGAAGTTTTTTTTGTGGCACAGTTAACAGTTAACAATATTTAAGATGAGTCAATCAATTTATCGCGTTGTTGCATCGTCGTTACTCAGGTTTTTGCTCGCGCCACTGCCGCTATTCTGACGGCATTTGCCTAAAACGTATTGTCATGAGAACGAAAACAACAAGTAAGTGGGGTTTATTGGTAGATTGCCTAAATCGCCTATACTCTCTTTTAATAATGAGGTGACAACTAGTTTTATCCATGGCCAATACAATGGGAAGAAATCGGCGAAAATCAGCACCACTCCGGCTCGGGCAAATTGTCCATGCTGTTCTTTTTGTTGCTATACGACTTTTGGCGCCAAACACATTCTTGGCTATACTGATGATTTAAAGCGAATTGTCGTCCACGTGGTGAGCTGCATTGAACTGTGGTGGCACAGCTATGCCTGCGAGCGCCTTCGCCACGCTTCTCTAACGGAGTGGAAGGACCTTCCGTAAGCGAAACGAAGCTGACGAGGCTCATCAGCGGATGCTCTACCAACCCCTGGCCAGTGGTCTCATGCCCATTGGTTTGGCTATTACCACTGATGCTTTTGATTGCATTTAATGATAACGACGCCACGCTTTGCGAAGCGGGTCTGGTCCTCTGCTACAACACTGTTGTTTCCGTACAGTTGCCAGTACCGCCGCTGTTTGACGTAGCTATGGGGGCACTAGCAGCTGCGGCCGATGCAACACTTGCAGACCCTATGGAAACGCCTGAGATGCTGCATGGAGGTGACGTGGTCGTCGTGGTTATCATCGTTGTCGTGACTCCTGTTGAAGCTGTTGTGGCGGATGCGGGTGCTGTTACTGTAGTCACAGTCGCTGTGACGGTTACAGGTGTAACAGGCAAGGTATGATGAGGGGCCGAAGCAGGGGCTGGAACCAACTGTCCGGTTTGCGGATCCCACGTTCCGAAGACGGTGCTTCGGGAACCGGCACTTTCGCCGATCACAAATGGCGTTTCACCGAATGGCCTCATAGAGACCACGGTGACGTTTGTTGGACCTGCACAAGGAATAAATGGTAAAATGAAGAATACGCGCATAAGCATTAGTGACCTATTTGAGTCGTTCGGCGTACCACGTAAATTTCTTTTTGTCTTAAGGAAGCCGCAATAGGCCATAATTTGTTAGAAGACCTCAGAAGCAATCAATACAAGTTCAAGCCCGTAACCTTCATAAAGACAGCAGCATAACTAGTATAGTTTCGGTTGTACTAACCCGGTTTAGTGAGCGATGACAAGGTAAGGTTACCGAGCGAGGTTCGAACGTACGATGCAGAATTCGTGCCAAGACTGCTGGCACCTGCGCCCACTAGAGCAGTGCTTGTTCCAATAGTTGATGATGAGACTGACGCGGTGCGACCTCCACCACCACTTAAAGCCAGACCTGACAACGCAGCCGATGCGCATCCTAAATCTGGTGGATTTGTTAGATGAGACCCTGATGAATGACTGCGGCGCGGAGGTACATTTATTTGGGAGTTACCAACCTGTCCCCCAGCAGCCCCCAATGCAGGACCGCCAACAGCGGACATTGAAACGCCTCCTACGCAGCTTGGGTCCACTATAAAATCAAAGGAATGAAAAAAAGTTTTGTATCAACCAGAGATAAGAGGTGAAATTAATACAAAGTTGGCTGTATGACTGATGCAAGAGACACCCACCTCCTCTAGCAATACTTCCACTTAGGGACGCAGGGGCGGAATAGCCTCCGGGACAACCTTCATCCTGTCGCCCAGTGCCTCCGCTCGAGCAGCCTTCCCCACAACGAATCTTCAATCGAGAGAAAAAGTCGCACACGGACTGCCGGAATAAAGACAGAGATAACGCACCTCCAATTAACTGACACAGCTGGGTGGAGGTTTCAGCAAACGACGTTGTCAAAGGCGATACATAAATAGGATAGCCTGTAAGCAACCGCGGAACGTCATTACAGAATATTGGTAATTACCAACTATACTTCAAATACTTCTACAGGCAAAAATAATCCAGTACACGGTGAGCATTGTTTCAGAAGCTTAGGTAGTTTTTAATAAAAAAAAAAATAATACTTTAGAAAAATGCAAGACAAACAAATTGAATGAAAGAATGGCAATATAAGGTGTTTCGCTCAAAAAACAGCTTTAGCTACTGACCGATCGGCTGGTCGCATGATGAATTTATGATGTTTCTTAATGCCTGTTTAGCGTTCTGAATCGAACCTCGTTCAGGGTTACGATTACGCAAGTAGACCAATTCTTGTTGCTGGCCCGCCCAAAGGCCTCGGACGCATTCACGATTTACCTACATTGTACCATTATAGAGCGAAACGTTAGGATTGGTTTATTAGTGAATCCGGTAGTGGCCCTATAGTTTTGCAAGTACGTCAATAACGTTACATTACTTGTGCGAGCTGTATTCATAATAATCCCCATAATTCGATGGGCAAGAGGCTTTTAGAAGGAAATTAATAGAACAAATTTTCGGGTCGATGCAAAAAACCTTATCGAATCTATTTGGAACAAGTAAAATTTACTTTTAAACAACGTTAGTGTGTACGAAATACACCTGTTAAATCATATCGAAGGCTATAAAGTGTCCTTAGTACGATAATTCCCAACCGATATAGTAAACAACGTATAGAGAGAATTCGTAATAAATTAGGATACATTGTTTACCCGTTGCTCAAAAAGGCTAATTTTTTCTAGAGCATGCGTTCACCATGCACAAGCCAAAAGGTTAATTTTTGAAGTATCAACAAGGACAAGATATTGCCCAACATCTTTGCACCGGTAGAACCCTCAACAAAATTCAGAATCTCTTTGACTACTCGAAAGCGACAACTTGCCGCATTTTTTTATTATATAACTGAATTTGCCTCCACTGAATAGACAGAAGCAGGTTTAAATATATCAGAATGCAAAAAAACATGAAGAAAAATCAACTTGGAAGCATCACAACTAGAACTGCAGAATGTACAAAGATGTATCGTCATACAAAAAAAGTATGACGACCCAAATATTTTGACAATCACTTAGGGTTTTAAATCTAGCATAGTGCTGTATGCAACGTCTCAACTGCCTACGAAGATCTTATATACAAATTTTATGCTGTCTGAGGACAATAAAGTCAGGAGACCTAACGGTATCATTTGCTGGGGAGATCTACCAAACGTGGAATAAAGAATTATCTTCGATCTTTCAGAGAGTAAAAACTATTTACCATGGATCAAAAAGTCAATCGCAGATACAATCAGCGCTGTTCTATATCATGATCTAAGGAAAATTTTCCTTATAGATGTAACCAAATGTAGTTTTTAGCCGGTGTCCATGTCCCAATTATTCCGACCAAAGAAGTAGATATTAGGCGTCCTCCTTCATAGAAACCTATCCGTTACCAAAGATGTTTGCTTGGGTATTTTGAAGCTATAATGAAACCGAGAATAGCTTCTGTTTTGAATAGTAGACTATACGCTTTTCAGCAAAACAGAGCATCCGCTCATAGAAAAAGATTAGTAAAACAAATTGCATGTTAACATGTTCTGGAACAAACGGCCACCTTGCACTATGAACTGAAGTATGTTGGATTACTCTGTACCAGCTCAAACTGAAAAATCTTCGAAGCAAATCGTTGCTATATCGAACAGACAAGTCCGTTAGGCATGTATCCCTTGGCGCACGTCAAGATATATCTAAGTATCTGTAAATACAGTTTTTAACGAGCGCCATCTGTTCTGTTTCCCAAACGTTTTATATAGTTATTTAGGCATTTCTTCCAACACAGCCTTCCCGCACAAACTACTTTAATTCTAGAAATACAAACTATACCTGAATTTACGTACCGAAAGTATCAAACCCTCACCTTGATGACTCTGAAGTCAAGGAATCGTTTGTTCAGTGTAATAATCTTGTAGTCATCTGAATTCTCATCGGCCACGTGCCTTAAAGCAAGAAGTGACTGAACGCTCGACAGAACCGCGTTTCGCCAGGCAGGATCTGCTTCGTGCGATATTACTAATGTTGCTGTGTACTTTTCGATAGCGTCGAAAAGATCTTTTGACTTTTCAAGTCCCTCGGAAGACATAAAATGATCTTGATGAAGTTTGAATGCCATCCGTACAGCCGGAGCAACGACCTGTCGGACAAGGATAATGAGGGAGAATACGACGTTAAATGTCCACTGCCGTGGTAATCTTTGTAGTTTTGTGGTCTGTTATCTTAGATTTTATCAAGTTGAGTATACGTCAAACATTATTATAAACAAATATTAGCTTAGCAACAGACCTTGTTGATGAGATCCATGTCATGAAAGACCCATTCATCTCGTACGCAGGCGATGCGGATATCTCCCTTGAAAAGAGCGTGCAGTCCGAACAGCAGATAATCGACAGACTGAAGGGTGTTATGTGAGGCGGAGCCAAGGGCACGTCGGGCCAAAACGCTTAATGCAAAGCAAAGCGATACCAACGGCGAGCATTTATCCGCGGCAATGGTGGATGCGAATGCAGGTTTAGTGCTTGCTACCCGTTGTAAACAATATTGAATCCATGTAAGGTACATCTGTCAAACAGCCAACCAATGTCGCAAAAGCAATTTTATATTTGAATGAAGTTAATGTATGATGTGACGATGATATTAATATTTCTGCCTCTCAATATAACCAATGAACGTTGCGATTCGTATTATCGACTCGCTGTATGCTAAGCCAACTGTTTTACGGAATAGTGAATACCCTTCAATCTAAGATCAAGCTCCCATTCTGTTTGTGCTTATCCAGTCCAGCATGTATAGATACGTCAACAATAAGCATTTTCAAAAGTGAACTATTACTGGAATAACATAGACACTGCTGATTTGACTGTCAGACCTTGCAGAAGCTGTTCCGCGAGATTCCTGTGACTCGACAGTCATAATCATCATCGTTGTTTACCGTGAAAACAGGATCAAGTTCGGCGTAATGTTTGTCCAGGGTAGGCATGAGAGCCTCAAGAATGCTTTGGTTCGAAAGCCACCCTTCCAGTTTTGTACTTGTTACAGCATAGAAAATCACAGCTTTGACATAGTACGTCATCAACGCACGGCGTAGTTCGAACACCTGGTGATAACAAAGGACGGCATCGAGCCCATTCATGATAATATCGCAATTGTTTGAATGGTATTATAATCAATACTTGAGCTGTTCGGTATATATTTGACAACGGAGGAAAGAGTAACCTATTCGCTTTTAAATGCATTCTCCAATACTTTTACCTGAAGTAGAGGAACGGCCGAGTTATCTGAAATGGAGTACCCCTCGAGAATGTATTTGGCGGCTGACACCTATAAATAGATATATGTATATGTATATATATCATGTTTCTCGTGTCTTTCACATAGAATTTAATAGCACCTGTGTACATTATGAATAGAAGAAAATGTACCTTATGCTCGGTTTCGAAATATGCATGGTTCCGTACATTATTCAAGTCATGAATTATTCAAGAAGGATTAGTAAACATGCGTAGTTTCATTAAGTTAACGTATAGAAGTATTGTATAAAAAAGTAGTAATCAAACCTCCCACGCGAGCCATCTCTGATTGAACGCGGCATTTGCTGAGAGCATTCCGGGTAAATGGCCGGGCTCACAGCAACAGCATCCAACATTGTCCCGCACTTCTTCCATCATAGCCTCTACTTCGCGCTGTTGACAGTATGTGCCTGTAGAAAAAAATTATATTTAGCCATTCTGGATGTTGATATTATTGTCTGTCGAAAACTGTCGGCCTAATTAGTAAGAGAAGTAGCGGTAACTAACGGTCTACAAAAGAGTGTAGTAGTAATGTGTACCTTCTGGCTTCTGTTCACAGACAGTTAATAATTCTTTGATTTCTATTCGCAACGATGCCTGTGCTTTTGATAAAATGTTGATTTTTATTTTGTTGAAATAAGTGAGTCCTCTACAAAGCAAAGTTGTAGCCTATTGGATAGTATAAGAAATATGCTGAGTTCGCTTTAATTAATCTTTACTGGTAAAATTGGCCAGATTCAGAAAATGCATCACTTTTTAAATTAAAAACGCCTTTGCTTTTCTATATTGGACACTGGTTTCAATGGTTTCAATTGCCATCAAACAATTCCGTGTATGCTACTGACCTCTGAACTCCAGTCCACGCAGCTGAAATGTGACCAGTCCATTAGCAAGTTCTACAATGTGTACCAGACAGTTTAAGTTGTCAGAAGCTAGCACAAAACAGTCCCCCTGCGATACTGCACCCCATCTGCCAAGAGCTAAATCTCCATAAAGTGACTTCTGCAGAGAACGGGTCAGATGCTCATAGAAGATGGAATTTAGGTTATTGTCGTCCGAGCCACCAGGATTACGTTCCAACTGAGATGACAGCCGAGTGTTCGAGTGATCTACACGTTTTGTACTGAAATAGCAGTGCAAAGATGAGCACCATTACAAACAGATTCAGGCATTTAGTGTAAGTGAAAAAGGCCGTTTTATCTGCATTTTTTTAGGAATGCTCAATTGGTCTGTCCATTATAGTTGCATAGCCATTAGAATTGTGGAAGCTGATAATTAAATCTCCTGTTATATTCCGTCATCGGTCATATAAGAGTCACGTAGTCAAATGTAGACTTGTTTATTTTAGGCTAGGTATGATAGAACTAGATTGAAAGAAAAATCTATACTAACTTGTAATCCCGCTCCCAGAATTTGATCGGCCTCACGTAACTCGTGAAGAAGATAGCACTGCCCAAAACTGGAGACAAAGGAGCTGATAACGCCGAAGAAACAATGGCCTGAAATCGTAACATAATTTAAAAAAAGGCAATTGTGAAGGTGCTCTCAGCGTATGTTACCTACAGAGAACGTCGTGGTTTCCTTCTTTATATAGACTTCCCTAGAAATACTGAATCGTGATAGCAGGAATAACATGGTTGTATATCAACACGTTATCACCAAAGGTTTTACATTCTGTCTGGAGTCGACCTGTTACCTGAATAAAAAGCATAGCTGAATGTGGCACTGAGAATGGTTGGGCAAAGGCATGAAATGCCGAACCCCATGTGATCTGCCAAGGGGCTATATATGTGATCACGAATCGTAACTGGAAAGATAATGCAAAAATAGATTAAAACTACTTCCCCTTATCGAAACCGATACAAACGATAGCGTATATAACAAATAGTTAGAAAACATAACAGGTTTACTCGTACATTTTACTACGTTGCTACATGGTTCTGTCAAGAAATTTTATTCGTCATCAGCACATATTTGGCAATTTTTATGGAAAATCGCAGTAATACCTTTAACAGCAGTTCGTACAGTTTGTTGGTGGCTAGAAGCATAACATATAAATTAACAAGGATCGGCTCCCTGTATTTTCCCTGAAAGTCGAATCTGAAGATAAGCAGTGTGAAGGCTAGCGCCACGAAGTGCCATGAGGCATCAGTGAACGCCCCTCGAAGACAGCGCATTGAGCATACGACCAATACCATACTCCCAATACTAAATAAACAAACCAAGGGAACAAGAACGATGTTATCACCATCATTTGAAGTGTTTAACACACTTTCCTTAAGTGAATATGCAGTAGAGTTTACAGGTCCACAGTCTTTCAATTTGCTTGTCATCCTTAGTTTCGACCTTGCCTTAATAAGTAAGATATTCTATTTGTTCTCCGAGGTGGAAACTAATATTTGTAATTATTAATATTTATAATAGGGTTAATCGATTAAAATACTCGTAAATGGTAAATACACTTTTTATGACAAAATGTCATCAAGTTTCCAGCAACTGCTCGCATAAAATCTCACAACTGTTGTTTGAAATATATAATAAGGAAGTAGCATTTTTGAGGAAGAAATACAAACTTAAATCAGTTCACAATTAGCTGATTGGTATCACTGATATTCTTAATGGTCAACGCGTCTCAGCTGCGGCATCCTTTTTTTGAAATACGTATAGTACAGGCCCTATAACAAGCATTTTAGGGCATTATACGAACAACTGCATGAGTACCTGAACATCTTGAGATTGCAAAAATAACTTGATAATAAAATATGAAGTACTCACGGCAGACCGAACTGTTCAATCAGCGGCGCAAGCGAAACAGTCAAGGCGCTGAGCACCACCAAGGGATAAAGGGCATTCTTCTCAATGAACCACATAATCACTTGAACACGCTCGAACCACATTACGTGTGCTGGCTCTGTATAAGTAATTCAGTTTTTCCATGAAATGAAGCAAAAAGTGGTAAACATAATTTAGCCCTACATACGCCACAAATAAGAATAGTGCTGTAAAAATTATTCGTTCAGTCTCATTTACAGACGCGCCTTCACCCTTCGAATAGCTATAAGCTGGATGGGATCTTACCGGTACTTTCGTACATATTGTGTTCCCGCGACTTAAGAAATGGTGCAGCACAACAAAGCCACGGTAGATGTTTTCGTGCCTGTCAATCAAACATGTTCACAACAATATATGTATATATATATATATATATATATAATGTTAAGTTCAAAAACCATATAAACAGCAATTTTGCAACAAAATCTTTGATTATCGATCTTATTTTAAAGTAGACAAACATATAGTAATAAATTCAGAAACTATTACAATTATTCTGCTTATATCTGTCGGACTGTCTATAAAGGTACAGGCTCTTTTAGTAGAGCGAATTCAAAAGAACGAATGTTGTTGTCTATTTACGTCAGTAACTAGACGTATATTAGAGAACGAATGCTGACGTTTACGCAAACTGCGTATCACCTGTGGCAATAGATAATGAAGAATGAAGCCCCAAATCAGAGCCAAAAAATGAAGTCCTCGCGCAAGGTACGGCTGTAGCACTGTGAACATCGTTGACACGTGGAGAGCGAATACAAACACAGATAGTAAAGCTACTTGAATTGCGTCCGTTTTCAGACGAGCCAGCTGGAAAATTATTATTTCGGAAAAGGCAATGAACAAGAGAACGTCAGAAAACCTTGATAAAATCAACATCTTTTTATTTCATAGTCTTTACATACATTTTTGTTGCTTTCCAACCCAACTATTACTAACCACTGTGTCCCTCATTTGCTGGGGAAGCGGATCGACAAATTCATGGTGTTTCCAAGCTTCCGTTGCTTCGGTTGCAGTGGCCACACCCTCAGAGGTTCCTGCAGTTGTACTGATAGTTCCGCCAGCGGACACTGTTATGCCTGGTTCATCAGGTTGTGCTGTCGTTATTATGGCATTCCCGGAACGGAGGTCGTTGTCACCGGCCACAATTATTTCTGCAGATCTACCATTTCCATTATTTTCCTGTTGTTTAGCACTGGATGAGTCTATAGCTGGTGCATTACTCCGCCTCTTTGGTCTGTTCGATGTAGTCGATTTTTCTGTTCTTCGGAGCGCGCCTGTGATGAGCCGTGCTAACACGGTCGGGTCACTCTGACTTCGCGATAGGTGATATGATGTCGTGACGAGAAGTCCGCAGAACACGGAGAACGCGATATTATTTGCTGGATTTTGATTATCCTGGAACATTATTGACGCCGATAAAATTGTAAAACTGTGAAAACCAATATAGATGTTCTTTTTTTCTTCAGCAGGTTTAAAGTAATCTGTCCTGTAATGGCCTAATGTATGGTATGCTGTTCTTAAATCAATTCGTTTCGAATAGGTTGCAGTTAGAGTAAATACGTGTATCCCCGTCGATGCGGGAATTAGTCGAAAATTCGCCAAGTTTCTATTAAGAAACAGACCAGCAGTGAAGTGTAACATAGGCCAAAGAGTATTCCAGTTAACGCGAGGCTTCTGCTGAGGCAGTACACGGCAGACACAGGACCTGTAGTTGCAGCACCACCAAATATATGCATGTCAATCTGTTCGCAGAGGTATGTTACAAATGTGTTTACTTGTGGCAGAAGACCCACGCTAAATAGCACCGGAAAACTTAACACGAATACTGAAAGAAAAATATACACCAAAAATAAGTATTCACCAGTATATATTTTTTTGTAATTGTCTATATTAGGAGTTATGTGAGAAGGTGCCAAGTAAGAAACGAAAATGATTTTCAGACAATGTGATCATATTACCGAAATAATCGTCAAAAGATGTCTGAAATACAAATACATAATGCGCTCTTTATTATGTATGATAGGCTCTTCTGTTCGCCCTGCTAGATTAGACATAAACTTACTAATGAGAAAGTTCTTTAGTGCGGCCACGCCTCCTGGTGTAAAAAGGCGCCAGTTGTAGACAGCTATATTCGGGTAAGGGATATTCGCTTCCAAAATCCGCTGACTGGTTAGTAATGCTGTGCAGCACAAACAAAAGTACACCGGGCGACTGGAAGTAAGGATTTTAAAGGATGTAACATTAATATCTGTACATTTATGAAAAATCAGAATTAAGCATTTCGATTTCCTTACAGCTTACAACATGTATTTTAGTAGTTGTAGTAATTCGCTACTGTGGGTAAGACCTAAATATCTTCAGCCACTAAATCCGCTGTACCTGTACAATACTAGATGATTATAACCGTGCGTTGGTGATGCAGCATCAGGCTGAACACTTTTGAGAAGGCTGTACTGACAGGATGCCATCACGAAGCAGAACGCGATTGAACTCAGCTCTACGAAAAGGCCCTAAAACAGTTGGAAATCAAACGGTAATAAGAAATTTGGACCGTATTAGAAGAAGCATTGCCTTCTAAGTTAATATGCATAAAATGAGGTATCCAAAATGAACGTTTTCAAGGGTCAACAGTCACACGCCCCTTCAACCAAAGCATGTACAGTCCGCAGGACCTGCTTGTGTGAGAGCATTTAACACAGCTAATAGCAACGGGTATATCTGTGCTACTACAACACTGGCGTAGTATCTAAATCAAAACCTTATATGTATTAAGCGCTGGAAAAAATATCAGCTTTTCAAACGGCACTTCTTTTATGATAAAGGGAAGTTACTTTCTCTATGAAATCACAATACCTTTTGTAAGCACAGCGCACCGAGAAGAGCGACTAAAACAGCGAGAGTGACTGAAGCAAAGTTTTCCAACAGGGTTATATTTCTATCGAGGACGGCGAGAAGTGTCAAGCGGTCAAAGGAAACCTGTGAGGAACGAGACAGCAAAAAGGCTAACGGTTATACAATGAAAACGTCAAGGCACGTCTGATGCTTTTGCCACAGAAAGTACGCACATGATTCAAGTGTGTCCTTGAATCCTATGAGCGAGCTTAACATCGCTGCGATGCAATATTTAAACCCTGGCAGACGAAATGTTAATAGTTCTGGCTATTATTTTAGTAAAGTAGACGCAAGCGTGCTCCTCGATTACTTATACGTATAAACAGACAAGGTTCAATGCAACTCACCTTTACTCTTAACCCTTTAGACCACGGTAATATGTGGAACAGGTAGTATTGACGCGGTCTAGGTGGTGCGGGATCTAAAACACTTGGTTGATCGAGGCCTCCCGAAGGATGAGACAGAATTCCTCGAGGATTTAAGAATGACAAAGATGCCCCTCCGACGGTGACACCATCTCCACTAAACTGGAAACGGCTACTTCGGAATAACCTGAATTGTATGATAGTAAATAAATAAACAAAAAAAAACATGCAACTGTACTATCTAGTGTCGTGTCCTTTCTGCGTAAGAAACTAACTATATTTTTCCGCGTTATCTAACAGACATATTTGGATGACATTTTATGTGAAAACGTGATATTATAGCTACACCAGCGAACCACATAGGGCTTATATTTCCTCACTCTGCAATTTCTCCTTACCCTGGATTTGCCGGCATATGTGGCTGTAAAACGTAGAAATAATCGTTTGTTTGTTGTTGATGATTGCCCTGAGACGTGTGTGGCTGGCGGTGTCTCGATGTGGAACTTCCATCAAACGAACTAGGAATTACTTGTTGACGTCGGCCTGCTAGGGGATCAAGGGAATGCGAAACGCCTACCAAAGCGGAGTTTCCCAAGGGACAAATCGATCCTTCAGTAGAGTCCCCGGGAGTCCGATGTCCGCCGCCACTTAACGACGAAGGACCCCCTATGCCGCTTCCAGCCCCGGCAACCATCAGCGTAGCGCCCGATGAAGACGACGCCTGTGACACTGTGTCCCACGGTCGTCCTACACCACTCACACTGCCTCCTTCGACATCTCCTGGTAGCTAGATCAATAGAACGAAGTGATATTAAGATCGGTTTATTTTATAAGACATATGTAACTTTGAACAAATTCCATACTCAGTGACATTAGGGCTTCTATAACATTTATTTGTTATTAACAGAAGATACAAAGGACAACATATAGAACTTGTTGGATGACATCGATGACAATGGTAGCTCCATTTCAAACACATCTCGTCACGAGATCATGTCCTCAATTTATCAGATCACTTGCCTTCGTCTTTGGTGGTCTTAAATGCATATGCTTCTGTTGCTGATGCTGTTGCTGGTGGGTGACATACGTGCGTGGGGAAGAAGCCTTGCCACTTTCGTTAAAGGTGTAGGCCTGCCAATTGCCATCTTCGTCACGAAAACAATGAACTGCCCCAGGTGATGTGTCATCATGGCTACGTGCCAAGTGGGTACCCGGCGTAGACAGCATCGAAGCGAGTAAATATGATGGAGGCGACACGGAATCTCCTCCTGAAGTCACGTTTGATGGACCACCCCCGCCAGCCGTGTCTGGGGAACCTTCAAATCAGTTAAACTGGCTTTATGGTAGTGTAGTAATTATACAAGGCCTAACAAATATATTTACAAAATGCTTAAATTGTTCAGTACGGGCCTAGTCAATTCGAAATTAGAATACACGATGCGCCTTTGAAACGGACACAGTTGATCGTTTAGCATATAACTAAATCGGAAAGTTTAAGTTCATTGCGGTTGCTCTGAGAGCCACTCGGTCACGCTTAAATTGCTGGTCGTCAATATAGGTACACTTACCTATGGACTGCTGTTCGGGTGTGTCACTACTTTTTCCACCACCTACTGCACCACCTTCTGCTGATGACTTCCGACTTGTGGATGATCCTAAACTATCTGTAGGCTCTACTCTAGTAGATCGTCGGCCTGAGATGCCCCCTTCCTTCGCTACCATTGCACTCACAGTGCTTGTACCTTGAAGAGGTGATTGTACAACAGCTGTACCTCCACCATCTGACCAATCTCCCTCGCCCTCATCAGAGTCAGCCAATGTCCCAAGTGAGATCAGCTCCTGTTTAAGCTTCTGTAGATCTCTGCTTGATACTAAATCGTCTTTAGAAAGAATTTCGAGAAGACGCCGGCGGATTTGGCTGCGCTGCCACGCGTCGCCTCCGCCCCCAGAGGACCCCGATGGCTCCCGTGACTCCTGCGATCCTTGACGAGAAGCTGTGCTCTGCTTCAAGGATGGTGTACTCTCATCTGGTGAAGTTGATGAGCTGCAGTGAATGAAAGCCAGTCATTAATCTAGATTGCCGAGACTTCAGAAACTCCATTTTAAAAAAAGATGTTTATCAGTATGAGCCTGAGCTCTATGATTAAAAATCATACTTTACAGGTAGCGTACAGGAAAGAGCTGCTAACATATGCGTTTGGGTAAATTAAGCCATAGCTTGAATAAGAAAACGATAGATTGCAACGCTTCGAAATATACATATAATGGTACATTAAAAATAGCTATTTTCTTTTGACGTCGATATGGTCTACATATATATTTTCACCAAATGTACGAAAAGCAAAAAGATATAGTATGTTCGTAAAGAAACAACGGTTTTGAGATACATTCTAATCACAAGGACGTAAACGCTCACACTTACCTAGAGCTTTGCACGTCGTCTTCTCGGGACGGAGTGGCGACAGGGTCACCGAATGACCATTCGAAGCTGCCTTCTTGAGCATCCCGTTGTAAATGACTACCCGAAACCAATCGTTGTCTTCTTGCATCCCCAGTTTCGTCAGCTGCACTGATTCCTACTGCCGTACCAGGTCTACTCACTTCCTTTCCATATTCGGTGTTACTAATATTATTGCTCTGTGTAGTTGTCCCGCTTTTTGGCGTCGAAGGGTTATAGATTACGGAGAAATTTGTGCTACTTCGCTCCGAGTGTGTTTCAGAACTGTCATCTGTCGTTGTCGTGTTCTGCTCGCTAGCGAATGGCTGCTGATCAAGTGGCACAGTATCCACCGACATTTGGTGATGATGAGAGGTATCTGAGGTTGTGCCGTTAGGGGTTTGCTGCTGTTGCTGTTGACCCTGCTGCTGTGTTGGTGTCAAATGCACTACGTCAGGAGTGCCAAGGGTTCCGCTACGCCTCTTCCGGCGTTGTTTCTTCTTTTGGCGCTCAGCCGTCGCAGGACTTGAAAGACTCTGTTGTTTTTCTTTTCCTTTCTTCTTATGAGTTGTGTCAGGGCTTCCTTTCGACGTTTCCGTTAGAGTGATCGGACTTGGTATACCACTGCCGCCAGCACCAGCAGGATCATCCTCCTGGATAGTTTCTTCCGAGAGTCCCTTTCGAATGTAATCCATCGACCTAATTTTGTATCGAACAATAGTCGTGAGAAGAGAAAATGCCAACTAACAGGTAACATACCTCTCTACCAAGTAAGCCTTAGCAAAATATACTGTCCATCAGCGCAGATATACAGGTATGCCTCCAGAAATTCTCTCCGATATGAAACACTTGATTATATTCACAAAGCGAAATGTCTATTAAAGTCTTCGTCCTACTGACAGGAATAGACACAGGGGTTATGCATCGAAAATCTGAATCGGTATCAATTGGAATCGATTTTATTAAAAAATTCGGTTTGAAATAAGAATAGGATGTGAGCACAGTTGGATTTCCGAAAAAATTACCTTTATGAAACTTTATGCTCCAGGTATGCAGTGAAACGTTATGTAAGAATGTAACATATTTAATATGGTATTCAGTGTTAGTTTTCCAAAAACGTTGCTGGGCGCAGAATGTATGAGCGGTGTGAATTTCACAGAGGGTCCGCCAATTTGGGCCAGCGTACAACTCTGACTCAGAGTAGAAGATCGACAGACATTCTCAAACCTATTTTACCGTTTAGATGACGAACAGCAGATCCCATCTTAGTTACGTCTAACTTTTGTATCAAGTCAAAAAAGGAAAAATAAAAAGCTCATGTACACGCATGTAACTACTTGTTTAACAGATGTAAAGAAAGTGCTATATTCAAACTCGTACTATATTTTAAGCATTGAATAACATATAAATTAACTGTAATGTTTTTGTACTATTCTGTTATATATGTACCTTCTAGGAATTGCCCCCGGCGGCGGAGGCTGAGACGAGATAGCCTCGAGGGAAACCGGATGTGACGGAGGCTGGCCAGTCCTAACACCGCCTCCGGGGCTCCCTCCTACGCCAGGACCACCCGATGCTGAAGTCTCCATTTCTGAGTGAGCGCGCCGTACAGGTTGGCGTCCCTCGGTTCTCATACTGCCACCAGCTACGCCTGAACCAGCTGCAATCTGAGTACGCGCCCTAACGAATATTTGTATGTACGAAGAGTATTATTCGAATGTTCATTATATAGCTGTAGTAACACAAGCAAAGTTCGTAAAGAAAGAAAATAGTTGGTTGAAAGTTTTGCAAATTACATTCAAGAACAGAACCTTGAACTAATATGGAAATGCTCAAAAACTCGGTCAAATAAGGTCGAAACCTTTAAGAATAAACAAAGCCACAAAGAATGAATGAAGTATAAAAAAAGTCATGAAAATATATTTGAGACAATTCTATATGCTCCCTAAAAAAAGATTCTTCTATTTTTGCTTTTTGTCGGATTAAATAATGAATGTAAGATAAAACACTAAATGTGACAGAAATATTTTACGTTAAAAAACAATTTCAAATTGTAGTTTGAATTCCGAAAGATATTAAATAATTTTACTTATTAGTAACACATTCACAACAATTATGAGCAAATAAAGGCAGTTTTTACGGATCTTTTAAGCTTTACGTTAGGATTATCTCTTGAAGTTGTTGGCCAGTCTAATAATAATACTTTCTTCCCGCTTTGTCAAACGTATCACAGATTATAGTGGCGAAGGAGTCGCTTGTGACTCACCTTGCAACGCTCGGGTCCTGTGACATAAATCCAAGTTCGACACTGCCTGCCGTCAACGGTGACTTCATAAAAGGATCCGCCGAGGTAGCTTGAAGAGCAGGGCTAAAATGGCAGCCAAAGGCTCCGCCGTGATGTCCACCAATTCCGGCGACGACTCCGACACTAGCTGAAGGATTTGTTCCATTGCTATTAGTGCCTATTGAAGATGGCAACGCCTGTTGTTGGAGGCTGGTTGTTGACGATAAAGACGTTGTGGTATCCCCACTGAGCACAGCACTAGCCTGTGAGGGCTGCTCATCCATAACGCTGCCTGACATTCCGCCAGAAAGTGCAGAGACTACTCCGCATGTGCTCGCTGTATCTGTAGTTGTAGAAATCACAAATGCTATTTAGGTGCTATGATAAAGCAGTAATCTGATTACAACTCTCAAAATAGCAGTTCAGTTGAGATAACTATCTAAATCGATAGAAGAAGCATTCCTTATCTACAAGCACGAGCTGCAAATGTCGATATCCTGATTTACGTACCTGTATTCAGATGTAATTGCTGTTGATATTGCTGTACGAGAAGCAGTTTTCGATGACTGTCTGGGCTTAATGCGGATTTTTGGCTGAGATTACTACTGCGAACGCTCTGTGTTGAGATCCCGCATGCGCCACCGCCCACATTACTTCGTTCCGGCTCTCTTCGAACAGAAGAAGAACGTCGCGAGCCGACGGAGGACGCACCGGAACTTCCTCTGGCCAACTGAACCGCGAGGTCTAAGAATATACATAAATTATGTATTCTATATGTGTGGACCATCTATAGTAACCTATGCAACGCGTGTTTCAATTTACCGCCATAGCTTTCCTTTTTAGGTATCTTACATCAATACGTACCAAAGCTGTTGTTATCTCTTGTGTTGAGCGAGATGAATTCAATAGAATCCACTCGGGTGGTAAGATTTGCAAGAGAATTCCTTGACGAACATTGCACTGGAGGTGTTTCACCGTCTGGACGGGGCGCCAACAACTCTAGCTCGACCGCACGATCGCGGGAACTGCACAACGAAATTGAACCAAATAAATTCACTTTTTACATATATCACAGCGGTTGCCAACCCATAAAGCTTTTTCTAAGTTAAGAAAAGCTTCTGTTGGAGTAATGTTTTTTATGGTCCAAAAAAGGTGAAGAAGAAAATCTTAGTCTAAAGAGCTGCGTGTCGCTCTGTGTATCGTAGACTTGAAATCAGCGGAAAATGAAAATCCGATGAAAATGATCGTTTATTTTTCTGGGATTTTCATTTTAATCTCATTCCTTCGATTATAATTAAAAAATGTTTACCATCTGGAGTTATCAAAATCCTTGATTTTTTTTTCTTATTAGAAAGGCACAGCAGAATCCATAGAAGAGTCTTTAATTTTTACAGCCGTTGCGTCTCATAATTTCACACAACGACCTAAAGCAAATGCATTAGACTAGCTTTTAGGCGATTTTGTGCATTTTTCTTACAATTTCTCGCTCGAAAGTACCTGTTGTTTCATGTACGTACTTTATACTATCCATGAAGTATTACTGTAGGATTTCTGTCGATGTCAACACTTCAGTAAGAACATCACCACCTCCATGTTTGATTCAGTACACAATAATAGACAGATTTTGCCCATTTACTTCTAATAATAATTCTTAGACTCACTAAGTCGTGGGTATGACAACCGTTCAGTCTGTCATTTGTAATAGATTTCATAAATTCTTTGACACAAATTTTTCTTTGACATTAAAATTCTGCCTTTGATTCTTTTTTTAAATTTGTACCTAGATACGCGCTCATATATATTAGTCTTGTATATATATATAGTAATAATAGCAACTATTTTAAATAGGTACACGCTTTTTTGCAAAATTTGCACACGATTAACTCCAGATGTGAGGAAACACTATTAAGACAACCAGTTTATCATTCATTATTCTATCACATATATAGTGATTCACTATACAGCACTATATATACAAGCATTGAAGTCGCTTAATAACAAAGGAAGGATAACAAAGAATAACAAAGAGATTGAGGGCACCTGTCTTTCACCACTTCCACGCAAACATTATTACTTTGTAATAGCATTGTCAATCATTACTTTTGAACCATAACCGAGCACCGAAATATTCATATTGAACAAATTCAAGTTTGCTTAATGAACTGACTACTAGCGGATTCCCTACTGTAAATGGTCGCATTGAGTTTGACTGATAACCTTATTGGCAGTTCTATAGTTTTCTGCAACTCATTAGTAAACTTACCCATGATGTGCGCCGTGGCCCCCGCCAGGGTGGCGATCTCCGTCAACCGATGGGGCCTCCTGCATGGCCTCTCCAGTGTCGAACAGCCGATGAAGTCGAAGATTTAGAACTTTCAATGAGGTAAATAGAACTGCGACTAATGCCACATACGCTGCCCATAACGCGAAGCCCATTGAAGATGCGAACTACAGACAGAGAATATTAGCGTCAACGAATTTCACCAATGTCGCTTTGAAAACACTTTTAACACTAGCATCTCTGAAGTTCGTCCTACTGACAGGAATAGACACAAAATTCACGCATCTAAATTTTGAATAGTTTCTTATTTATCATTTTAGATGCATTTTGTTAAGAAATTCAGTTTGAATTAACAATAGGATGTGGGCAGAGTTGGCTTTCGGAAAAAATTACCTTTATAAAACTTTATGCTCCAGGTATGCAGTGAAACGTTATATAAACATTTAATAGATTTAATATGATATTCAGTGTTAGTTGTCCAAAAACGTTACTAGGTGCAGAATGTACGAGCGGTGTGAATGTACGACTCTGACTCAAGTACAAGATCGACAGACATTCTCAAACATATTTTACTGTTTAGATGACGAGAAAAACATACCATATTTTTATCTCATGTATATTAAACATATCATATAGTAAAGAAATTAAAAATAAAAAGCTCACATACACGCACGTAACTACTTTTTTAGATGATAAAAAGTTGACAACGAAAAAAATCTGTAGAAGAAACCCATTAGTCAACAAGTGCGTGCCTATAATAACGGCCAGTGTTGCTATAACACGAGGAAACGGCACCATTTAAAGATGTGTAAGTAAAAGAGATCTAATATATTTAAATGAACGCATGCATACACACGAATATTATTTGTTCTTTGACTTAACTACACTTTTTGTGCACCATATGTTTACTCTGGGCGGACTTGACCAGCGACCGCTGGCTTTTTTCAGCCAGAGGTTTAACCGTTCAAGCAGCCATCGCGCTAACACACAAATACACACGAATATTATTACCATGTAAAGGCAAAACGGCAAAGCGATAAGAAGAAGCCAGAGATAGAGATGTAGCAGATTCGCTGCGTGGCCCTGGCGGGGGTCGAAGAACCATCCGCCTGTCAGAGAAGCCCATACACCCTGCCGAAGAATCTCCAAGAACTGCGAGCCCATTGTGTCTGATCAGAAGATGCCAGTACGCTTCAACTAAAATAAAAGGAAGCATACGTTTAAATTATTGTTTTGATGATACTGTCTCATGAAAATACTTAACTGTTAACTCTTCTCTTGGGAAATATATGCACTAGGTGGAGGGTACTTCTACAATATGTGCAGATGTTTCTCTCGAATTACGATTGCCTTTATAGACTCAAGTACCTAACGGCCTAAAATGCGACAAGCCTAATTTAGATAAGTCGTCATAGCTGAAATGATATGTTCATTTTCACAGAATAAATGTAAGTTGAAATAAATCAAATTAAGAACAAAAAAATGCCTAGGTTTAATTGTAGTATCTAACTAAATACAGATTACTTTATTTTTGCATTGAACCACCAGCAATTTATATTATCGTTTCACATCAAACCATATCATAACCATTAGGTATATTAATGAATTTTTTATCGATTTGTTTAGTGCACGAACTTCAGGTCATCTAAAACAAACCTGGCCAGCGCTATGAAAATCGTGTCCTGGGTATGCGACTAGGAAAATGTGAATCAATATTCAGGAATGCTATAATATTTAGGAACGTTCTTTGTAAAGCAAAGAAAATAAAGCACAGACAGCTTAAGAGTTGTTTAACAGCCTCTTACATACCTAGTCCGCTAACTTAAAGCGACTTCCTGGTACCTTTACTTCTAAGTTTTTGGGTTCAATATACGTTCTTGTTCACAGTGAGCTAGATAGTTAATCGCATAATTTAATTACAATACCCAACGTTGATACTGCATTTCACCACTCTGTTGGGATAGACTTTCTTATGATCGTATTATATTTTAAGTCATAACACATCAGTAGCACTCGCTGTGGAATGCAAAACGTATAGGAATGATTTACGAAATTATTGTTGAGATCAGCCTCATCAGTTATGCGCTAAACAACGAAAAATATTAAAGCTATAGACTTTCTGGAGGCATACATTTTTTTCAGAGTTTTAGTTTGTGAGCACTGAGAATCCCAATTCTTTACATAATACGTTATAACATAGTGTCGTACGTAACGAATGAGATGCTTACGTGTCTTACTCACAAATACATTATTCTAGCAATATAAGCTTTTTTTAATAAACTAGTTTTTTGTTTATAATATTTACGATATAAGTATAGTAAGCAGAAATAAAAGAATGAACAACAAGGACACGGCATCTAGCTTTCTACATACACAAATATTCCAAATCGTAAGATTTCCTATTTGTGGTAAACATCGATTGCCGTGGTGTGGGATAGAGCTTAATCGTTAGTGTCTCCACAAGGTTAGCACTATTCACAAATAATTCACAACTGCAATTCTTAGGTTCATAAAATCGACAGTTTTGAACACTGTTTATAAAATTATGACTGACGACGCTAGGTTCTCAATTATATTTTTCACTTTTGATTTACGTATATCATATCGCTGCGAATTTGCCCCAAAAATTATCTAGATCAGTCCCAAAAGCAAAAGGATTTCAAAAAGCTTCAAACTTGACTAAGACAAAAGTTCGATTGCGACGCTCTAATCAGAAATTAATTAAGTCATTAAATCTATTTTCACCTAGCTTGTCGTGTTTGACAGTTCAACAGTCTAGGAGAAATTGTTAGAATGTCAAATTTTCGAATTCAAGAAGGCCACGCATGTTATTTTGTTGGAGTTATTGCATTAACTTCTGACAGCCCCCGTAGTTACCTTTCGTTAGTCTGTTTAACCGCTGCGGTATTTACAACGATATTCTATTAATTAAAATTTTTTGGTTCTAAAATATAAAATCCCATTATTAATCAAGAAATTCATGACTCGCTTTTGTTAATTAAAATGTTGGTTATGGTTTAAGGAAAAGATTGCAAAAAGTTGCTAATTTTAACTCAGATCGGCATAACCTACGCAATAAAGAAAACACTATACAATGGATTCAGCATGCATAATTTACGTACATGCCTGATAATACATGATGAAGATTACTACACACGTCCTAATAGTTATAATTTTAGCCCATTTATTGCGAATTTGTTCGATTTTGTCGTTTCTGCTCCCCAAGCCCTCGTTGTACAACACTACCTAATGGCTAATTCATCTTAATGAAAAATCGATATTATTCGACCTGTGAACTTATGTCTGTGCAGCTGTATGTTTGTTGTACCTTTATAAACTAAAATCCACATCGGATTCCTAACTTATTTGTTAAAAGATAAAAGAATGTACAATGGAGTCGAGGATTAAAGAAAGCAGCGTACAGTAACAGGCGATTAACCTCGGAATCGAAACAGTTTTAGGGTAAAAAAGATTATCTTTAAATAAAACAATGGTTGTCTCAATAATAGATCCATACGATTGCGATTACACGCCAACGTCCGGTTTCAAACGCAAGATCACATTGTCTTCCAAATACGTAACAAAGTTCATCCTACTCGCACTTCATATGTTGACTAACTCAGGCCATACTTTATTCTGTAATCTGTTGCTTAGTGAGCTTCTGCAGTTCACTTGCTTTAATATAGCTAAAACATTCCTACTTTGTTTGTCTTTTTCTTCTGCTGCTGTTGATGTTGTTTTGTTAATACCATTAAGACGGTGATCAGGTAAGCTTGCAATACGATAACGATTTCATTTCATTCACTGGGTACAACGATGACGACAGTGTGTTCACATTCGATCACATTTAACCGTTTAGTGTACATTTATCGTTTTAGAAGCTTACTATCTGGTAAATACAAAGAGAGGCAAAAGCTATTCCGATACTCTTCCACCGGCAGAAACCATTCGCTCCACCTTTTTTCCTAGATGACACTGATTTGTTACTATATGGTAATTAACAGGACGTCAATAGCAAAGCTAACACTTTTATATTAATGAGTACACTAAAAGCAGATTAGTGCGGTCGTTTCACGCGCTAATGTCACCGAGTAGCAATCCACAAATGAACATCGTCGTAATAAAATCCCCTTCTCACGTATATATCTATATGTGTATATATATACATATATATATCGTATTTACATATGTGAGCAGAATGTCTTTCAATATTGAATCGGGAACTTAGAATGGTCACGAATGAGCCTAATGTCTTTTAGTTTAGAAAACAACGTACGACAAACTGAGGTCCTATTTTTTGGACATATTTGTCCATCAAGGATTCCAACAACTACCACTCACTATATATCTCATTATACTCTTAACTGCTACAGTCGGCAGTTATTCTGTCTGTCTGTGCATGGATATGCGCTCTATGTGTGACGTTCGAATAATAAATAAGCAGAGATCATCGAAGGGTAGTGTAGATTAACAATTCTACTCGACGGAGCGACGCGCGGGCAGACGAAGCAGCATATCACGCTTGTATTAGATCAACGGTTGACGTGGAGAACAATGCAATATCTTTCCATTTTTTGCTGAGGTTGATGAACTGCAAAGTACTATTGCTTATATTTTTCTGGACCATGTGAAAGACCTTAGCAAGTTTATGAAACTGCATGCGCATAGCACCGGTAAGCGATAGAAGTCCCATTTGATACACTTTGTCCGAACCACGAATGGCGGGCATTTTTGAATCGGCAACATGGCCGAATTCCTTTGCCGCCAATCTAGCACGGAATCGGTGGTGGTGAGTGGAATATGTGCACCCTTGCGGTTATTATTATTAGAGTTCGACTTGGTTGTTCGTTGAGAATCAGGGCTTAGTTCTCGTTTAGTTATTGAAATATATGAAATCTTCCAAAAGTGTGCGTTGTGCTCTGTTTAACGTGAATAATTGTTTTGGAATAGTGGTTGAATTCCATGCTTTTTTGAAAGCAGGGCGTTTTCAGGTAGGTTTCTTAGAAACTGTATCGAACTGCCGAATAGTCTAGTAATATTGTTGATAAGAACTGTAACAACGCACAAATTGCTCCGAGATAAATTCGAACGCGAACAACCAATCGCGCCAATTCTCGCGGAAAAGTAATTGGTGAACATCGTATCAGATTCGAGGGGTCTTAGGTTCGAATCCAGGACACGAAAGCCGAATTTTTTGATGAAATTTTTTAACTTTAAATCAAATTTAGAAGCCTACCATAATATTTTTATTCTAATTCGATGCTACTTACAGAATAAAACGTGCTTAATCTAATAGTTGAAATGTAACTTCTATCAAATCGCTGCACCGTGTGGGTGGGAGGTAGCTACCGATGGCGAAGACCAACACTATACAACAGCTTGCAAAACTACTTCAATATTCTTGCGATTTAAGAACGATAGGAGAAAATGTGCTTCTTTAACAAACGCTTTGTGCACGTATAAATCGAGCCATATCCATTATTTCGTCGATTACGAAATAATCTATGCCATACATATGACAATATGTGCTTAGCAGAATCCGTCAGTTGTTTGTTTAGTATCATAAAAGGGAAAACGATTCTTTATGTACAGCATTCGCGACTGCTTATTGTTTTGGCCATTGTCAGTTATAGCCATAGCTGTTACTAAAATATGATGCATGGCATAATTTTTGAGTGTTGGTTAAGCCTAGTTGACTAAAATCAATTTCTTGTGGATGCTGATGGTGCATCATATCACAAACCATTATTGCTAAAACAATCGACTGTAGTTTTTGAACTTTTCGATTTTTTGCTGAACGCATACAGAACATAACATGAGAAATCTAGTTGTTTATGGACAAAATGCTATCTGCGTAAATGGGGTAGAAGTGTTACGTCACCAATTTTCATCGCAGTAATCATTTTTATCTAGCGACGAAGGAACCTCATTGGATAGATAATCGAGTTCTGTACAGGATATGTGTGCAACTTATTTTTTTTTAATCTTAAAGTCAGCATTGATTCAATATCGGCAAAGTGAAATTTATATATGTGAGGTAACAAATGCTTTCCCTTTTGATCGAAGTTACCGTCGGAGTGGAACTACCTTTAGCAGCATATTAGGAATTTGCAATGAATAATCTACAGTTAGCCTTTCTGTTTACCTGGAAATCTAACTATGCGGAACTTGTGTGAAAATAGTGTTCCTATTAACCTTATAACCTTTATTTTTTCCGAAGGCCACCTAGAGATCTAGCCAAGCTTTCATCTTATACGGAGGCTTTGTTACGACACCGTGTCAGAAATTACTCACACATATGCGCCCATAGACCGACTTAAAGAGCAAGTGGCGATTTATTAAAAATAAGTGTCCTTATTGTGGTTGCCTTATTTTATTTATAATGTACCATAAAACAGTCCATCCCACATTCTTGTTTTAGTAGCGGTAAGATAATATTAATATATCTAAAATTGGTCTCAAAAGGACAGGAGACAAGATTAAAGTGGCCTAGCTGCATTACTATGAGATACTGTGAGTGTGATGACTTTTAAAATATGTTTTATCAAGCAGCTCTACGTGTTAATATGCTAAAGTTTTAGTTGCATCGCACAACGTATTATTGGTAGCTCGAATGAATAGTCTGTATAATTAATGTACGTAAGTCTCTTCACGGGAAGGATATCGAATCTTCCTGATACATTGCTCTTGCGAACTCGTGTTCGTAACTGATTTTGTTCGTGAAATTTGATGCATTTCTTTTTTGTTGGTAACCGGAACTTAACGAGACGTTTCGTGATATTTTGACAAGCATATATTTCTCTTCAAGTGTGAAAAACTAGCGTATGTATGAATAAATATAATGATGCACAATCCGAAATTGAAAAGTAAGGTAAAATTGTTGTCCATCAATTGTTTCATTCATATAATACATTTATGAGTTATAATGTACATAGTTTGACTCAGGCGTGAACATAATACTTTAGGTATATCTGACTAACTAATAATGCATTGTATCGCTAATTGACTTTAACAATGATTAGTTTCCAGGTATATTTCCATAAAGATGAGGACTGCCTTAGTGTTTTTTAGAATTCGGTTCAGTTAGTATACGACTATCTCTCTGCTGTTTTGCCGCTTTATATGTATATTAGAGTTGAAAATGTTTATTTGTTGTTTTAAAAAGCAGAACCTAATATCTGATTGTAAAATGTTTCAGGGAAAAAATGAAGAAAATCCTAAATTTGTAAGGAAAATGCTTTGCAAATAAAAGATTTTTGTAGGAATTTGAAAAATCTGACAAGGTTTAGATTCCGATATAGTTTTTTCAAACTGTAATTTTAAACGAGATTTTTTTTCATGTAGATTGTGAACGTAACAGTACGCAGCTACGTTTTTTTTTATTTTTCTTTTTAATAACTTCCAGCGGACACGCAGAAGCCTGGGTAGGCCTCAGGCCTGCGTTACGAGATGGCTTGGCCTCGCGGTCGTCCAAGAAAGCGCACGCCAAATTTTCGCTATTTATCGAACTACGATAGACACGAACTCAATGATCGAGATTCTGCTAGACATACGGTTAGTTTTGCTCATTCACGGTACATGTGTACGCATTATCTTCATGCACATATAATCTCCATCTGTTTCGAACACACATAATAAAGCAAAGAGAAGCCATGTTTAAGATCTCAAACGCCAGCGAGACGTTGTACAGGCCATGTGACAACATTATTCATATTGGTAGCGATTTAGTTATTATGTTCAACCCATTCCTGACTGTAATAGCAACTGCATCAACGTTAAAGAAGCACGTCGAATAACTGTGAATTCTCTTCTAAGTTTTTTGAAAGTGAATATCTTTATTTAATTTGATTTGAATTACTTCCGCATTTGATGAGACAGCCCGATGCACCTACTCCTTTTAGACTCATTGAAGAATCTTTCTATCTTTAACGTACCCTGTGTACTGTACTAGAGGCCCGTACATTAAACTGACATCACATAGCAATCAGTTTCGTATACTGGTTACAAGAATGTAAAAATCGATTCGCTTTCTTGGAGCCATAAGTAGCATCCACATTCGACACTCCTCGTACTGATAAGGATGTTCCAGGATTCGATTCACATTACCAAACTTATTTATTCAATGACTGTGTTAGACAAAAATATTATTAGCCTTTTCCGGGTTCTGTGTTTCGTCGAATCCATCAAATTTGCGTATGGAACCCGGAAAACCGTAGATGTTCATTCGGTTTAAGACGTGTTTGTAAATTATATTCGGATTATCTGATGATACGAACATGCTTTCGTGGAGGACTTTTATCCCATGGATTAGTAGATTTTGCACTTTCCCTCTTCCATTTCTTAATTTCCGTTTATTTAAAGTTTTTGTAAGTTGAGCAACGTCGTGATCGACACTCCAAATGTCCACTTGTGCTTTAGCTGAACAAGTAGCTCTTGAAAAACAACCGTGTTCGCTGAAAGTTTTAAATCCATGCTATCGACGGTTATATATTCAGCAAAAATCTGTTTCTATTCAAACGGGCCAGGCTTACCCTGACTGACTAATTTACAACACGTATACAAACTTAACACATACAAAGACAATACTGAATATTTAGATATGGTAAGATGTCACTACTCAAATCTTTGATACTGTTCAGTTCTTAGGTGAATGCATTGCATTGATGACTGATGATTCATGTTGTTAGATGTTTTATTGTCAAGAAACAGTAGTAGAATTTTTTTAGAAAAAAAAAAGAAGTAGTGTTATAGGCAAATTTTCAACATAAATCGCTTTGTACTCTATAATATTATTTTCGGTGTCGTCACACTAAGCCACTGGGTAAAAGTTCGAACGATTTACTTGCATTTTGAAATTGAACGTTTTTTTGACTCCTGCCGGCAGCTTTAAGCATTGATTTGCTACTTAAGTATGAACAGCGGTTGTTGCATTATAATCCCCTCTCGTGGCTTCTCGCTCTGAGTACTAAAATCTGGGTGCCCGAAACCATTATTTGTTTATACTTCGTGGGAAGATCCTCTTTCTGATTGGCCTTTGTTACCTTTAATATTTCACGCGAGCCTGGTATGACCATTTGTAGATATTAACTTATCTAGGGTATCCATGTGTTTATGTATTGGCTGGGCGTTAATGAAAATTCATTTTTAAAAAGGGCAGTTGGTATCTAAAATCAGGATCACTCAATGGTTGTGAAAATTACCAATGTTTTTCTTGCAATGCACATTTACAAACGCTCGCAAAGCGAAATACGCGCTTTACAAAACTATGTTCCATCTATGTCAACTAAGGTATGACTCTGCGTCTGTTATTGTTCTGTTTTTTTTATCACATTTTGACCTTGTTTACAACTTACTTCATTGCCTCTAAAGCCGTTGCAGGACCAGGAGGAAGATGAAAACATTACACCGCAAATATCGGTGTGTACCTCGACAACGGCAGGAGCAGGTGAATCTACTGAAAACATCACGCCTTCTATAACTGAAACAAATGATTCAGCGTCTGTAAATACCAGCAATAGTCATAGTAAAAACGATAATGATTACGATGATGAAAGGATCGTGGAGACTCCTAAAAGAAAACGAGGTCGTCCTAAAAAAAGCGACACGCTTCGTAAGTTAAAGACAGAGGATCGGATCGCAGGGAACATTACTCGGCCCTGTAGTAAAAGATCATGTTTAAATGACCCCGACATCATTCACGTTTCTATTGAATGTCCAGGGTCAACACAGGGCACTAAAGGAAACAGAGATGAGAATGCAAGAATAAAATTTATTGTTGAGGATAACCACGCTAGTGGCAGTCAGATAACGGCAAGTGAAAGCGATACAGGAGATGGTAAAGGAGATATTGAGATGAATGCAAAAATCGATAAGAAACTGCGACCGACTCATGATATGAATGAAGAACTGAATGACGGAACTCCCAAGTCACAAAACGAATGCGAAGAGAACGGGATATCATTTACCCAGGAGGCTGAGGGTGAGGCAAGTAGTATCCCCGACTAGATTAGGATTCCTGCTTCTGCACGAGATAAATAGCATGTGATAGTATCTATCTAAAACATAAAAAACTTAATTGTATATGTCCATTCAAACGTTAATTAGATATACTTTGTAGCCATTACTTCATCTGTATCCAATATATAACCAGCTACTTTCTTAACGCATTTCTCCTGTCTTCTAATGTGGCTTTAGGATGAGCTGACGTCTGAACAATTTAGGCAATGTTACGCGTCGGATCGTTGTAGGGAAAGAGGTCGAGGCAGTCGAGGTCGGGGAGGAGGCTTTGCCTCCCGAGGAGCGTTTGGGCAGGGTTCTATCCGTAGAATCGGTCGGGGAAGAGGAAAAAATGTTGGCCGTGGACGCGGTAGAGGTCGCGGACGCGGCCGAGGTCGCGGACGAGGCCGTGGCGTAGGAGAACGTCATTTGAGTGTTGAACGTAGTTCCCTAGACGAAGATGAGAAAGTGGCGGGAGAGGCAGGAGGGACTGAGGTTAGTGGAATTGGATGTTAGCCTTACCTGTTTGGTTTGCTCTATAACATATAAAATCTAAATATCTTTAGCCACATGTTTTTCTATATTTTCGCAGAGTTCGCTCGCGAAAGAAGAAGTAGTGGTTCGGCGGAAACCATTGTATTCGACTGAACATCTCAACGCGTTGGAGGGAACTGAAATGCGGTGCTCTATTTGCCCAGATTACTTGACCACTAAAGCAGAGGAGGTATCTTAAGTTAGAAACTATAAACTATTTAATTATCTGTTTATCCCTCTATAAAAGGTGCAAAACATTTTACAGGTTAGATGTTACCCTATTCAAGGAGATCTTACGTACTCTTTTTAATATGTTTCTGCAGAGATGTAGGCGTGACCCACGGACTAGCTTTCAGTGACAGTAATTTCAATTGACAATCACACCTTTGGTGACGAAGTGTCAGGCATCGGGAATAAATTAAACTGCGTCTAACTACAAATAGATTTGGCTTTAATAACAAGTGTTAAATCACAAAAAAATTGCTTTACTTGGTTTAATATTTGCGTCATAGGCAAGGGACCATTTGCTAAAAGTGCATTACAACTGCGCTAGAATGAATAGCCTCGAAGGGTTTACCCCAAAAGAGCTTCGATCAGCGCTGCGTTCAGCGGGTCTTAGTATGGGACCAGGTGCAAGATTTAGGTGCGACTGCGGGATTGAATATGTGAGCAGTGTAACCTTTTCTGTTCACCTGATGAAGTGTTTCGTACATAAGATCAGGTATGATCTGGCTTTATATATTTACAAATTTATATTGTTGCACCATGCTTTTGCTTGGTGAATTTATCATAAATAGCGCCGGGCACATGACTTTGTATTATGTGGCAATTTATACAAAGCGTCGTCTTTTTTGTTGAAGTTCGTATTTGTTTTGTGAAATATGCTTCAAACTTCTATTACATTATGTAATATTTATTATTATTTATTTATTTCAAGTGTAAAAGTTGGTGACGAGGGTGAAACGGATGCGGATGGGGCTTCTGCAAACAACAACGGTGATCTTGAAGAGGATGTCGCTGACGCATCTACCGTTGTAAATGGCAAACGTCGCCGAAAGTCGGCACTGAAAGCTGCCACAACGTTTAGTCGATTGGCAGAAGAGGAACTGGCTGACGAGGATGGCAATTTGCGACATCGATTGAAGCATCGATCGTTGAATGGAAAGACAAAAGATGGTCAATCAGAGGAGGACACCCGCGATCATGAGGGCGATGATCAAGACTACCGATGTAGTAGCTCAGGTAAGTACAGATTAAATGAGGACTCTTATCGGAAGAGCATTCATGAAAGCAAATGCATGCGTTCTGTTTACTTTCCTATATTATCCATGTTTTTCGGCATTATGACCTTAAATATCCTATCTAACATTGATTGGGGTAGCACACAATATTCGTTATATGCGTGCCTTACGTCCAAATAGAAAAAAATGCGTACGTTTGACAATTAGGTTTTCATTAGCTTTCATAAGCGGGGCAGCTGTTACCATACCAAGGTAAAAATGCTTTGGCGTGATTCCAACAGAATATTCTGACAGAATTAGGAAAGTAATGCAAAACCTTGATATTTGGGGAGGGGGGGCATTTATCGATACTCAGATAGTCTGCGTGAGGTCAATTCATAGTACGTTCTACAAGTGTGTTTAGAACTTAGAAATTAACTCATAAGCTTGGTCTAGATATCGGGCCAATAGAAGCACAGCGTAAATATGCAAGATTTATTCTAACATGAAAATCAGATGTCGATTAAATATTTGCTTTGTAATATAGCACAGCTTGTCATTTTGATCGTTACATAAAAAAGCATCGGACGAACCTGAAGAAGATGGTGGAGCTAGCAGTGATAGTTCTGATTTTGACGAGACCAGCAGCTTGGCAGATTCCCAAAAGAGGTCAGGCACAACGAAGGAAGCAAAAGGAGGAGCGAAATGTTTGGACATTTTGCTGAACAAGTTTAAAGGTTCGTTTTTATTTGTCATGACCGTTTGGCTGTGCTCAAAGTGTATGTAAACGCATCAAAAAGAGTCAGAAATTTATTTATTTCAAAAAAAAAGACAACTTACAGTTAAGGCAAGTGTTACTGGCATGTAAAAGTGAACAATAAGAGAGGTAGGTACATAGCTATAGTGTAATATGGAGTATAAAAGCTATACTAATTTACTCTGATTTTATTTCGCTCAAAAATTTACTTTTGGGTCTACAAATATTCCGAAAATATTGCGTGATAACACAACTCGAAATCTATTTTTAGTATCTCATCAAAAATATATTTATAAATCGCTGTGCTTTTGGAGAAGTTTTAGAAGATATGGATGCGTTCGGAAGTTTTTAGCCTTCTGTAATAATTAGACTTTGGACAACACTTCCGTTTGTATCTAGACTTTCGCCTCAGTTTATAACTTTTGTAATCTATAATGGTAGGCAAGTATCGTGAACCAATACCGGTTCCTATATCCGACGAGATCCGGTCGGGGTGGCGTCACAGCTTAGCGCTTCATGGCAGAATCACGTGTAAAGACTGTCGTGTGCAGTATACCACGTTAGGTGGCATGGAATACCACTACCAGAGATGCAATAAATTGGAATATGGTTATAAATGTCTCAAGTAAGCTGATTGTAACATTGATACCTTATGTTAAATTAAAGTCTTTACAAGAAAAAAGGATTATAATTATCTCAAATCTTGCATTTATTGACATTTTATTGAAATAATTTAGAAAAAAAAAACACTTCATTTTCCTAAAAGCCGTTTGCAAAGCGCAATTCCAAATACAATTTTCTGCATGAAATGTCTCGGAATAATGTATTGAATTAAATGTGAGAAGCTCGCTTACCGTCTGCTTTATTCATTTTGCAGATGTTCGATATATTTTCCTCGTAGTGGTAACCGTGCTCTTCTATCGCATATGAAAATATGCCTTGATGCACACACTGTCGGATTGGAATCATACCCCTGTGCAGAATATATAAGAGTGACTTCGGCCACCCGAAAGCACAGTCAAAGTCCTCAAGACTTTAAAGAATTCTCGAAGCATCACTACGAAGCTCCTCATGTTACAAAAGTAGTCCATCCAGCGTGGAAATATGAACGCGCAATGTGGCCACACATTGAGCCACAAGAGGCGGATCAGTACCTTACTGCGATGACGACCTCACCGCTAATAACTATCAAGGTATGTTTCGAAGTAAAAGCTGTCTTCTGTTCACCACAAGAACAAAAGAGCGACGAAGGCACTTCGAATACGAAAGCTGATCATAGCGAATGCGCAACTCATAACAAAGTTCAACTGAACCTATCACTAAATGTACCTAAACACGACCTTTAACTTATATTTCATCCTGAAAACAATATACACTCAACCCTAGTAAATCCATAAGCTAGAATCTGGAAGCGGTATCAGAAATGTAAAAATTACTTTTACTTAATTAAAGTGAACCCACCATTCATTTAAAATAAATATTGAGCCTTAAGTGCTGTCACATTTATCAAAACGTGTATTTTTTTTTAGAAACACGGAAGTTGTAGCGAAAATGCTGCTCAGAAGCTACTAGAACTTCATGAATCGTACAGCGACCCGGAAAGTGAGCATGATACAATTTATGTAGGTGGCGCCGTTTGGGCAGTAAAATGGGTACCACTACCCAAACTGACCCACGTCAAATCTAGAAAGAGCAATACGAACACACCAAGTTTAAATGAAGCCAGTGCCAATAGAACGGAAGCAAACGAAGTGCAACCGGGTAACGACGATGAGGATTGCGAAACCGACTCTGATGATGTTCCAGATTGTCTATGCTCTGAGCGGATAGGTCGCTCTGAGGAGTTCCTGCTCACTGTTAGCCACTCAAAAGGAAGTCAAGTGGAACTGATGCAGCTAAATAAAGCTGGACTCATGATCATGGAAAATCAACTGTCGAAAGGCTCTTTGTCATTATGGGCAGTTTCAGTGCACAATGGCGTAGTCCAGAAATCGCGCAACAGCGAACCTGAAAATGTAAAAGGTACGGTCAATTTGTTCCTGAGACACGTTGCTGAAAATATTATTAATGAGGCTTGACATTGGCTTCGCATTATATATTACTAAAAATGTACAACGTTCTACTACTTGTTGTCAATCTAGAAATTAATCAGGACGGGCAGCAAAAACCAAACCGATATTCAAGAGTTCGCCGTTGTTACACAATTTGTCACGGCTGGGGCTTCGTTGCACGGGCGGAGTTCTGTCCATCGAGAGCATACAATGAGAACCGGCTTGGGTTACTTGCGGTTACTTCTCAGGTAAGCATCAATGTTAATATGTCGGGGCCATTCATATAAACAATTTTCATTCTGACTGGACTTTTTCATAATTTAACAACATCATTGATATCAACCTTGGTTCAAAAGCAATTTTCTATGATTTTTATCTGTTCCGCTGGTGCACAAAGACCCTCCATCGTTTTTCTGCTTTATGTATTTTATTGATCTGTAAATTCAAGACTCATACCTAATAGTTCGTGTATTTCAGGCCGGCTTTGTTCGTATTTTAGCACTACCACATCCTACCGCGGCCAACGACGGCGCTTTCTACCGAGACCCAATTCCTGTGGCAATTCTTGAACCGGCAGAAATGTCAGGTTCTTTGTGTGTCGCCTGGGATCCGCTTCGCGATCACGGTCATATACTGGTGGGATATGCAAACGGTAACGTTGATCTGTTCACCTTGCGACAGCGTACGCTTCTAGTCACGGAAGACGAAGCATTTGAACCGTCTAAACGCCTCGGTAGCCACGGCCTGTCTGTTAGTTCGGTGCAATGGCATTTTCTCGCTGACCGAAGGGTGGCTGTCAGTGCTGGCTTCGATAACAACATTAGCATTTGGGACATTGATTCGGGAGCATTGCTTGGAAGATATTCGTGAGTGGTATTTGACGATACTTTAAATTTGTTACAGCTGTCGTCTTCTAGCAATAGATGTCATAGTAGTGTAATCTCAGGTTTCGTCTCCATCTGTCCTAGAGGATAAAAAATAGTCTTAATGTTAATTTAGGTCAATTGCGAAACCCAATTATGAGGCCCTCTCTGTAATGTTTTTTAGTTAATCACAACATTAATAAAATGTTATGTATGCCATCGAGAACTTCCCAAAATATTTCTACATTGAATTTTACTAATTTACTTTCGCAGACGTTTGGTGTGTCGCGATATGCGTACGTTCCAGTTCTTACCATCAATCATCGCATCATACGAAGAATCAGTAACGCCATCTCCTTGCGTCGCCGTCTACGAAAGTGGTGCCTACAAACGATCAGAGAGCACGGTTAGTTAGCTTCAGAGAATTAACATACTGATGAAAAATGATGGCGTGTAATCGGTTGTTAGTGGATTAAAATTTTAAAACTTTAAGAATCTTCTTACTTACTTTTAATTATCAGTGTAAATATACGAATATATTAGCTGAAAGCTATTTTGCGCGAATATAAACGAAAAATTGTTTTGCAAATTTGTCTTGAAGATTTTGGCGTACACTGCTGGGACTTGTCTCGGTTTGGACGTAAATCATTGGAGGCATATGGTTGCTATGACCGACACCGCTGGGCTGGTTACCTTGGCTTGGGTAACGAACACAGGAAAGCTACGCAATTTTCGAAACCGTGGATTGCAAGTAGTCTTATTTCAAGCACGTCAAACCTTTCCTGAAGGCGTTGACACAGTCAGCGAAGAAGTAGGTGTTATTGGTCTCTATTTCATCTGGATTAATGATAACATTCAAATAGAATTAAAATCTGTTAGCGGAGTGATTTTGCAGTACTTGAAGTCGTTTTAATGCTGAACTCAATGCAATTTGAAAAAAGGTTACTTTGCTTAAGTCAGCCTTCCTTTAAGATACATAAAGTTATTTATTATATATATATATATATATATATATATATATATATATATATATATAAGAGTTTTCCATTAAATATGCTGCGTAATAATATAATAATAACAACTGCATATATATATAATTAATCACGAGGCTTGTGCATGGTACTTTACAAGTGAAACGGAAGTTTATCATTTAAGTTCAGTGTAACATTATGCCTTTGTTTTTTAAACCTATTCAATTTATTTAATAAACTTTACTGTTGATTTATTCTAACTGACAACTATGCTCGATTTTAATTGATTGATACATAGCTAGTTCACATTGGTCTGTACGGGAAGTTTAATTAAGAACTGAGCTCAGAATAAGAAACGATTATATACTTACTTCTGACACTGATATCTGCTTGAACAGGTGGCCCACGGTGTGGGGACAGTAGAGTTTCGCGACTTCTCGCCATCATGGAAATTTCCAGTTCCGCCAAACTCCGTCGAAGTGTCACCTCCAGCTCGTCTGGAGTACCCCTTAAACTCCGTGCTTTCTGTCGCCTTCAATCCCAATTATCCGACGAGCGATCACCTTGTAGTATCCGGATTACGATGTGGGATTGTTCGAGTATCAAGGGTTGATTATAGCACAAGTTCGAAAGTGAACAATAGTCTATCAGTACCTATTAACGACCCAACCATCCAGTGTCGAATCGGCTGGAAAGGAAATCTCACTGGCAAAAAAGGGAAAAAGCAGAAGGCGACGGCTGAAGTTGCAGCATTAGTAGCGCCATCTACCTCGGCAGCATCAACAGCGAGATAATGCGCTCAAAAGCATATGTAGCAACGTCTACAACAGATTCGAATGTGTCTGAGTCCAGATTGTTATCGCCGTTTTACCGTTCTGTGCTTTAATCTCTTATTGTCAGTGATTCTTTCCGCTGAGGCGAGTGAAGACGCTCCGCCAATCCTGTAATGTGTATTTTCTTTGAATCATATTGAACGTGTTAGTGAGGTTAAACGATGTGGATAACACGTGGTTTTCAGACGATCATTGCTGCGTTGCTGCGTTAATTTGGTACCTATCCTGCAAAGGATAAGTTGACAGCGGTTCCATAATATATAATGACCCACTTTATTTAAAAGTTTAGTAAGTTAGAGTATAGAGTAGTAGCTGGACTGGAATCGCCTGTTGACAATAGTAGGCGTTCAATGGTTACACACGCATATTGTAAGCGATATCGCAAGTCGTTGATAGGAGTACCGCACTTCATCGATACTGAACGTTTGCAGTGGCGATTTTCGGTTGTCGCCATAGTAATGCCGTGTTTTTTACAATTATTTTATATTCGTTTGCTTTCACTGCTTACGTATTTATGAGTGACGACTTGAATTCATGGTCACTGCAATTGCAAACAGGTTTCATGCGTTCAAATCACTAGAATGTGATCACTCGACGTAAGTGCCAGGGCACAACGATCTCACTTGACCAATAGGGTAATTGGTTAGCCTTTTCTGGAACAAAGAATACAGCCGCTGCAAACTCTAATTTTATCTGCCCTGATGCGATAGATTTACCCACATGATGGCCTGATTAATGAACCGGCTCCATCTTAAAGAGAATTATTACGGGATTGCATTGATATAAATAATAAGAATTTCAATGGATGTCTTCAAAGATAAGTCTCCTTTTTTCACCTCATTATAGGAGGCATTCGACATCTAGTTTCTTATAATCATTTTTTACTGGGCGATTTAGTACTTTATCGCGACAAGCATCACACTATAGGCTCCAAGCTTCGTGCGCTCTATCCCATTATTTAAAGTAAGTAACGTTATTTTTTAAAATTCAACTCAAGACCCCTCTGGCATTTTATTGCCTCTATCATCCTCCAATTTCTCATGTTCCTATAGCGCCCATTTCTGTGACGAGGCCAGACAAATAAACGTTTGAAAGATGTTACATAGTGGGTTGAAATAAAACACCTCTAGTATTTGACCACTAGGCACAAAGAATACATATATTTTTGTGCCTAGTGGCCTTCACAACTGGATGATGTCTTACTATGAGCTTACTTGTTCCCAAACATATACTTTCCGCTAAGGTGACTGATGCAGAATGACTGATATCTCTTATGCTATAAAGGAATGAGCCGTGTCAACTATCATAAGCGGATCGGCTATGTGTAACCCTTTTTTTCCGTATAGACGTAATACTTAATTGCACCGCACTCTCCTACTAGTCACCATACATAATGTAAAAACAGATAGAAGCCATTTAAGGGGTGAGCAAACGGTGCCAGCACTGGCAAGCGTATACCGAATATGTATATAGATTTGTGTATAGGTAATAAAGGATCTTTGGTGTTATTCCAATGGGTATCATTTTAGCCTTTGTATATATATGTTAGGAGTACGCTATACATATAAGGAATTGGATGTACGGAATTTACTAGACACTTCATACCTAAATACATGAAGCCGAAATTACATAAATGAGGGTGGTGTGTCCTTTCCTATTTATTTGCAATTCCAGTACACGAGATGGTTATAATTCACGAACACAAGCGTCCATCAGCGCCTTCATGAGTATACATGGCTTCTAGCTTATCCTATTTGCAAATATTGTTTTTTTTTTCTAAAAATGTTTTTTCTAAAAAAACAAAATGCCGAAATTGTGTATTTGATGTGCTGTGGAATCGATAATCACTAACAGTTGTTTTGAAATTATGCTAAAAAACAGCAATGAAATATTTTGAGAAAGGGGTACTATGAGTTGCGTGTTATGTAGTACGACACATTAGCCACGGTCATGTTGAAGCATGTTATATCGAATTCCGTTTAGCACGATACCGGAAAACACAGAGAGGGAAACCCAGAAGTAATAATAATAATTACTAAATTGCCGGAAATTTAAAAAATATATGGAACTATAGACATGTATGGAGTATCGACCAGCTAGGCTGTCGTTAATTATTTGTATAGTGTCGAAGAAAGAACTTATTTATTATATCTCTCGTGAATATTTTTTAACGAAAAGTCTTGTTTCTAATCAATTATTCTTTGTATTTTTATTTTCGACTTAAGTGACATTATTTTCACCTTTATAAAGCGCTAACTATACGCAGACAATCTTATCTTAAGCGGGCCTTCTAATACGCATGAGGACCGTCGGGACCGTAGGTAATGTGCTTCGATGGCAAAACGATGTAATTAATTCTGTTTCCAAATATATTTGGAAAATTTTCTTGTGCCCACAGGTTAGGCATCGCGATATCAAAACGTTATTCACATGGTCCAACCAATGCAATACCTGGGTTTTACTATAACATCAATTTCGGGCTTCAGCATACAAATTATATGAACAATATAAAGGATCGTTACACTAAAGTAATCACTTCTCCCATTGTCTAACTATTAAATATTCTAGATTTTATAGCAGTTTTCTTAAAAGTCCAGTTTTATCGAGAAAAACTGCTTTGAATTTCGGCGGCTTCCTTTAAACATATCAAAAAGCTTGAGAAATATCAATTCCAATTTAATCAGCTCGTAGTACGAAGGTGCAATATAAGCCAAGAATTCATATGCCTTAAACCTAGCTTCTGTAATAGTCCAGATATGCTTGTTTATTAAACAATCGTTGCTCCCAAAAGAAGACCTAGTATAATATCGGCTGGAAGGACTAAAAACCGCAAGAATAAGTATGTTTACGCAGATAATGTGTAAAGCACAGAGAAAGCAGAGATATTTGATCAAAATTTTGCACGCAGCTGATGTTCTGTTTGAGATAAAGTGAAAATGTAAAATAATATCACTCGGCTTGTAGTTCCTCACAACTTTTAGGTTTGGACTCACTCCACACTATAATAGAAGCGGTTTAGTGGGCGTAATCGGCCTCATAGCCAGACGACTTCCGTCAGCTGCGTTTGGTTCTCTCGTTAACGTGCAGGTAGTCTTTTATGAGAGAAATCTATATAAAGACATATTATGCAGATCTCCGGACCTCAACTCGCCGCTTTTTATACCGGCATTGTCACCATATTGGTCACCAACAGGACGAGATATATCAAATTTAAAAGTTTATGTTCAAAGTCCAATACTAATATTAAATCTTACTTCAAACTGCTGGCTCCCAGCTCGAGACGAGGTGATTGTGTTTTGAACTTAGACCTTTACATGTTTCGGAATTAAGTAGACAAATTCGTTATTACAGCACCATTACGGGAAAGCGGGTCGATTTGAAATGCGACAAGTGTATGGGCATTCAGAAAACATGTATCGTTTCTCATAGTATGATTAAATTTGAGAGCTAATTAAAAGCTTTGAGTCAACAATTGGGTGTTTGGTAGTAATATTAATTCTTTGCAGTGTAACCATGGGTGTGTGGACATGAGGCTACGCTAGACAATTGTTTTATTTGTTACAAAAATTTGCATACATAGTAGTCACCTTGACTTAAGATTAACAAAACATGATTGATTAAATAATTCACTGACATTAGTAAAGATTCTAGTACGCGTTTACGACACGAGGATTTGATTTTTTTTCTCTCATGTTTCTTCTCTTTTTCATGGAGTAGTTTTAGTCATCTGAGCGGTCAAGTGCTTAGCGAAACCGATCTTTGTAAACCTTTATAAATAGCTTATAAATAAAATAAGAACGGCTTTTGTTGAATAACGACGAATAGCATGGCATAAACCTATTTGCCTTGATGATTTACTCTTCTCGTAATTGTAACTATGAACAAACTGGATGTTGGGCAAACGTCGCCACGTCTGTCTTCTTTTAAAGGCTGCACCAATAAAAATAGTAAACTTTTTAATTAAAAAGGTGTTCATAACATATAGCAAGAATATGGAAATTTTGCCTTTAACTTGACCTACATTGACGACTGCTTTTTGGCTACTACTGCACATAATATTTTACTATCACTGAACAACAAATAAAAAAACTGGTTGAATCGTGTGAGATAGGATATTTATTTATCCAACCACATATCTCAATTTTAAGATTAGATATACATATAACTTTTAAAAATATTCAAAGCCTTCCCATATTACAAAGTCAGGATTATTTCAATGAGAGATTAATCCGCTTTCTTGATAAAAGCATAAAAGGTTGGAGTTACCCCTATTTTTGTAAATTGAATCACTAGCCACAAACTGCCATGATTTGCAACGTCAACATACATATTTATAAATCTGCCTCCGTTTTGATATAAAGTATCCTTCATTATAAGCACCAGTAATAGATAATGTAGCATGCGAAACATATCAACGTTCACCGTGAGAGCATGAGTCCATATTTAACTAGCATTAGATCATAGTTCCTCTCATCGTATCCTCTTAGACGACTAAAATACAAAGCGGTCAAGTGATTACAAAAAATGCTTTTTCGCGGTTGTGTGCCCAACAGCAAATGTTTTTATACAATTTAAAGCAATGGCGAGACTATTCTATTCTAGCTGTCCCTTATATAACCAAATTCATTTCTCAAGCCCAGAGAAGCGCAGTGCTCGTCTGGTGATTACGGCATGAACATATTTGCCACTCTGTATTTTTAACTTAAGACTTTTCGCGAGATTGTCCTTCGCAAAGGTGCTTATTGTGATAACGTAAGGACACATAATTGATAGTCCTGTTTTAGCTTATTGTGCATTTCAGTGTCTTGATAGCCAGACTTAGGGGCCGTTCGAGCTTCTGAGTCGGGTTTCGCAGCTACTAAGCTTCCGCTACATTTAGATAACATAATATCTTATCCTCGATTTCGCCCGGTGCAATTCGCTCATCTAAGCGAATAATTAAATAACTCTAACGACCTATTGCAGTCATGGTTCTACCGGCATCTACACTAACCAAGTCATAAAAAGTCGGGAATGGACCCAGAAGTAGCAACGACTCCAAATACTTTGGTCATTCCGTATCTACTTATAAACGTCCTTTTTACCAAAAAACGTTTTGACTTACGTAGAAACCCAGGAAATGTTGTGCCGCTGACTAGAATCAGCCGACGGCCAGACAAAATCTTTTTGCTGTTTGGATATTGGTGAACGTTAAGCATCAGCGTTCTCATAAGAAAATTTCAAAAATAGTAGCCTGACACTTTTCAATGCGGATTAGAAGCCCTGCATCAACTTCATGCCGAACTAGCTTTGAAGGGGGTCCGTTTGCAAGCATTTATTCAGAACCTACTATCCCGGAAATGTGGCTTAATATACTGAGTAGTAGAAAATGGTACTCTTGTCCACAAATGACAAGATACGATGAGGACGTAATGCTAAACCAGCGACGGAATTAAAATGGTTCTACATAACGCCTTGAGGTATGTCTGTGGAACTAGAGGCATACGACGTAATAGAAACATATTTCCCAATGCGTACGTCGTTTAATTTGACGAACTCTGCCTCAAGTAACTTATGATGGTAAGTCATTTCGTCTTCTGGAACGGGTGTCTTCGGTGTACCTAAGATAATGATCACCTTTTATACATGACACCTGGATCACCAAGAAGAAAATGAGCTGCCTTATCGAAGTTGGCGACATCTTTGATTTCGACGTAAACTTTAGCCTCCTCCTTCTGGAACTTATACTCAATATATCTTGTTTATAGTTTTGTACAGCTTAAATGCAAGTATATCAACATTGTAAAACCGGACTGCTTATTGTCCGATGAATGAATTCAACGACCTGTCCGCATATAATTGCACTTTGGCACCTGAACAAGTTCCAAATTTTTACAAAGCTCTGGCTAACTTCCGAACTTGCTTCTCCAGCTGACTGTATGTCACTATAGTTACCTTTAGAAATTAACTGAATCTGGCTTAACGATTGACGAAACCAAGTATCTTTCTTCTTCGATAAATTCTGTATAGTCTCGAATTAGGTCACAAAAAGTTTCATCTTTATATCCCCCAACTCTGCCAATAGCAAGTTGTAGTTTTTAACATAAAGTATTGTGCGCGAATAATGAATACAAATTATTTCGCCGAAGGTGTCATCTACTAAAGCATAAAATACGAAGAAAATGTCAGGAATAAATTGGAATTGGTAGATATATTTGAATACACAATGAATTCCTATTTATCACATATAGCTCAACCACAGAATACAAGCGTATGCACATAGCAAATTTTGAAACAGCTTATGAAGTGCGGATTGGCTGTAAAGTTCATTTTATATAACCTACCAAGACAGGTTATCTACGAAGTTAACTATAACTGACGGTATTTTGTCTTCATTCCGTAGTGTACCAACACGAGATATAATAATACTGTTAAATCCGCTCTTCCTAGTCCTCTCACGGCCCTTAGACGCTGGCGCCATCTACGGTGGATTAGGGAATTCGAGCTCCGTTTGGCAGAAACTGTTTGAGAGCGGGGTGGTTAGTTAATTCGTTCTCTTTTTGCCGGCAGTGCCAACCGTGGCACTCTGCTATATGACGCATGGTCTTCGGGCAATGGTCAATAGTACATACAGCAGCACTAGTAGTGGGCAGAGTCTTTCCTACTCTTACCACCCGATCTGAATAGCGAGAGAGCGACTGAGCGACGGCCTTCCCGACTACCTGTGTCCTCTCAGAGCTCTCTTTCGATCGGTTTGGTCCTCTTCATCACTGTGTCCGCTGTTCTGCGTTGACGCGCTCTGCGAAGCCGCCCTTTCTTTCTAGCCAGTCAGCGAGCGACTCTCCGACATAGTGAGTCTACGAAAAGGCTCCTCGACAAAGAACGAGAGAGTGAGGTTTGCTGGTGGTGTACAGTACGCAATAGTTCTCCGAGGTTGAAAGCGACGGCAGCAGCAGCGATCGCAGTGGTAGTGACTGGGTCCAACCAATCGCTGGAGCCGACTCTGGAGGCTTGAGTAGACTCTGTGTTCGGACACTCGCAGACATTGGCTCCGGGTGTAGGTCTGTACACCTCCTCCGTGTGCAAATACGCATGTACGGAGGACCTGAGAGCGCAATCGTTCCTGGTTGCGACCGCTCCTGGGCGCGTTGAACCTCCACGGACTACAATTGCTAGCACCACTATTGTCGCCACTGCCGGTAGACCGTCTCCTCCTAAGCCCATGACGGCCTGCCACCCTCAGCACCAGAGCTTGCCATCCACACACACGCACGTACACTTCTTTTATCCTTATCATCATCATAGCCGTATGATCCTTTCTCAAAAACTGTCTATGTGTTTAGTATGCTGGTCTGTGGTGCACGTTCGACATCGACGAGGACAACTCAATTAACCTAAGGACACTGTGCCTTCTCTTTTCGACTTGCTGTATCCTACTGCAGTCTTCTTCCGCGGCCAGTCCTGACCTGTCTAGTACCTCTGCGACACAGTAAATCAGTGTGCGTATCCTGTGCGCGGTGGCAAGTGACTGCATCCGTCAAGAAGACGTTAAAGACCGCAACAAAGTGAAGGTGCTTTCTTTTGACAGCAGGAGTAACAAATACCGAATGCAGAAAGGGAATATATTGAAAGATTATCTACAAACAAGGTGCTTCTATTCTTCTCTCGATACGTTGACGGTGTTCGACCTTCGTTGATAGGAGTGCGTGAAAAAACATGCACGTTAGAGGACTGGACGGTTTCGCTAGCCAGGTGCAATCATCGTCAAAAAGTTAAAGAATTTGGATGCCTTCGTGTTGATCTGCGTAGTGTAAAGGCCCTATTGGGGCCCAATCGGCCGCCAAAATTGCTCTCAAAATGCCAGCGGTCAGGGGGGATGGGATTCGAGGTCTTGCGGTGTTCATTTCGGACATCCGTAACTGTAAAAGCAAGGAAGCAGAAATTAAGCGCATCAATAAAGAATTAGCGAATATTCGTTCTAAGTTTAAAGGAGACAAAACCCTTGACGGGTATCAAAAGAAGAAATATGTTTGCAAGGTATGATGTACGTCTGCCATGTACCAAAATTAAACTATGATCGTTTCTATGCATAACATAAATTTATACAGCCAGCCGGCACCGTCTATTAGCTGTCGCTCTGCTCAGTTACTAAGTGTTCATAAGATCATTGTCTTGTTTGGCGTATTGTTAGTTATCATATAGAATCCAACTACGTTAAGGTTAAGGCAGCTTCATAAACAGTAAAAACATGTTTTTTTATCTCGCTTTATGTATTTTACTGCATCATATATATACATATATATATATATGTGGGCCGCGTTCACTCGAATTAATTTGTCTGCTACTTGTTTAAATACCCATCACTTCGTCGAACTGAAGTTAGTAGATAAAATTTTTTAAGGAATTATTCAAATAACTACAAAGAGACAAAACATGCAGCTGTAGAGATTACTTACCAAAGAAACTGCGCAGGCATATCATAAACATTCAGCAGTCTCTTCTGGTTTGCCCGATTCGATCCTGTAGTTCGTTTATTCTATTCGTTTGAAACGCAATATGGCCAGCTTGCAGCAATATAGCCAATAGACGGTATCTTGGGTTACATCATTGGGTATATGGACCTTTATTATTGCAATGATCGTGAGATATTTCTTGGTTTGAATCAAGGTGAATAATGTTTGATGCCGAGTCTGTTAATTTTCTTCTATAATTTAATCTGCCAGCCCATCTAATATGCAATGACTTTTGCAGATGAAAGAGGTGAACTTCGATGTGTATGAACCTGCTGAACACTAGTCTAATATAGCAATTGCAGTGTACATGGCAAGCGACTATTAGCACCAGTTCGACTACTCTTCGGTGTTCTAAAAATCACAAGCCGACTAGTTTTGATGATCGAAAAATGTAGACCTATACACATGACTGATATTCTGACTACAGCGAGTCACAATCAGCATATACAACCAGAGAAAACTCAATTCACGAGCTACTGATTCATTCGACGTAATTTTTTCTACTAGAATTGTATAAATTAACCATAGTAAATCTACTTATTTTACTGCAAATGCAGAAATGAAGCGCGTCGCGACTATCCAATTCTAGGGCGTGCCGTCTGAGATTGCCGTGGCGCCGTATTGCATGAGCAAAGCGGTTTTGAACTTTTCAGACGTGTACTCCAATCCAATCGTACGGGCACGTCTGCTTAGACTGTGTGTTCGAAGAAGCGCTTTGTTAGTGGAGTAAAAGATAATATACAAGCATAGTGCTTCGTTTGACGTTGTCAATGAAATATCGGCGCGGAAGGACGAGGTTGTATGGCGGAGCTCACTTTCTTCAATATTTCATAATATCACTTCAAAATTACAATTCAAAATGACAATATTAGACATAGCAAATACGCGGCTTAGGTCAGTCCCGTTTTTAACTTTATGTTGTGTTTGGGGGATATATCGTCTATACGGCAAATCCGCACCAGAATCATGGCAAGCCATTAGCACTATACCGTTACAGAAATTTGAACGCTATTTTGCAATAAGGCAGATGAAACAAAATGCTCTATTTGGAGATACGTGATTTGAACAATGGAAAAAACCCTTGGGATTACCGGAGACAAATCTAGATACGTAAATAATAAATCATCTGTTCAAATCTACTTGAATCTATTTTTAGCAAAAACCACTAGATTAAGGAAAATTTCTTCATCTTCGCCCAGGGTTATTAATTGTGTCCTAGAGAAAAAAAAAAAACCTTAGTAACGTATCTGACTCAAAGGTGTGAAGTCAATATCTATGAGGTAATTACTTTAAAAATATTTATCGTACACACAAACGTGTAGAATACAACACTCAGCATAGTTTCGTAAAATGACAGAAAGAAACGTTCTGTGACAGATTTTTACTGCCGAAGATGGCAATTTGAAATGTTCAATTAATTCAGACGGCACTATATGGAGCGCATGTGAATATTTATGACTTTATTGCTCTACATATGATGTTTTAATGTAAATTGGCTCAGTCAGCATTAACGTGAATGATGATGAGTACAAACGGGATGTGCATCTACATTCGATGATTCCTATCCTTGTTATCGTAGAATCGAATCAACACCCCTCCTAGAGGCACCTGACCGGTTAGCCTTGATAGTCGAGTGATAAAACTTCTCCCAATAGTTGTAATGAAATTTAACTGAGGAGCTGAATCAAACCAGTAGAGTAGAGTCCATACTTTTGGTGACTCACATCAGGTGCAGAATCTTCATTTGACGCAATTAGCCACTAAACATTGTTTTATATATTTCGCTCATATGTTCCTTGCCTTTTATGTCTAATAAGGCTTAAGCGTTCAGTTGCAACCACTATAAAGGTTAATATACTACGATAAGCATATATGTTACAAAAATGTTCGTATTGATACTATTGTAATTTCAGCTACTGTTTATCTTCTTACTTGGACATGACATCGATTTCGGACATATGGAAGCAGTAAACCTTCTGTCGTCGAATAAATACTCCGAAAAGCAAATTGGGTACCTCTTCATTTCGGTACTACTGGATGAAGGCAATGACCTGATGCGTCTGATTGTGCAGAGTGTCAAGAATGACCTTTGTGCCAGAAACCCCATTCATGTTAATCTCGCGTTACAGGTTAGTAACTGTTAATAACAAATATGTTCCATACTCATACATATATATCTCATGTTTTTTGTTCTTATGGCCAGATCACGTGTGTTCGCTGCTTAACTTTAGTATGGGACTAGGCGGACCTATGGGTTATAGTAGTGACTGAGACAGATCGTTTGTATTCGATATCTGCCTAGTACATGCATTTAAACTAACTGTATGCATGCATGCAAATGTATGAATTCAGTGTATCGCAAATATTGGTTCCCGTGAGATGGCGGAAACGTTCGCTAACGAGATACCTAAGCTTCTAGTCAACGGGGACACCCTAGACGTCGTTAAGCAGAGTGCAGCTCTATGTTTATTGCGGCTCCTTCGCGCGAATGCAGATGTCGCACCATCGGGGGAGTGGACGACTCGAATTATACATCTGCTCAATGATCCTCACCTTGGCGTTGTCACTGCTGCTGTCAGGTAAACACAAAGCAGCGCAAATACTTTACGGATTCCCTTACCTACGTAAATCATGCTTCAAATTTCTCTAACTAAGCAAAGCAATGTGGTTATCCGATCAGGCATAGCTAGTCCGACAGTACTATTCTATTATTATTACACCATTATTTTTACAGCCAAACGCTAAAAACTACTGGCTGTAATTATCAGAAACTATATTGGTCCCTTTTTTAAGATCCAGGCCAGGCTTCGGGCAGTGATTTGAATGGGCCAGGCCGACTTATCTTAACAACACCTTTGTTCCGAAGTCGACGTGCAGATAGACGAACAGACCTACAAATACCACAAGATATGGCATGTACATAATCTGAATTCAATGGAACTTCTAGCTTCGCCAATTAAAACTGCTTAAGTTCGTAGTTAATTTGTCGGCATGGTGTCACCGCAGCTTGCAACTAGGAGCAGTGAGGATTAATTATAAGATACTGAAATTTTCAGAAACATTTGCATTTTGTCGATATTTAGTTTGATCGATGCGCTAGCAAAACGTTCCCCTGAAGAATACAAGGCCTGCGTCAGTCTGACAGTTTCGAGGCTAAGTCGCATTGTCACAGCATCGTATACGGATCTGCAGGACTACACGTATTACTTCGTGCCGGCGCCGTGGCTTTCGATCAAATTGCTTCGACTTCTACAAAATTACCCACCTCCAGAAGATCCCGGGGGTACGTTGCATAAAACAGTTAATTTAATTAAACTTAATTAAAGCTAAGTATTGCTGTTGAAAACCAGTGACAACAGAACTTAGTCGATCTTCATGAGACTAACTCATACATGAATTAAGCTTAGCAATTTGCACAAATTTCTGATTAATTTGTTAGTTAATTTTGTTAGTTAAATTTTGTTAGTTAAGTTTGTTGTATATACAGATCTTGTCGTAATCTAATGAGGTTATATACCTCGTAAACCTGTAACATTGGTCAATTAGCGATTTTTTTTACAAGATTGGTCTGACAATAACAATAATATTAATAGTAATGACAACAACTACGACACCATAACTTCTTTTAATTTGAATTGCTTCGAATAGTGAAGGGACGTTTAAACGAATGCCTGGATTCTCTCCTGAACCGTGCGCAAGAACCGCCAAAGTCAAAGAAAGTTCAACACTCCAATGCAAAGAATGCTGTACTCTTTGAGGCCATTTCACTAATTATTCACATGGATCGGCTGGGAGCAGCTGTTGAACCCTCCCTCCTGGTGAGTAGATCATTATGGCGGTTTTATATCTATTCTGAAAACCGATTATGGTTGCACTGTGTTATGCCAGTATGATGCCTGAAGTACCAAATGAGGCTTTTTACAGTTACACCCCGTGGTTTTTTTATTCTGTTAGGTAAGGGCCTGCAATCAGTTAGGCACCTTCCTGCAGCATCGTGAGACGAATCTCCGCTATTTGGCATTAGAGTCACTATGTCTTTTGGCGACGTCGGAATTCTCTCACGAGGCCGTCAAGCGGCACCAGGAAACGGTAGTGGCAGCTCTGAAGAGCGAGCGCGATATTTCGGTGCGTCAGAGGGCCGTAGACCTGCTGTACGCAATGTGCGACCGCGGAAACGCCGAGGATATCGTCAGCGAGATGCTCGCCTACCTTGAGAGCGCTGACTACGCCATCCGTGAGGAAATGGTTCTTAAGGTTCGTTTTAAGGAAAATATACTTTCTGCATTTATAGGGGTAATTAGCATCAGGTATATAGAGATTTATAGACCACCCTTGTTGGTCGGACTCGCTTATTTTGACCTGGATGTTGTTATTACAGGTTGCGATTTTGGCAGAAAAATATGCATCAGACTATTCATGGTATGTCGATGTCATCCTAAACCTAATTCGTATTGCCGGCGATTATGTCAGGTGAGAATGATTTTGTTACACGTACTCGCCGAAATCAAATCAATTACCAAACCTCAAAGCATCAAGCGTCCGTTAATAGTATATTACAACATTAACTTGTTATAACATTATTTATTCTAGTTTTAATATATAATAGTTCAGTCATTACATATATGAGAAGCAGTATTTATTTATGTTAACAGTTGATAGCCTGTGGTGTTTCATATATTAACTACATTTTGTTATGATAAACGTTTGCAGCGAGGAAGTTTGGTATCGTGTCGTCCAAATAGTAATCAACAGAGATGACGTTCAGGGCTATTCAGCAAAAACGGTCTTTGAGGCACTACAGGCGCCTGCCTGTCACGAGAACATGGTCAAGGTGGCAGGCTATATCCTTGGAGAATTCGGAAATCTAATTGCAGGCGATTCTCGCTCGGGACCTATGGTTGGTTTCGTCAGCGCCTGCCTACTTTATTTGAAATCATTGTAGGGCGACAAAACTGGTATCATGCAGCCATACTTTTCCGTGAGGATATTATCAACGGGAATTAATTAGTGTCAACCTCTATGTGACCAAAGTGAATTTTCGTTGGTTATTGAGGACATCTGTAGTGAATAATTAAAGTCAATGGATACTTCTTTTATTAGTTGCATCACTTCTGTGATTAACTGTTGCGTACACTGCGCGCTTACTAAGTAAACACGTTTCTTTTTCGCTTTTAACCGATTTAATTAATACACTTCAGAACAGTTTCACGGTTCATGTTGTATCCGTATCGATAATGGACGCAACGGATTGATTGGCTAAATTGCTAGCTGAAAAAGTCGAATATCGTTAATTTAACTCCGGCGAAAAGAGTGTACACTTTATACAATATAGAAGAAATATTCTTGTATTCATATCCCATAAACGATTACCCGCTTATTTTTCTCTTTTAACTTGTGAGTCTGACACTAACAGGAGTAACGGCTTAAATTTAAGCACACTTATTGACCAAGGGACTGTTACCCATTTAGGTGCAATTCCGCCTTCTGCACTCCAAATACCATCTATGCTCACTGCCTACACGGTGTCTGCTTCTTACGACGTATGTGAAATTCATCAACCTTTTCCCAGAAATCAAACACGAGGTTCAGGCCGTTTTAGGACAAGATTCCAATGTGCGGTGCGCTGATAACGAACTGCAACAGAGAGCTGTTGAGTACCTCGCATTGAGCCAGGTGTGAGGAAGCAATTTCATGGCCTTGTACTGGGGTAACACATTCATCAACCCCATCATTAAAGAATCTAAATAAACATGGCTTGCTTATTTGTTATTTTATATAATCACTCGCGTTTTTCTGAAAAGTTAAGATTCAAAATACATTCGTTTGCAAAAATACATTCGTTAATCAGTATAAACATCTAACTAGGCTCGACAAACTATGTGGTGCTTGTCTGTCAGATTGATTATTGAATTAGGTCCTAGATCACAAAATTCGTTAAAGTTTATGCAACTTAATCTTAATGAATTGAATTATAGGTGGCATCACAGGATGTCCTGGCGACTGTTCTCGAAGAGATGCCTCCGTTTGCTGAGCGTGAAAGCTCGATTTTGGCAATTTTAAAAAGAAAACGACCCAACATGACTGAAGGTGTCCAGGCATCCGCTAAAGAAAATATTCGGGCAGCACAGGTACCTAAAACTTACATACCAAAATATTGTGTTTATTAACTTCGTGTTAATAGTTATTACTGAAAAGGCAGTGAATTGCATAATGACGCTAGAAAAGATCTTGTTACAAGGGGCAAAAGTTCAGCTTTACAAGAAACAATAGAAATATTAACTATGCAATAATAATAATACTTTTAAAGGATATACTGCCAGCTGCCCCGCCTCCAACGGACAACGGGAGCGCCGCTGTAATGGCGGACTTGCTTGGACTCGGGGATGAAGTGACGCCTGTTAATGCTCGACCTGTTGCTGCAGAAGGTCTGTTTACATAACTGTTCCAAATATTATTACATCTACAGGGTAATTACATAAAGCTATTTCTAACCAAATAGGCATTTTTTGTATATTACTTTAACGTCTCTTGCATGAGGTCGACGCCTATAAGCTGAGCCCAATTTGTAGAATGATAAAATGATTAGTTAAATTAACAAACCTAATGAACTTAACACTTGATAGTGCAGGAATTGAACGTGTATAACATACACGTAAGTAAATTCGCTTGTTTATTTTTTGTACTTATAATATATTATGCTATTTCAGCTGAAGACCACCGTACGACTCCTCCAGTATCACTGGGTACAACGAACGAAGAGGGCCTTGCTAAACTCGCACTCAAAAACCAGGGTGTCGTATTTGAAAATGACATCCTTCAAATTGGGGTTAAGGTTAGTTTCTCGAGAGCACTTCTACGATGTTCGTTCAATTAACGGTATTAAAATAGTCTACAATCAGTTCTTCTATAAATAAACTTCAAGCCCCCTATGATGCATGTCACACACATACATTCTCAAATATTGATGTAATATTTATACTAGGCCGAGTTTCGACAAAGCTTGGGACGACTCAGCGTCTTCTACGGGAATAAGAGCCCAGTACGATTAAACGGTTTTGTCGCTGCTCTTGCGTCGAATAGCCTTAACGGTAATGTGCTGTCTATGGTTACGGTGTTTTAATGAGTTCATCTGTTATTATGTGATGTCTGTCATGATTTAGACGGATACTCTAACATAAAGAAGATGTCTTACCTTCTTGTTTGTCGTTTGTATGTAGCCCTTACGGTTTCTTTCTTTGTGGGCGTACCAGTCATTTCGTTTATTGGTAGCCAGCAGCAATGAATTGTGTTATACTCTGTTCAATTGGAACGTTCTTTGCGAAGTCGTATAATTATTTGAACGCTTTTTATGATGAAAAAATAGGTCTAACAGCGATGGCATCAGAAGTCGACCAGACGGTGGAGGCAGAAGCTCAGGTTGAACAAACCATCAACGTCGAAGCGACAGGATTCCAAGTGGATAAACCACAGTTGAACATCACATTCACATATTGTGGCGTACCGCAAAAATTCATGGTACAACTGCCGGTGTTCTTGCACAAGTTCCTCGAAGGTACAATTATGTAACGGCCCATTAATAGAAAGCTTTCAGTTATTTCAAATTCTAGGATATGGAGGGTAGCCATGTTATCGGGGCTAGCCCTCATAGCTTTCTCAAATTAATATGGGTCGCCTAGTCAACGTGTGGCATATTCAAATTATATAAAAACTTGTTTCACTGGCCAAGTATTTGATCATACAATACCGCTATTCAAACAAAAACAGAGATTATTATTCGAGCAGACGGAAACGAGTTTTGGCTCTATCAAATAAACTTATGATAATTAGAGAAGCTTAAGGTGATAACTACTAGTACTAAATAATATAAAGAGCTACTTTTGAGACACCAAGCCTATAGTTGTCCCGACGCTCAGGCCGGTTCAATTGCCAAATATGTCTGTGCGTTTAATATTTTGTTTTAGTCGATCACTGCCCAAGTTGAGTAAACATAATAAGTAGGCCTCTTAAAAGCTTCAAAGTATTCGCCTAATGAGTCTTCCACTTACACAAGCTCCTTGAACATTTAACTTATGTGAAAACCCTGTGTGTGCCAGTATTTTTGTGCGTTCATGCATCCATCACCGCTGTCGAAGTCTATATATCAGGAACGCGCAATGAACGAAAATCGTTTCATTCAATTAATCATCATCAATATACCATATACTGGATTATAATAGGGATTTCCTAACGAAATTCCAGGCCCAGGTTTCCGTATCTGGAGCTGCTAACTTAGATCAGGCATTACATCAAATATGCGGGACATACAACAATTAGCTTAGCCTCCAAACTGTATGCATTTTACAAAGGACATCACTACTGTCGCAAAGAAGTAAATTTACTGCGAGATAACGCCGTTTAACGAAGAAAGCTAGGGATCAGAAATAGGCATAAATTAAACGTCTATCAAGAGTACATCGTCAAAATGAAACGTTGTATTGAGGAAAACGTAATATGTATCTTCTGCAGGAACAATAATGAACGCGGAAGCTTTCTTTATACGCTGGAAAAACCTGACGAATCCCTCTCAAGAAGAGCAACGAATCTTTCGTGCAAACGGACCACAGACGGACGAGAGCCTTAAGTTATCCGGTTTCGGCTTTGGTGTCCTACAAGGGGTAGGAGCTTTTTAAGAATATCGAGGCTAGCTTTAATTTAAAAAAAAAATAGGTAATATATCATTCGAAAGGTTTATGTCCTGAAGAAAGTACTTTTTGAAGAACTGTGAAGTTCTGGGTAATTTTTTTTTTAATAATCGGCTAACATCTGTTGCCCTTGATAAGCTTTTAATATCCCAAAACTAAAAATAAATTTACGATTCTTACAATGTGGCTTGTTTGTAGGTCGATCCAAATGCCGATAATCTAGTCGGAGCAGGGATTCTCCACACCAAACAAGGACAGGTTTGTCTTGATCGAACAAGCCAGTCGCATGCTCTATGATTAGTGCTGTGCTATTTCGAAAAATTAATTCAGCAACTAGAAACCAAGTATTCGATAAGATATAATTAATTTCGTCTGATACATAATATAACATTGGTTGCTTTATGTTAAGTTCGTATAACAATTACAAAGTTCACTACACAAATAACATCATTATCATTATCATCTAGTTCAATAGGACAAAAGCGAAATAAACGCATCATTATGCCCTTTGCATTTTATGACGATCCACTTTTGCAGGTTGGCCTTCTGCTAAGGCTGGAGCCAAATCGCAACGCTGGGATGTATCGGTTAACTGTCCGAGCCAGTAGGGATGGAGTCGCCCAACTTATTGTTGACGCCCTAGAGCCGCACTTTTAAGGTGGCAGCATGATGCATGTTTCGGATTTCGGCGCTATGCACACAGATATCTGAAATGTATGTACCACCCACTGATATCATGACGGATATTGGCTGAATGACAGTGATCACCCTTCGAGCCTAGTAAACGCCGATCAGTATCTAGATGCCGTAATCCATGCATACGATGTTAAGTAAGGTAAACGCAATGCCTCTCTACAAAACCATTGATGTTAATAGGGGCAGCCCATTGAATTAGATAACCGTTTCAAATCAGTGCTTCTGGTGAATCTCCGAACAAACGATTGACTAAGACATTACAAATGATGTTCCTTTCTAAACACTAGGGTGAGCGATGTTACTTACTAAATATCTTTTCCGATTGCTTCAACATATTTGTACTTGTGGGCATTAAAGGAGACGGAAACGAATTCATTTAATTGAATAAAATACCTTGCGTGTCTAACTTTCGAATATAAGGCAAGTTAGCATCATGCCACTTCCTGGTGGACTTCGCTTAGTTAAAGTGAGAACCATGCCTCCTGGCCGGTCTGTACGTTTGAACAAACTCATTAGTCACGCTCGTAGCCAGAGCTCGTAGTTATATGAGGAGAAATCGACACGCTAAAAAAGACTATCTTCGAACATTCAGGAAGAATGGGTAGCAAACTAAGGAAAATAACCGATAAGAAACATCTACAGTAAAAATCTCAGGTCTGGTTAATGTATGACCTACGCAAGTTGTTGAAGTTCTGCCGTAAAATACTGAACAAGTCTTTATCGAGTTGCGTTGTGGTAGGTGGCTAGATGGGTCGAGGTGTCTCTTACGTAACGTTAAAAGCAGCAAGCCGTGTATGTGTCCATAGGCGGCCTATGCTGTCGCCACGCGTGAACTCGGGATGCTCGAAGCGCCACAGTCAAGCAGCAATAAGATGAAGACAGAGCTAAGATCTCGTAGATGACACTAGGATACTGAAGATACCCAATTTATAAAGTCCTTTTCACCAGAATAACATATTCGTCTGCCTAGGAACGCCTTCTTGACTACCCGAACGGAACTACTGCAACTGAATGCACTTGTGGTTTAGGTAGACCTGTACATCGATGATAATATTAACAGATTACAGAAGAGACATAACGATCTATCGAATCTGTCCCGTATAATGTAAGCCCCAATGCAGAAGCAACACATAAAAAAGTAATGGCTAGTTAACGTGAGCCAATTGTTGGAGAAGCTAGTAGTAATAAGGATAATTATTATGAATTGATAAAACATGTGTAGCTAATACGCGTCGTTAGATAATGCCTTAGTGATGACGATAATAAGCAAATAAACTAGAAAACAAGAGGAGACAACTAGAAAAATAAGACAGAAGTAGAAAAACTGAGTTAAATATCTAATGCTATACTATTAGTGTTATAATTGCGTTACTGTTCAGACATACCGTATTACGATACTATTACGATATTATATATAAATAACAAACAGAACAAGCAGCAAAAGCAATTAACAAAACGAGACTGCATATTAAGAAAGAGTACGAAATTGAATCACTGCCGCCACCGCTACATAACTGCACACGAGGCAGAATATCGAACGTGACAATTACGAGCGAAAAAGGCACGGCCCGAAAAGCTTCCAGGGGAAAACAATTCCACATCAAAACCTAGAACAAAGAAGCTATATACGAACGATAATAACAACCATAATAATAATATATAAATTACATAACGATAACCAATAATATATCAACAACAAAATTAACACCGCAAAGAAGTCCTAATTATACTGATATAAATTAACCACCAGTTTGTTAGAATGACGTCCGCACAACGTAACGAACGGTCAGTCTTTTATTAGTTAGTTGGGACCTTTGCCTGTCTAATCTACTATAAACCTTCACACGCGACCCTGACATGAGAACGTTCCCTACTATCATTTAACTAACCTTTATAAAATACACACACACATTGATAGACATAGGCATTATAATGATGTGAACTATAAGATAGCAGCCAAGCAAACATATGATGGCCAAAAAACAAGGTCAAAAGAAAAACGAGGGCCCACCCTTAAACGAAACCCCCTTCCTGCTTCTCATAAGAACTCGCGAAACCCTCCTCTGCTATTTAAGGTACTAACTATTATGACGAATCGTGATGACCGGTAATAATAATATAATGATGATGATAATCATATGATACAAGCGCAAGTGAAGCTTGAGTGAGTCATTCCTGTCAACATTTTTTTATTATTTCAGTGATATTTAATGGAAAACTTTATCTACGATAATTATTTTTGCCATTATTCATACACAAAAAAGTGAAAAGAGTTATCATATGTACGCAAACTGTTAATACTATTATTACGTCTAAGAGTGATATTAACAGTGATACCGACTCTGAACGCGTTGTTGCATTGAAGATAATAAACAACCACAGAGCTGAAGATGCTCGATCGGGTAGCCTCTCTCCCATTAATAGCGAACAGCTGAAAGCTGATGCAGTAGATAAAATTAAACGTGGAAACACTATTATCATATTTAAATAAGGATGTAATAAAAGGGAGCAAACATGCGTGACTGAAAATGCTAATACATAGGTGATGGTACAAGGATATTAATTATTATTATTACTATTGATATAATAACAATAATAATGTAAGTTGAGAAAAGACCACCAACCACTATCATATCTAGCGGCAACAAGAGCAGTATCGAAATAAAGGCTAAAAAAAGTGATACAAACCAACATAGCGATCGCGTCGGTTTTCAGTGCTTTATTTATATTTGTTATTGTGTAATAGTGAATGTTTCTTTAGTTTAAATTGAACGTTATTTTTTATTAGCTTAACCGCAGCTTCCTTAGTGTATGATGTCCTTATTGTACAATAGGATACTTATCATAATAAACTATTATTATATGTTGACTACAGTAATAATAAGGGTAACCGTAAGTAAATCAACATCGTATTTAAGACCTCCTCTCTCAGACCCGTCTATCATTTCATATGATTTGTGCAGCACAACCTTACGGAACACGTCTTGCCCAAACTAAATTAGACCGATTCAATTACAGCTACGTGCATGTAGCTGTTTAACTCTGTCGCCAAGGCAAGGGTTTTGTCCCATAATACCGGTTTGCTCCCGTTTGAATAATCATCAATTTCTCGCCTCATTCGTTCTCGCTTGCTCGCACCTTTTTCTCCGTTTGTCGTTCGTTCTTTCACCATAACTACTGTCTGGTTGTTTCTGCATATGCATGTAATCCACAACAATGCTTTGCAATGTTACAGGTGTTTGTTTGCTATTGCTTAAGGTCTAATCATCATCCGAGGAGTCATCTGAACTGCTTTCCGCCTCTGTAGGCTTCCTCGCTTTGACAGGTGGTGCTTTTGCTTTTGCGGGAGGTGCAGAGACTTCTTCATCGGAGCTCTCGTCATCAGAATCTTCCTTTTTAACGGGTACCTTGGGCTTCTTAGTTGGCGGTTTGGCAGCCGCATCAGAGTCGGAGCTATCCTCAGAGCTACTCTCCTTTTTAGCTGGCTTCTTAACCTTTTTCGCAGGTTTCTCCGGCTCGTCAGAATCATCGGAGCACTCGGCCTTTACAGTAGTTTTCTTAGCAGTCTTAGGTTTTTCTACTTCCATAGCAGCGCCCTCTACATAGCTAGCTGGCGTTTTCTCATTAGGGCGTCCGTATTTGTCGAGTTTACCCTCCTCAATAAGCTTCTTCTTAGCCAACGCCGTCTTTCCAAGACCCCATGACCGGGGATAGGTGTCACGCTCCATAACGACACGCTTGATTTTAGCTACACAGCCGTGGTCAACTGACGAAATTGTGGAGGAGGTCATTTGAGCAATAGCTAAGCAAATTGCTTCGCCCTTGGTAGTCATGACAACGACCTCCTCGTTAAGTTCGATGCCCTCATCGTAGCGCAACACCCCAGGCAACATGATTTTCGCACCGTAGCAGATGGCGTTTACCGACGAATCCTTCATCACGATCCTCTTCTTATCGGTAAGCAAGCCCTCTAAGGGACGAACAACCCGACGCAGATAACTCTCGTCCCTGTTGTTTTCATATACATACATTGCATCTTTGATGTCATGCATTGTCACCATCGTGTCACGTTCTCGATTCGTGCCGGAACGGACGCGTCGTAGCTCGGTCATGATACCGCCCGTCCCACAGAGAAGGCCAATATGAACGCACGATGTACGCACGTACGTGCCAGCTTCGCACGACATCCATAAAATACCCGAACGCTTTTCCTCATCATATTCTACTAATTTTTGTTGGTAAATTGTGCGCACCCGAAGCTGACGCTTGACGGCGGCAATCAGAGGTGGACGTTGGAACAAAGCTCCTTGCAGCTTTTCGACAACTTGGTACACCTGCAACAAAATTGTTCAATAATAAATTTTCCAAACAATATTGATATAAAATGTGCCATGTCACAACGTCCGCTATAATATCACATTAGCTCAATTTGGGTTTGTTAATAGGACAAAAAATCCGCAGTGGTACGCTCTATCAGTTGGTTTTGAGTTGTTACAATGAAGCTTCTGATGATCATATTTGAATTGCCCATGTTTGGAGCGAAACAAAACGCATTTCATATATTAATGTGACATCCTCATAAGTGAGGGACTGCCCAGAGAAATAGCGTCTTGCTTAGTATTTGTAAAGAACGATCAACATTGGAATTCGTTCAGCAAACACACTATAAGTGCTATTTAGTGTGTAGTTACCTTTGCAACGCTTTCTGGTGGCTCGTGCAGTTGGAAGACGCCAACATACTCTTTTCCGGCACCCTGCTGACTTTTGACGAGCCTTGTGGCTCTATCGATACATACGACAAGACAGCCTGACGTCTTCGGGTCAAGTGTGCCAGAATGACCTGTCTTCTCGACTTTTAGGATACGCTTAATCCAAGACACGACCTCGTGACTAGAAGGATTTGATGGTTTATCAAGATTGATGTAACCAGACTTCAAATACTCCTTGAGGGGACGCTTTAGAGGCGATGAGCCTTGGGGCACAGGGGTGTAATGGTTTGTACGGACGACAAGTTTGTCAAAGTTCTTCAAAAGAAGAGGCCATTCCGATGTATCTAGAGTAGGTGCACCAGATGACGGTTCAATACGAAAATCGCCTGACACTTGAGCCTCACCTACGCTCTTGGCTGATTTTTTTTTGTCTTTTTTGTGTTTCTTCGAAGACCCGAGCACTGTGTGTAATAGAAAGTGTACATAGAAACAACAAGAATCAGATTTCGGTAATATGTAAGAAAGTCGAGAAACATCGACAGGTGTCGACATTTTCATTCTATAATGAATGTAGAATAATAAAAAAAAAGTATAAAAAAGGTATATAGTCTCCTGAAACTGCCAGCAAGGACCAGATACGCAATAAAGTAATGCAGCGTAAGCATTAACACTTAGTAATATAAACAAATCTAGTATTATCTCCAATTGATACAAAAAAGACACTGCATTGATTGTTTATCTTTTTAATTCAGACCATCAGTAAAAATAATATTTTTTACAGTTAAAAAGAAAGGAGTTTACACTTAAGATTAACAATTAACTTAAAGTAATTTCGTTAGTGGTATTCGAAAAATCTAGCACTGGAGTGTCAACCTAATATTCCATTTGAGCATTTTTCTACACAAAGCACAATTTACTAAAACTTTATTTATTTTTTTACTTTTATTTGATAATGTTGTACCCTTATTATATTTTTGTCAATGTTCTTATAATTTACGCACTTTATTCGTGATGTACTAAATTGAAATTATAAAAATTTCTAATGTGAACTTTTGCAAACATATTAACATGCGGAGACTAGCAGAATGTTCGATTTTTCATGTACTACTCCTAATTTATTGCAGAGTCTTATCAAAACGGAGTCAAATACTTAACTAGTTATAGTTATCAAAACACGCTGAAATAGTTCAGCAAGCTAAAAATTCTTATCCAACATATTACAACATGCGTTTGAATTCTCATTTTTTAAATAGGACATATAACTGAATATATTAACACAGTGGAACTAAATTCTCGTTCTGCTTATATTTTCAAAATGACTGAAAAGACAAGTTTCAATTAACCTCGAGTTTGCAACGCGTCGCCCAATGGTGGCGCCTTTTCAGCACTGACGCATGCAACCAACATACCACGTGTGTTGACTATAAACAATATGTGATACTTTGAGATTCAACTACGACCTGTGTTGTTTAACCGTGTGCTAAATTATGCTTCCTTTGGATCAGTCCACATGCATACAATCTGCATGACACGACCCACTATTATGCAATAACACAGCACTAGCAACAAACGCCAGGTAGCAAATTTTTGTCGTTGTAAAGCCGGCAAATATCGTAGCCCTATCGCCAAACCGAGAACAAAATCCGTCGTCGAGATTTATACCTTGTACGCACTTCGTCGGCAAGATATTGTCCAGATTCGTTAAGAACGGTATATGCATCAGTTAGGACACTCACCTTGAGCCGCGTCTACCATTTTTTCAGCTGGCGTAGTTTTTGTCAGGATTAGATGAGTGATTGACCATAAGCCAAACACACCAAGCAGTCGCGCGATAGATACTAACACGTGCTCTCCGCTTTCGGCTCACATCATAACAGTTAAACGGAAATTGTAAATTCAAAACTACTCACTTTGTTTTGGAGGATATACCAAAATAATAACAATTATTGATATTTCTTCGAATTGTATATCAATGTTTGGTTTAAACCAATTACGATGCTTTTCTTTTTTAATATAGATTGGTTCGCAAATAATTTGTTTTTGGATATCAGGGGAACCTGGAGCCTATGCTGCGCATTAATAGAGAACGAGTTGCAGTCATTGATTGCGGACGATCACATTGTCTGCTAGAGCAGAGAAAACATTCTATACTTATTTTGTCTTATTGTTACTTTACCCTTCGGTGTGCAAAATTTTTTGCGTCTCGAAGATAGATATTAAAAATAATTCTTTTGTGACTGTATCTACACTATGCACTATGATTGCGTAAAATGATGAGCTAGTAAGTAAAGGCTACTGAAAAATTCGTCAGATCTAAGTGATCTTCTCCGAGCTGTTTCTGGACTGAAAGTGATGGTACGTACATCACATGTGCTCAATATACAATAGAAAAATGAAAAGACTACTAAGTACAACGTGTTTTCCAAAAGCCACATCGATGAGTAAGCCCTGGGCAATCGTCGAGTTTTACTAGGAGTATTTCGTACGTTTTCTAATATCTTGTTTATGCTATTATTGTGAATGAATCATATCAATTGTCAGTTCATTTTTATCCTTTTTGCGCATTTTGCTTCGAGTATAAGATTGGGTACAGAGGGTTCTGCTAAAATTAAATTTTGCTTGGCATTTAGGTCGAAAAAATATGCGAGCTTTAAATTCCTCTTCATGATTCATTACAACTAGTTTGCCAACGTTGTGTTTCTATTGAATACTTCAGGGAACTCCAGCAACTCAAGCAACGCGGACGGCTGCTTTTCTCTTGACCCAGTTCGGACTGAACGCCGAGCGGGTATTTGTGAAGGCTCCCCGGATCGCAGAGGTTTGAAACATTTTTTAATTCGACAATATAAAAATAAAGATCCAACAAGTGCCCAAGCACGAAAAGGGCATCAGATGTGCCAGAGTGACCTCCTATTGACGGAAATGGCACAGATGTAGTTTATTGAAGTAGCGCCTTGATACGAACCAAACTTCGACTTAATAAGGGATTCTAAGCACATCATAGTGTTGAACTTCAGCATTTTGCATAATATACCATGCCTTTCATAATAGCACTGCCTAGAGTGTCCACCGCTTCCCATTGCAGGTGATTCATTAGAGACAGGTTCGGTTAAGTTATACGAGATTTTTTTACAAAATAAATTTATCTATTTCCATACGGTTCGACTGGGTGTTTCAGGTACCAAATCTTGCAGGACAATTGCAGTTCTGGACGCTGAATGTTAGGCTTACTGCAATAGAAAACTTCCCTGAACTTCTCTACCTTCGACCCGATGTAAAGCCTGATTTTAGTATTAAGCTAAACACAGGATAATAGTCTTTTAGTAAATCTATCGTTAATCTCCATAATACAACTTACAGCAGACTATATGCCTATACGGACTGAGTACTCATATTTATCAAGTCGTCATGTTTCACACAAGTTTGACGTCTATCGACTCAGATGAATTTTTCAGACCTATTTGCTCATCGCGTGCTGACGAGATGGTCTTAAAAGCCGAAGATAACCGTATGGCAATATATATATTGCCACTATGATTAAAGCCATGCTATTGATCCTGCTTAAATTACACAGGTATACACCGAGTTCTATAACAGTTTCGTCAAAGCGTTTGGTGTGAAGGATCTTCCGCATCTATTGGGCAACTGCCCGCAGGTGCTATTGCACGAATGGCCAGACCTTCAGAAGAAAATCGAATATGCAGTGAACACTATTCAAACTTCTCACAAACAGATCGTTCATTCTAAGTAGGTTTCCAATAATTCATTATGCGGAATATGTTGTATTTATATTTATATAAATATATTTGCAGTTATGGAAGCCTAGCCTGCGATGCTAAATAATTTATTGCAGTTTGTTCATAGTAGCCATTGCTCTTATAGAGCATCAGACAGATGAGAATTGAGTTCAAAATACCTCGAGGCATGCGTATAAGTAATGCGAGGAAATGCGTATAAGACCGGTGACGTTGTTTACTAATCGTCTACTTTCAGGTATTTATTGTACCCTTTTGTACATATCAAAACTCGATTTGAGCTAGTTTTGAGAACTGGCGTGTATGTAAAGCCTAATCGAAAGGACAGAAAAAAAGCGTACGTGATGCCCCTGCATAAAATCGTCGAATCTCCATTGGCGTATATTCTCAAAAGGACAAGTAGGTTTAGTGGTAAAAATAATAGAAATTATTTTCACAGACTAAGCAAGCTGATGACGCTAGGTATAGCAAAATCAGCTGTTGGAGTCTTCTAAGACGTTATCGGAGTTCATATTCGATCAACATCTTTTTTCAGTTTTTTTTCAAAACTTGAGTTCAGGTTATTTAAATCTCGCGCCTCGAGAATAACGTTTTGAGCGTACTAAAATGTTTTCCAATATCTTCTTGTACAAATCCCACTGAGTTTATGCTCGCTCTGACCTACCTGCATCAAGAAATAGCTAAACGATAAATTAGCACTTGAAGTGTTAGTAACATCGAGTTTTTTAGTCAGAAGCACATTCTTAACTAATCTGAAACTTCTACGTATATAAGCTGGTTGGTGATAACGACATGCTGGAGCATCCTAGATGAAAGTTACCGGACATCTCTTCAGTGCAATCAGCCGTACTTATTGGTACTAATATTGCTTCATTTTAGGGTTAAGCCAAAGGGAATATGAAACCTTCAAAAAAATCATTCGGGAGGAACTAGAACAAGAAGAGGACGAAACAAATCTGCGGGAGGAGCGTAAACGCTGGGGATATGACCAGGACGATTACGACGCCGACGAGATAATCGCAAAAGAGAAAACTGAAGGAAGAAAACCTACGCGGTAATCAAAATAGTAAATTAGATACTTCTGATAATAATGATAATAATAGGAATTACGCGGTACATAACCAACAAAGGACTTAAATATATTTCTGGTTGTATTGTATTTATTTGAAATAAAGTCTTTCATTTACTATTTGCTATTAGATGCTTTGTGTTTTGTCTGTACATAGTGAACTTCAAACCTAAGTGTCATATATCCTGAACTTTTTATAGATCTTAGAAGAGGCTAAAAACTCTCTTTCTTTCATAAATAATGTGCGGAAGCCTTCTGGCTCAGAGAACAGCTTCGTGTCGAATGAAATCGTCTGAAATCAAGTAGAAAACCAAATTCGCATAATTGGAAGACTACAGGCAGTAGAACGATCGAATAAAGTCGGATCGCCATTGCGAATGGGTTTCAAATTCATCAAAACAGGAAATGAACTTTTCGCGTTTTTTTTCGGGTTAGATTAGAAAAAACTACTAAATCTTTAAACAGCACGTCAAACCAACTCGGTCAAGCTTCTCAAAATGTTTGCTTACGGAAATGTCAAATGAAGATAGCAAAACATCAGGAGCAGTGCAAAGCTTTGTCTGCTACAAGGAACAGTGGCATACATCCTATTGGCGTGTAAGTGTGAGCACTTTCTATTTCACTTCAGCTGAGAAATAGAATTCATCTGTAAAAATGCAAGGACTACACAAGGTCATTTCTTCGACAAATTGCTGGTTTTGAAAAATGTCGTACAATAAGCGAAGCACAGGTTAGTACCAAAGAGGATGCACCTAATCTAAGTTACTTCCAGATCAGTCGGGTCTAGCTTTATTAAAGCGAAGAATATTTTACAAAGTATATAAACCAATTCTGTCTCTGCAGCTAATCATGTGAAAAACCTAATGTCTACCTATTACTCAACTTGCGTATTTCTTAAAAGCCCTTAAGACTACGTGTACAAGCCTCGTACGAATCTTGTAATTGTTACAGTGTATTCTATTCTCGTTTTACTGTTTTGTGTTAAACTTTTGGGTCTCCATATAAGCCAGTGGAAATTTTTCACATAGTTTCGATTGAGCATAACTTCCTACTGAAAACTTTAATACAGTTTTCTTAAAATATTTCTGGTTGCCTTCACTTAATGTTTTGGTGTGCTCCGAATATTATCTCGCTAAAAAGCGGCATATGTGCTCTCAACATATTAACTCATATAAGACTGTATATATTTCATAAAATTTAGTGTTTATTGATTTAGTGGATTCAGTAGAGAACAGAGTAGGCGAGAGTCTGACCGATCCAAGTAAAGAATAAATGGTGGATGAGAGAGAAGATTAACGTTAAGTACTTATCTGGAGGAATTCATGTTACGTATTATTACAATTCTATTGCAATGGGCAATTTTCCATTATTTGTTCAAGAATTGTTTTGCTTTTTGAATAAAGCTTGTGCTCATTTGCCTTGGTTTTTGTAGACTTAGTCGCAGCAGTCATTTTGTTATCCCTAATCAACTTTTACCAGTCACACCATACTCGCAGCACAATCGTGCTTAGGGGAGAACCCGGCGGGGGTGCTGCTAGAGCACCACTCCCGATGTTTTTGGATGTTTATTTGTAACACAGTTATTTTGCATCTCGTACCAGAGTCGAACATAGCTGTTTGATCTATTTTATGTCTTAGAAGCTGACCGTGTAAATCGGAACTCATGGCGCACTCCAACTTGATGTGTCCCTCACATACCTAGCTTACAGCTAAACCATACAAGCTTTCTTTGGCGCACAAGGATGCACGTTGCCGCATTAACAAAAAAGATGGTGGTTTTCTTTGTTTTCAAGTGCCATTACTAACGTCATAAAGGCCATTTGAGATTGTTTGGGTAGTAGGTGCTTGTAGACGTCAAAGTCTTTTTGCTTAAAATGGAGTGAACTTCGGTTGAACTGTGCGTAGACTAGCATCACCGAACTTTTTCTCAAGAGGCGCGCTAAGCAAAAAAGTTAATACCAATTAATATGATATATATATTGAAACACGAATCATGTACCACACATTATTCAAGATTTCTTTTTATTGACCATACTTTAAAAATTCTCATCTTCGGGTGAGATTTTCTCATTTGTCGCTATGTGCTAATTATTAATTAAGACAAAAAGTATTTCATATCTCGTTTGTATTAAATTTATTAAATACATCTTTGATCTTGAACTTGACGAAAGCGAATGTAGCCAACATTGATTTCCGATAGTATGCGAATAATATTCACTAGCACGTCATTATTAACGTATCCTTTGTATATATCCTATATATTTTTATATAGATCTATACGAAATATCTACACAGTCATAATGGCTATGCGACCACCTGGTACGGGGCAAAGTTGCCATAATTTAACCAGCAAATTAAGTCAGCACTGTTTATGAGTAGACTCGATTCGCAGGCTGCGCCTTTGTTAGCCCTTTCGTTTTAGAAATGTACAAGTTATTTACTAGGACCCGCCATGCTTCTACTTCGCGTTAGTTGTTTGAAGTATAACGGAGTACCTCATTTGTTATGCTGTACACACTAACATCGTCCTTGAGTCGTCAAGCTTAATTCTCCTGTTCATCAACGTGAAAAATGCCCGTTCAAACATTTTGTCCAATTTCAGCTCATGTACGGCTTTCCGAAGGTCGTACTTGTAATTACATTGTAACGTACCGGTCGTTTTTTCGCTAACTATTGGTCGAAAACATTTATTTCGTATCCTATTTATTTCGTATCCTATTGCTTAAGGCCCGTCTGTACTTGATTGTTGCCAATTTTTTCGTCTACGTGTTGCATCATTAAAACCATATATAGTCAAACAATTCAATACTGGCTATTGGACGAGGCAAGTTTCCCATCCAACCTGTGAATCAGTTACTGCTTATTTATAGTGCAGTTTGACCGTTTTCCTATACGGTACATATGAACGGTTGGACTATATTACAAAGGAAAATGCACATCTATTACAAAGTTATGCTAATATAATAACTTAGGCAACTATTCGTTTACAGAGCATAAGTTAAAAGAAAAGCACCATGTCTGAAATTCAGTGACGAACCAATAAACATAGTATCTTAACTTAAGGTTGTGAAGGAGATCTACGAAATAAGCCACTGAGAGATCGGTGTTATATAGACATCCAATTTAACCTTACAATCGCCAGGCTGGTGAGAAAAAAGTTCATTTACCATGACCAATTGGAATGTGGAATAATTATGGTCACATGTGTTCACAGTTAGGGCAGTCGAAAGGCTGTCTAAATACGTAACTCTCCAGCGTGTTGCCGCGTGATTACTACCTTGTAAATAGCAGGTGTTTCATTTTCCAATTCCTTCGTTTACAAGGAGCACTGCCCAAGTGCAGACGCGTTCAGTGTTTATGATCACAGAGACTTAATCACGCTGGGCTAGGTTACTTTAATTTCCGTATACTCGAATCGCTGTTACAACATTGAGTCTGTGGTGTAGTTCTAGTTTACGAAGACCTCCGTGTACACATCCGAGTCTTGGCATTGAATCTGAGACCCGCGGTTGAAAACGAAGGCAGCAAACAAGACCTCCATTGCTAACTGGTGTCGATTCCGCATTTCCAGCGGAGGACGAGGATATAGAATTACTATTAGAAGGTACCGAAGTATTGCTAGGGTTACCGGTGTTACAGTTATTGATATTGCTACTGCTGCAGCTACCGCTTGTGCTCGATAAAGTGTGCACGTCCCACATTCGTATAGAGCCGTCCAGACTGGAGCTGAGCAGTAACGAGCCGTCCTTAGAGAAAACGACTGATGTTACGGCATCGTGGTGTCCATGCATGTCGGCCAATAAGCGGCATGTGCGAAGGTCCCATAAACGGACAGCTCGGTCCTCACCCGCTGCTGCCAACCAGTGTCCATTCGGTGAAAAAGCAAGCGAATGGGCCTGGCCTCGATGGCTAGATGGAAAGAGACGTACGACACTACCAGACTGGACGGCCCATAAACGAATCGATCTATCTGAAGCCGCTGTTGCTAGATAATTAGCATTTGGATGAAACGCCAGCGTGTCAACCTGTCCTAGATGACCAGCCATCACGCGTAATGCATCTGTTCGACTTGGCGTCCACAAGCGCGCTGTTGCATCCTGGGATCCTGTAGCAAAGTACAACCCTTCTGGGCTAGTCGCTAGACACCAAGCAGGGTACTGGTGGCCGGTGTATACGGCCATATTGCGTCCTGTTACTGCATCCCAAGCCCGAACCGAAGTGTCTGATGAAGCCGAGAGTAGTAATGCAGGAGAGGCGTATGCTAGTGCGCACACTGTACCGCAATGTCCCAAAAGCCTTGTCCTTCTCCGATTGTCGACGAAGCAGTCATTATCACCTCCGCTCAATCCGTCGCCGCTCTCTGGAGGCCGTCCGGACCTTGTTAAAGTCCGAAGGGCAGAGGGATGAAGTCGTACAACGCTTGAGTGGAATCCTCGTCGCCTTTCTCTCCATGATCTTCCAAGGTGTGAATATGACCCAATTCCCCGTAAGTGCTTTTCTTCTTGATCACTGTCATCATCCGGATTTAACTGAGGTCCTCTCCGTTCGAGAGTGATTGTTCCGTTATCGAGACCGACGGCGAATGTTTCATCTGATAATGCTAGTGACGCTACCGAACAACTCAGAGCTGATGCGTCAACATCAATTAGAAGAACATTAGGGGCATAAGGCTCGGCTCGTACCTGGAATGAAACGACACAAAATAAAACGCCTATTATTATTATCGAAAGTTCCGTATTGACAGCTCATATGGTTCAAACGATCATTGTAATTTATTGTCACTGCGCCTGGTTTTACGAGAGAACACCATTAATAGGTATGAATGACAGTTCCCCAACTTTTTCAAACTGAGAGATTTAATAACGACAACAGCTTAATTTCCATAATTAAAGCTATCTAAATTACGAATCTACATGGAGTAGTGCACCGAAAGACGTTCACAAAGGTTTATCTTCGGAGCATTGCGGCATCACAGAATGACTTGCCTGAAAAGCAACACTCAAAGACCCATAACCCAATTGACTTAATGTAACTCGGCGTACCATGACCCATTATTCGGATGTTTGATGAATAACGTAACACTAAACAGGTCTCACCTTATCTATTGATTGCCGTAGGAGGCTCAGTGCCGATGCAGCGGGGGGTTCAGGTGAAATGGCACCAGCTCCATTGGATGCTGCTATGGCTGTTCTTACATGAGCATCCTCCATTTGGCCACTGGTACTTGAAGTAGACGACGTCATACCATTAATGCGAGATCTTTTCGCTGACGGCGATTTGTGTCGCCCCGCTCCCGATCCTGACTGGCGGTCATTTTGCCTATTTGACGCCCTAGAGTGCGATTTCATGGTTCGGCTATGCAGGCTGGCGAGATGTTGGTGACGCCGTTGGGCAAGCATATGTCTTGACTGGAACAGATGGGGTTCAGGTGGATCCGAAGGTCCCGGTTCGAGCCCAACAGGTCGAAGTCGGTGCTGTGATATAGAATCGAGTTGTATACTAATATCTATGTGTACGTTGAACAAATGTGAAATGTACTCGCTTTGACGGAGGAAACGTTGCAGGTATCGCCAGCTGTCAGCTGACAATTTAACAAGCGCTTTATTTTCACGGAATTCTTTAAGTACCGTACCCTGATGTAACTCCTGGGAGTTTGAAATGCCTTGGAGATCTTCGACAAGACCACTATACAAGTCGACACCCGCGAAGAGTCCGCCAAACATTGCCTCGAAACGAAGCAGCAGGTGACGCTGCTCCGCTGACAGTAAATCAATTATAGCATTGACAAAAACTGGCCACAGACAGTGACTGAGCTCAGAACGAAACGGTTCAACGGCCTCGGAGATGAAGTTCTTCAAGTCGAGGAACTCCTCCTCCACTCGACAAGGCGCTATCAGGGGCGCCCCCAGTTTTACCGGTTGCCCTGTCCCACGTTCGCAGTCGACCGCGCGCTGGTGCACAAATTCCCCTAGTGGTAAAGGCCGGGGTCGGTTAGCAGCGCTGGCCTCAAAACCCCGCCGTTCGAGATATGCAGACAACTCTTCTGTCACTCGTTCAGATGGCACCATTGAAGACGTCGAAACAGAGGCCATCGCTCGAACCGAACCCAGCTGCTGGGCCGAAGCGGATCGAACGTCACAATTTAGAAGCGGCTAGAACTATCTTACGGTGACAGCACCGCAATCCTTTAAGCACCGTGCATGCTATCCACATTCACGATAAAAAAGATGTCGTCATTTCGTTTAAGAACGAGCCCACTGGGTGGTTCTCCCACTCAGAAACTAGACATAATGGCTGTTAGAGCACGACTCTGGTTCTTTGTTGTTTTCAATGTTCAACACAACTGGGGCTGCTGGATTGTGTCCAGCGGCCAATAGAACACCAAAGTTTTCTTTCATCGAATTATTCCATTAGGTATATCGATACAGGCAAAGAACATAAGGCTTGACTCTGGAGATTCCTGTTCGCTTCCATCAAATAATGTTGAAGCAAGTAGACGCAATGATAATTCTTCAGCTGTTTTAGAAAGAGTCGATAGTTGTCGGCGGTAAGCCGTGCTACTTTATACTTATTTAATAAGTACCATTTCATAGCAATAAAAGTTGTCTCAGCCAACAGATCGTTGCGTATGCCTTTATGCACATTTGGAAGCCGACGAGGTTTACGGTCGTAATTACTGTAGAGACAATTTTCCAATATGTTTTACGCGCAGTACCAGATATTTTGTCTTAAATGTTTGAACCATATCGAAAGCTTCTAATAAAAAATGACAAAAATAAAAATTCGCTTGCAGTAATGTTATTTACATAAACGCAATTTCATTCTCTTCGATGCCTTCTGTTCTCGAAATTGTTGGTGGAGGCTGCGGAGTGAACACACATTTTGTATCCTACGTAGGGTTTATTTCAGTTATGTGTCCTGCATTGTTCTAATGGTTGCATCGAACAACGGCCTACACTTGTCGTGGTTTATATTGTCGCTCACAGAATCCACCCTCCGACGCTGGTGTTTGTTTGACTGTATGTATTTACTGTGGATTTAGTTAACAGACCCAAGTTCTGTACACAGCGAGGTGATTACCACGTTGAATGCTAACAGTTTTATACATCACACCCTCCAATGTGCTACTGGCTTGTTTCGGTTAATAATCTTCGATTAAAGATCTGTGGCACTTTTAGCAATCTCGCACGGGGCATGCTAAGTATCATCAGCGAAATAAAACGGGGAGCGGGTTAACGGTAGGAACAGCTGATAGGAAAACTTACTATATGTAAATTTTCCTTCTTCTTATATGCAATTTTTGATTCGAGTGGTGTCTTTCGTTGCCTTTAAATTTAAAGGTAACATTTCGTTGTGAAGAAATTTGACAGATAAAAGTAATTTAAATGAAAATCTCAGTGCGGTTGATATCATAATGTAGTTAAATATATATAACTCATCATTCATGTGTTTTTGGAATACTCGCCTGCGCCATTGCCAATAAATGCTCAAAAAAGGTGAGTTATCATCGGAATCAGGAAGCGGCCAGCATAGCTGGCTAAAGTGTAGGTTTTACGCGGAGACAGAACAAGAGAGGCTAAATAAGGTAGGTAGTCAGTGTCCTTGTTACAGAATGCGTAAAATGATCACTATTTATTATTATGACAAAATAATCTTATATGATCAATATATATTACCTACTGAATAAAAATAAGGCTAATCCAGTTTCTACAGATTTCGTCATATGCGATATGCACCCAGAATCACAATCTTTTATCTAATATTAAAGCTAATTTTTTTATCAAAAAGATTTGTCCCAGCCAATAAACAAACTATGAAAGCAATTTGTTCTTATCTTTTCTTAAAGAAGAATTTGTATTACAGCAGGAATCGTGTCAATAGTCGTTCAGGATGGCCCTAGGCAACATTCCACTTCTAGCTCAAACGACAGTCTACTCGATCAGTCTGCTGCTGTCAATAACTGCATTTGTGCCTATGGCGTGGCATGTACGCGACTTTAATGGTGAGTTTGGATCAATGTTTGTTAACCAAGCATATATTGAAAGTGACACTATTTCGCACAACAGTGGATTGTATCTACATAATAACAGTTGTTAAATTCAGTGTTTTTCACGTGGTGAAGTGAAAATTGCAACATTATTTTGAAAGTACTTATTGTCTTAAGTTAATGAACTTGAAAACTGCATTTCGCCTTTCGAACGATACAAACGTAATATCTCCGAATACTCCGAATTTTTTTCATCGAATAAATTTCCGTTTGCGAACTTTACTTAAAAAAAATCAGTACTATAAACGTAACGCTTTTATATTTTTGATTTGATACTTCAGCTCAGTACTAAACAATAAAGGATAATAATTGAAGCCTATCACTATTATTCTTTAAAGGTCACTGTTTACTGTACACACATGGAAGATTTGACAACACGGACGGCCACCTTATTCCAGTGTGGGGTTCATCCTTTTATTGTGGCCTATCATTGTTTATTAATGCAGTCGCCTTCATCGTGTCCCTTAGTCAACTCATAACAACCAGCGTATTTCTTTACCAAGGCGTCGACAGGTTGGTAGTTGAGCAGTAGCCCGAATCTGAAAAATGGATTTGTTTATCGCGCCTTTTGCCATATTTTCTTCGGCGCGGGATTGTATCAGTCGTTGTTATTGCTTGAGTATAAAACTATAGCATCCTCTATGCCTGTAACGTAAAAGGCGAATCGTTTTTGAATCAAGATAGTATTATAGCGCATCAATCGTAGGGCGAATAAGAATGGTATTAGAATTAAGGGTGAATAACAGTCACGTAATTGTTACGAGTGAAATTTGTGATCTGTATGCGATCACTAATGCAAAGTGACTGTGAAAGCTGAGCCTATGTAACTTCTATGTAACGTTCCTGACTGTTGTTTTCTCTTTTGTGCGTCTAGCTCATTCCTGAACGCTTTTGTAGATGCTGTAGTGTCGTGTGCAATAGCGGCTACCCTGTTCGTGTCTTCAGTCTTCGTCTCAGACGGTTTTCGGTCGTGGTGTTCAACCATGAAACGATTCCCCGGGTAGGCTGTTGTCCTGGTCTTATTATTGGTTTATATTATTGTTATCCAAATGGAAGCTATCTCAGTCATTTACAATCCTAGAGAATCCGAGTTATCTACAACAATTAATGATATTATTTTGAAAATGGTTCGTCCGATTAACATTGAAACAAAAAAGAAAAGAAATCTTTCAACGTCTGTTGTCTACCACACTTGCAGTTATTATTATGTAATAATTATATGTAGTTAACATAAGCAGAATAATAATCAGTCGGGTCCTTTTTTGATAGGTGTGAGGAAGGTTCGGTGATGGAGTGGGATCCTGCGGATGGTATTGTCAGTCTGGGGTTCTATGTAATGATGGGCACAGCCCAGTTCGCACATTGGGCTGGATGGGTAGGATGGGTGCTTCAGGTGAGCGTAATCGCATCGCAAAAGTAAAAATCAGGATGGGTTTCCTTGACAATGATCCTCAAATGTGAATAATTTAACTAGTGCGTAGAAAAAGGTTAGATACCTTGTGTAAAGTGAATTGACACTTCGTGAAATGTTTTATTGAATAACTTTTATTATTACTCGTTATTTATGTACTGTTTGTTCCAAAACGCTATAGGAGTGATAAAATTATATTAAATCTATGTATTTCCTGGAAGCCACAACAATAGTCTAGTACGAGCTTTTGGTTCGTTGAACTATGTTATATTCATTTGTCCGGTTCTCGCGCGCGCGCATTTTGTGAATGGCATTGACTCGCAAAACGTACCCGTTCATCAGAGCGTACTCTGCATCCGAAAACTGTGTATTTACCACGAAAGAGAAAATATCATCATCTCCATGGCACGCGAAAGGAAACTGCTCAACGCCTCTCAGGTTTGTCTAAATACAACAAAATGAATATATTATAGGTTCGTTTGCATACTGTCTATACTTTTAAAAACGAAAAAGCAGAATCGAATAATACGAACTTTGCGCCTGCGTATTGAACAAAACGTTGATATAACGCTAAGGCAATGAGTACTCCACTTTGTTGCAACAGTAGGAATGCTAAATGGCAATTAAGGCTGCATCGAAAAATTTACCAGCGATAAAATGAAAGATGACTCAACTGAGACGTTTTTTTGACATACACGACATAGGCTATATAAGACTGAGAGGGGCGATACGAGGTTGGTAATGAAAAGTCAAACTCGTTTTTGTCACTGCCAAATTTACAGAAAGCATATACAGAAATTATGCAGAATGCACCTTACGATTCTGAGACGCCAGCTAAATATTCGGACAGGGCACTTATTCTCAAGTAAAGGAGCAGCAGCCATATTCCTTAACGAATCAACGAGTTCGTCAACTGAATTCTTCGCGCGGCTGGATCTTCTTTTCAAAGCGATTGCCAGTAATTGCTACGCGTTAATCTTTTCCTATTCTGCCTCTGGTACTGTAATTGCGTCAAATATTAATTCAGGCTAAAACTAAGTACGTGATATTTTTTTTTCGATAACAGAATACGTCATCCAATTTGTTGTACATGATATAGAAAATGAATTTCTTAGACACGTTAACATTGCTTCAGACGCAGCCTGTAATGTAACGCGTAGGCGTTTAAATGAAATTTTATTCATTTATATATTTATTGGTTGATAGTGAGCAAAGTCAATGTATAATGAATAAAATGTATTTTATCGCTTTAGTGCTTGAACAAAGTATTGGTACGTAATAATTGCTATTGACTGGATATTTTCAGGACTCGTACGAATGGATGAATGCGTGTATGGTATGCAAGAATGGGGTGATCATTTATTTAGTTGGGGTAACTTTACCGTGCTAGCGTCTAGTTAAGTATCTGCATATCTAAGGTAAAGTGGTGTCTGTGAATTTGCATGGATTACCGTTACTGCCTGAGTATGTGCCCAAGAAAACAATGACACATAGAGCTGACCGCTGGATGTATAAGGAAGCGTTCTTTCGTCTAGCACTAAGCTGTAAGTCGTGAAATTTTCCTATGTATCATCGTCTCCATTGTCGTCAACGTAGTCCATTCTGTTTACTCGCGCTCGCTCCTATCTTTAAGCGTGTATCTTACGGCGGAAAGTAAGCACTCTTCATATCCCTATATGGTTATAAATGGAGAAAACAATATAATGAAACGCCCTAACAGTAAGATCCTTCTTACTTACTATAAAGAAATCGGTTTTGATAAAGAACTTGGTCTTCCTGTTTGTCATCATTTTGAGGTATAACTTGCTTATGCTTGGCAAAAACCTTTTCAATTCATCCGGGCAACTCAAGCTTCAAAAAGGCCGCACAATTCATGCATCGTGATCATCGGTATTGAGTGCTGTAGTTTAAAGTAGTAAGGATCTTTCATCGCAATGAAAACTGCAAAATGAGGATAAGCTCTAATAGTAACTCCTACAACTTAGGAGTTAAGGACTACCAACTGAGTGTTTGATTTAAAGAGTAAAGGTGACATGTGAAAACGATTTGTAACTCAAAGCTTTTACATAACAATCAGATTTACCCTTAAAATTGGAATAATAACGATCCATATCTGTCAGTTTGACCGGGTGCGATTAATCAGTCGATATTGTGATAACACAATAACTCAGATTAAGCGATCATAGACTTAAATTGGAAAATTTTGAAGATTTGCTAACAGTAAAATCAGCGAAACAAGTTGATGTTGACTAAATACTTTTTACTGACAAACGATTTAAGAAAATATCTTTTTTAATCCAAAACACAAACGATGAACAATGTTGATGCTTGCTTTAGAAAGCAATCTGAAAGCATTGTACGTTTTTTCTTAGCAAAAAGTTACGTCATGTAAAGGAAATGTTAATTAAACAAATACTTATTCAACTTACTTATCGCAATTTAGGTTAAATGTTAAGAGTTACTATTTCAAAGTTACTACTACAAAGAAGCCTAGCGTTATACTGGTCTTATTATGATAAAGTTGAGTAAACATAACTGTTTAATTTAATATTAACAATTGATATTAACAAAAATATATATATCTATCACGAATAGTTTATGCGCAATTGTGGGCCGTGAGTACATGTGTGAAATAAACGTATATCAATTTTATTGTCCAGTGCAGCTCGCATAGGAGCGTGCCTGTGGAACCTAAATCAAACGATAAAGTGGTAACTAATTAACGCTTGATCTAAATCTTATAATAGATATAATGCTACGTTAAAGTTATATATTTAAAGGAGATGATCTATAAAAATAAACAAGTTAGCGATATCCTAACTAATACCACTAGCTGCAATTACTATGGTTCCTTGACAAATAATAGGGTTGTTCCTGTTTCTGACGTGCTTCAATAAATTATTTATAGAAATCTGAGAATCGCTAAAGTGAGTTTGCCCTGATTGGAGAAAAAAAAATTATGCTTTTACTTCAAACCATAAAAAGTAACTTGTAGAAAAGCATTAACGGTAATTACATACGGAATTCTGCAATCAGTTTAATATTTTTATAAATTAAGGTAAATTTCATGCGATTGATGAAAGATTAATCTGGCTACTAGCAGCTCGTCTGTGACACTTGTACGCAACAAACACACACACACACACACACACACACACACACACAAGACATATATTGTAAAATATTGGTTATAAGAAAAAGTCTTGAGAAAGTTCTGTCACATACTGTAATTCTATGCGAGCGTCTGTTTGATAAATCTAACAATGTTTCATTACATGTGACGGATTCATCTTACTGTAGTTAGATATATATATTGTATAAAAGAAGATACGTTTAAAAACGAATAAGAAAAATTCAGAAGCTGATGCTGATTAACGAAAATTAGGAAACGGCTGATTCTATCAAAACTGTCGTCATCCACGAAAAAGGCCTTCACCTCACCATCAATCATATATTCGTAAGCGACTATGAATATTGTCCCGCCTTCAAGCAAGTGTCGACACAAATCGGAAAAGAAATATTATATATAAAAGTATATATGTATATACATATACATATACAGTTTTCCATAGCTTATGCTGTGATCTATAATTATATATGTATATATGATGAAAAATTATATACACCATAAATGTTGCTGTATGTATTATATAACCTAACCACATGTTCCATATATCATATGCAGCAGGAGTGCGAGAGAGATACAGTATTTGTCAATATCTGGTTTTTGAACAGCATGAAAATGACTATATGGGATGCTCGTTGCAACCATCATAGCTTTAAGATATTTCAGTTTAAACGCAAAAATATAAATAAAAAGTTAAAATTAGGATAAAATTTCGTACAATCTCTAAACAAAACAGAGCACCCAACAAAAGCGCTTAAGGGGATGCGAATAATTTCACCTAAAACAAGCATTTATTTAGAACATATTTGCTAGTTTTAGTAAAACGGCACATCGTGTTGTTGGAACTCATTGCATGACTGCTTTTATTTCTAAATAGGTATGTCACCTAATTGGCCATAAACCAGTCAGCCCCATTTTGATGGCTTAGAATTTTTAATCTGCCAGCCCATTTGCTGCAGCGACTCAGTGAGATTTACAGCAACATTTCTGTTGAAAATGAAATGAAAAGCAAAAAGAACAATAATATTTACCTTTTAAGTTGTCGCAGATCTCAGTACGATACGTTTAAAATGGGTAAGTTAAGCCCCGATGTTTCGGACAATGCCAGCAGGCTAATCACCTGAGCCTCGGCTTACCGTGTTTGCGCGCTAATCATAATTATATAGGTAATCCCAACCTCATCTCCATAAAAGGTGTGTCTCTAATCTTACCATTTACACAACCACATATATTGGGTGTACGTATCTGCTAGCCGGTCAGCAACTTAAGGAGCGAAAAAAATTCTAAAAAATTTAAATTGTCAGAGAACTTCAAATAGAGTAAAAATTTCTCTTATATGGAGTGATACTCTATGGAATGACTTTAGTATAACTCCAATCCAAAAAGAATATTGTATCTCTGAAGCCAATATTCTATTTCTAGCTAGCCTGTGAAAAATTATTCGGCTTTTCCAAGTAAAATTGAGCTGGACAAATGAAACTAACATCAGCTTTACAGTGCTATCATTATGGGTACTTGACAGTCATTGATGCTGAGCCTGGACTGAGCTATCACAATAAATTTAATATTTATTATTCCATTATAATAATGCACAAATGTGACTTGCTATCTTCGAAAGTAAGATACTACAACGTCTCATAACAAATAATAACAAATACCGGTTTTTAACTACGAGAATGACTTTTTGCCAACAGATAAATTGATTCGGCGTAGCTGGGATGCTGGCTTTTTGAACACAGGAAAAATGCCTCCAAGCTAATTGTGGGTTTCCTTTTTGAAGCCAGCTTATAAAGCAGCAATCTCAATATCTACACCGTACACTAGCTACCTAGACCTTTCTGCGCTTTGAAACTGTAAATTAACGCAATTATAACTAATATGAAACACACATAAATACAAGGATCAGATTTTTTGCTATGTACCTGTGATTTCTTGTCTTTTCCACACTGTTATATATCTCAGACCTATACAATGTTTATAGGCTACCTTTTTCATTTCCTATTTTATGACCTTACTCTCAACAGCCAGTTCGTGGTACATTCGCCCCAACCTACCTCAAACTCTTTTGTTTTTCGGCACTTCACTCGGCTTAAACATTTCTTTCCTTTTCACCTTGTCAAATCCGCTAAAAATATAATCTCGTCTTTTCAAGCATTTATTCGTGCAAATAGTCGTTAGCAAACGTTAGCGTTTTTTTTTTGTTCTTTGCGTACTCCGCCTACATGACATTTCCCAAATGGTTTTTCAATTGTTCTCGCAACTATATATTCTAAACCTATTGATCCGTCATCTTTGCTTTTTGGTGACCTTTCTTTGAGCGCTTATGATTTTATCGCTTTAATTATTCCGGCGTCTGCATACGCCTCAAAACCCTGGTACTGCGTACAGCGTTCAGTGATGAACTGTGTGGATTACAATTTACGATCGTTTTGGTTTCTTGTTGCACCCCGTCTTCGCAAGCTGCGTGTTTATTTTCTCCTTTGTCTCTATGACCTCTATAACAAGATAACTCAACGTCTGCGATGTACAGAGTCGCGGCCCTACAAAAGCGATTAGCAAAGTAAACAGCTTTTCGGCAACGTATGCGATGAAACCTTGCGATGATGATGATAGATGTAGTAGCCTCATTTTCTTATTAATTCTTCAGGGTGCAAGGAGCGCCTACGATGGCTTTACCTAGACCTACACGATCCTTTTATCAAATCGAAAACTAATGAAGTTGCCAGATAGAGTTATGCTGGGCCAGCAGCCAGTCTACGTGAAGGGCATGAGGAAATGTTACCGACGCCACAGGTCAGTTTTTCAAAGTAATCTGGCATTTAGCAGCTAGCATGTGGCTGATAGTGCCAGCGATCCGTACATACAGGAATTTGAAACGTATGCCTATGCCTAGGTACGTACTTACTTAGGAGCAGTGTTCTGAAGGTTATGAAGATTCAGCCCAAATTACGAACACAACGCTGGAATCCGTTTCGCATAGAGCAACTTGACTGCGATCTCGGAGGATATAGGTACGGGATAAGTTATAAGTAATATCAATCTAAGCGTTACATTGAACAATAGAAACGGGCTGTGTAGAGCGACTTATTATTTACAAAGAAAAACTCCGGTTTTGCCGCCGATCCAGCAAACCGATGTGTCGTAGTTATGATTCTCGCACGTGTTTTTTGACGACGCCAAGTAAGGAAACTTTATATGTTGCGGGTCGTTTTGGAGAAAAATGCATCTACGATTTTTGACTTACGACGTCTATTAAAGGTCTAATTGTCAGCCATAAACGATTGCGTGCATGACAATACGATGTAAGTCGGTGTGTTGTTGAAGATAGGTATTTCAGTGAAAATGATGTCATCGGTGTCAAGCACGCTTTGAAGTTTGTTAGTGCTGTTAGGAACGATAAGCATATGTAACAGACTACGTTCTTAAAGTTCCAACATTGTCACGGCATCGGTCCTATGTGTTTTTGGTATATAATGCCAACTAAGTATCGATATCTGATATCAAAACCATGACAAACGACGCTTGGCGCCGAAGTTTATCACTCCTCCGTTCTGCAAGGAAAAAAAATTTTAAATTCCTACATGTGGTAACGCACACAGGTTCACGGAGCCGTTTGGTGTATCAACTTGGGCTGCCGTTAAAGAATAGGGACAAAAATTACGCTTTGCACTACACCAGCTTTCCGCTAAAATACTTGTAGACACTAAAATACAAATTATATATTTATGAAATATGCCGTCTACGATTTCTCTACCTAAAAGAAAAAAACACTTCTTGAACGATCGAGGGTTAAGAAAAACTACTGACATTAACGGATCATTTGGTTGTCGCTATCAGTAACTAAATACGCAAGACAGAACGGTTTCTTGTGTATACGTATATATCAGCTGAAACATCAACGGGATGACCCTGTCACTATAAAAACAGCAAGACGCAGTCTGTCCAGCTCAGTCCACACCATCGGACAGTGGCTATCTCTTTTCAAGATGTTCCCTTATAATAAGCCCCCAATTTGTCTTAATTGATCATCCTTGAGAATGTCTTGACAGCTTCACTTGCCTTTTCTGTTCGTATCCACGATAGTAATACTACACTACCTCTTGAAAGATCTATCTGGTTTAGTCATTTTATTTTCTGTACGTGTTAATCGCAGATGACCTTCTCTATATTTGTAACAATATATGTCCGTAAGTTGTTTGGTTACCAGTGGTGTGTGGTTCGTGCTATGACGGCGAGTACTAACTTCCAGCGTCTTTTCTTCTTGGATTCTGCCGCTTCGGTATTTAATGTCGCTCATAAGTAAATTAACAGTACGTATGTATGAGGTTGGATTAGTACGCTAAAATAATGCGTACATATTTTAATCATGCACTGCAGATGGTATTTAAATTGTTTAATGACGTACTAATTAATAATTAATTTATGAAAACACTTAGATCATTAGCTATAATAAAAATACCGAAATTGCGAAGACCATACTTCAGTATTTCGAAGTATTTACAATTTGATAGGCCATATAATGTTACGTTCTGTGTCAAGTTGCTTGGCTTGGTAGCCAATCGAGTACCAGAAAATCATAAGCGCGATCCACAGCGCGAGTAAAGGCTGAGCCTAGCAGACGACAGAAAAGCGCTCACTGCAACGTTCGAATGTATGAACAAAGCACGCGGGCGGCTATAATCGGCACTTAATCTGTTAATTAAAAACCTTGCTTTGCGGTTTAAATACTATACACAGAAGCCAAACAAATTGATAAAGTATCAAATTATTTCGTCTTGTGTATATGTTTTGTAGTAATTCTGTTTCGACACAAGATGTCCACAGAAGAACTTAATTCATGTGACCTCGGAACTAAAGAATAGTAAGTAACAAGTTGGCATTTTCAATCGTTTAAAATCTATTTCATGACAATGATAAAAATAAACTGGTTCGATATTACGTAATTCAACATTGGTGTGTCAACTAGGAAGAAACCCTAAATACGCGTCATTATAATAATTCGTACGATCAGCTTCGCACGATCAAGCTTCTAGTTCACCATAGTTTTATTTTTGTAAATTTGGAATTAAAATAACCTGCTATTGTTTTGTTTCTAGTTGGGCATCGGCCTATGCAAAAGAATTAAAAAACTTCGAAGAATTTGGCGATGAAGGGGAAATATGGTAAGAATGGTTTCTCTGTAGGCACACTTTGAATTCCATCAGAAACAAACATGATTTGTTTTCTTTTTTTTCAGACTTTTTGTATTTCTGTTTTAATCTGCCCTTTATCCGTAGTATTAGATAATGCTTGCATCCTTACTGCTTGTGTACTTTTTCTAAGGTTTGGTGAGCAGAACGAGTGTCGCATAGTGAAATGGGTTGCTAAAAATTTCGCTGTGTCAGACTCTATAGTCGACATCGGATGTGGCAACGGTCATCTACTCGTCCGTCTGGTAGGACTAGCTTTCCTCAATTGTATTATTATTATTTCAACTCTTTGTAGATCTCTGTATAAAATATTGACAGTTTCATGTTTATTTTTCAGTTCAACTACAAGTCTTGAGCGGCAGCGCCACTTTACGTGAGGCTGTTCATAATTAATTTAACATTGCCATTGTAACTCTTCCTGACTATAGGTTTCAATCGTAGATTGGTTAATGGGCGGACTTCTGAGGGCCCGGATTTCACTATTTTATCATGAACGTTATGTGCACTCAGTTGTTTTTTATTATAGACCTGTTTTTCCACAAATAAATCAGGAAGCCCTACTTGGTCTGTCGACTCTGGAAATTTTCAGCCTACACTTTCTAACATGACTCTTGTTTGCTTTGTTCATGAAATGGTCCGTTGAGTATGAAAACACAGGCTGCGGATCACAATTTCAGTTGTTTATTAGGTTTGGACTACGTGGAGGAAGCACTTACTTTAGCAAAAAGCCTTGCTGTTTCTAAGAACGTTCAGGGCTCCATAGGCCATAAGGTGAGTTAGTTGAATATTGTTATTCATTATCCGACTCTAGAGAGAGAAAATTATGCATAATACTCTATCGTGATTATATTTCAGGTTTGTGATCTTCTTTCGAGTCCGCTTACTATCTTAGAAAATGTTGGCACGATAGCGCACGCAGTCGTTGTGGACAAGGGGACCTACGATTCCATTTGTCTTATGCCAAATATGGATCAGGCCAAACGGAATGCCTATATACAAGCAGTGAAGACTCTCATCACAGGTTAATAATCAATTCAAAGTCTTTTCTTTAAGAAGAAAATGTGCAATTTATATAGGTGATATTAATAAAATGAATGCTATATATGTTCGTTTCACAAGCGAATAAAAAATATCTTTCGAAACCGACGCAATAAATTTATATTAAATTGACACCAAACAGTTGCGTTCTATTATAATCAAACATAAATCGTAATTGGACCCAATAATGACGAACGGTCTAAAGTACGTTGATTGGCGTATAGTAATAATAATAATATGAATTTTTTCATTTAGGTTCATGCAATGGCGAAGATCAAGAACACAATGCACGTGGAAGATTCCTAATTACGTCTTGTAATTGGACTCGTGACGAACTGTTAAGTCACTTTACAAACGGTGCGTTTGTACATGTATAATAAAATCAACGTATGTAATATGACGCGCTCATGATAAGATCAATTTTTTGGCAAGAGGTGACTCGCCCTACTATCATGATGTAAGCTGTTCGAACTGAAATACAATTGAATATCTTAATCACAGTTGAGATGGAAGTTTCATTAAGATTATAACGAAATGGGTTACTCGTATAGTTTGTTACACAGTAAGCAAGAATGTTTGGACGGCCAAAGAAACTAATATTATCACGCGGCGTCAAAATCAAAGCTTATTTTGCATTCGTATATTGAATTCTTGAGGTTTATACTCATGTTGCTACGTAACAACCCAGCCATCGCTAAAAGTCTATACATAGACACAAAATACCGTGCTGTCATCATGCTAAGATATGTAGTCTTTCTCCCTTTTTTTTATCTTTCGTATTAAAACACGCTCCCGCTATGGCATACATATTACATCACGATCACTGATCTAAAAATAACAGGTGCGAATATCAACTAGAAGAAGTCTTCAATCAATCAGACGAGCAAGCACAAAACTAGGTATTTAGTTTGCTGTGACTCTTTGCGCATGCCGCGTTTACGAACAGCTTTTTGTGGCAAGGTAGCAACAAGAACCTGAGCATAGAGAGGCTTCGTTTCGTGGCCAACGGTAACACCGGATGTAAAACTTGAAACATAGGGAGATCCCCCATAAGTCAAGGAATATCTACATGTTTATATAAAATGTGGTGTTGGATCTGCATCTTGCGTTTCAGACTTTGAACTCGTTGAGGAACTTCCAACACCTGCAATCTCATTTGGTGGTAAACAAGGAAAAACTGTCACCTCATTAATATTCAAAATAAAAGCGGCGCAGGTTTGAACGTACATTCCATATCAATCCATTATTATTGCATGCTTCATGTCTGTACAGTGTCTAAGGATCATAAATATTATAGCAGAAAGCCTAATTTTAAGGATACCGCTGAGTACTTGTAACGTTAATCATGCCATGCCATTTCGTATGATCACAGTTATTTTATATAGAACAGTAGTAGAAGAACTTGTTGTTTATGTCAATGATGACTCAAGAATAACTAATCCCGATACTCCGCAGTTGGGAATAATGCTTGTGGCAGTATGTATATAGTTAGTTACAGTTAATTATTACTCACCTCTAAACGTCAGAAAAGCTACGTTGCGCATTACTTAAGAAGATCAACTGATAATTCTAGCCGTGCTTTTTTTATAATGAAATCATTAGATTTATATGACATGCAGATTCTGTTAGATGATTATTATCAACTACGTACTGAATATAAACCCAAACCAATGAAGACAATCTTCGGTGCGGTATCTCTATCTTTATAAGCGAAATGTATTAATATAATCAACTAATAATGACAGTTAATAACACATCTACCAACAGATTTTTCATCAAAAATTCACTTTTATTAGACGCCAAACCTAAAAGGGCGTTCATAATTACTACAATTACTCAACGACATTCGTGACGACATCTTCCTGGTTATTTGCTCGAGCTCTTTTTTATTCCGTTTTCACGTTTACTTTTAGCTCAATCGGTGGTGCTATTATTCTGTACCCCTTTCGCATTCATGCCCCTTTCTTTTTTCTCTCACTCTTTCGAATATCATTGACGCGCACATCTCCCCTATTATACCCCAGGCTTTATGTGCATGGTGCGGATGTGTTTCGTGTCTAAGTCCCTCTCATGTATATGCAGTTGACACCTGTTTAGTACTGCCAGTTTTATTTTTTTTATTTCTTGCTGGAACTAGTTTTCAACTGTATTTCGGCACAGTGACTGTCTATAAGCAGCTTGATTTACTAGCACTCGTTCTAAAAAAACCTTCTAGTTCATCCGTGCTACACACTATAAAATGACTTAAAAAAGTTTCACAAGGCTATCTTCGTACAACTAGATCTTCCGAAGCTGCGAAATTTGCTTCTCTATAAAACCTTTTTATTAGCCCACAGTTACTTATATATTGTTATCACTAATTGGCTGAGCTCGGGATTTCTGTTACTTGTTTAGTGCATACGGTGAGCATATGAGTATAGTGTATTAGATGTATTTTTGCGTACAAAACAGGTAAAATTGTAACCAGGTTTGAACGAGTTAAAGGTATGCTTATCTTCACAGCACGTATAAAACTACTTTTCAATTCGTATGCAAAAACAACATTTTACAATACTTATAAATTTTTCAAGCAATATTTTTCAATTTGGACACTTGTTGTCGTTAAAGAAAAGCAAAGATTTCTTTCGGTTCTTTCAAGTTTTTGATAGTCCGCAAACCTTTCATCTGATTGAAGTTTTATTGTGAAAGCAAAATCACGTAATAAATTCTTCTCAGTGACTAATTTACAGTAAAATCAACAATTATAGAGAGTCGCTCAAAGCAGTTTTTGGTTTTTTGATTGGATTTTCCTGAGAAACGCGAACAGCTGACCGAAATCTGTAGTAAGCATGACAAACAGTTCCTTTTCTTTTATTTTTTAATTTATATTTAATATTTGATCTTATCCGTATGTGCATACGATTTAATTAAGCCCAAAATGTACTTGGCTTTAGCATCATTGTTCTCATGGGATTCCTTGGGGAGCTACAATTGAAATTGCTAATAACATGAAATTACAACAAATTAAGTCTAACCAAAGTTAAGTAGTGACTCGATTTGGTTTCTTGTATAGGTGTCAATGCTATAGTCAGCATACATGTGCGTGCTATACAGTTATAGATTTTAAGCGCACAAAGACCAAATGCACGGCTTCATCTAATTGTATTGTTCGGACTACGAGGTGCCTGACTTTTGGATACCAGAAACATGTGTAAACCGCTCAGGGTAGTTCCCATTGGATTTTTTCCTATATCGTAAATGGTATTTGACTTTCGTGGTCTTTTAATTCACTGCCAGTGGTACGGAAAAGAGTGGTACTTCTGTACCAAATTTCTTACTCGCTGACATCTGAATTTCAGCAGTTGTTTTCAAGCCGATCAGATGGGCAATTTCGGCTTCTGTCTGCGCCATGGCGATGCCTTTGTCCAGAAGTGCAATGCCCTCCACCATCTGACCGCTGCAATACGTATCGAGCAACAGTAGATTAGAGCAATGTTTACTTATATTTTTAAGTATTAAGTGATGATTTTTGAAGGGATTGAGCCTGCGTTTGATATGCTCTTGTCTGGATCCATTCAGCATTATAACTATTTAAGATAAACAGTTAATTCTGGGCAGTTAGTCTGCTTACGTTTGTATGTAAAGGGTGCCGAGGGTTTCGTAGGCGAGTTGGCACTTTGGATCATTTTCGATGGCCGTCTTCATGAGGGCTACAGCGCCACGGATATCCTTTCGAGCCTTGGTAAATTAAATAAATGACGTTAGCACGCAATCTAAGTCTACAGTATTTTATGTGATATGACTAATTTGTGTTGCATTAGATACGACCGAAAGCTTTAAATGGTCATTTATTAAAAATAGTTTCCTTTGAATGAAATACACTGGAATAGCGGAAAAGCCAGTTCAGTTATTCTGTTAAAGTAAGCGCGCTGAGTTCTTTTAACAAGATCTCAAGTCGCAAAATTAAGTAAACTATGTTCTTCACGTCTCATTTCATAAATAACTGTCGCTGAGCGGCAAAGATGATTGAGCGATGCATTACCTGCAAGGCAATGATACCGAGATGCACGAATCCCGCAGAATCTTGAGGGTGAATTTCAATGAGTTCATTGAGGTATTTCTCAGCGGAGTCATACTTTTCTAGACCCATCATTAGCTAAAAAGTGCGTATAGTAAGCAAAATATACGTAGTTATTGTTAGTAAAACTACGGGTCCGGCGGTGAACTAGTATCTAAAAATGCAACTCAACATGCATTGTTCGATGTGTTGGAGCGGCCACGTTGAAGCAAAAAATTATTCGCTATAGCGTATTGTCTGATTCCACTGCACATTTTGGTCCACTGCACATATATCAAGGTTGGCTAAGTCAGGGGCGACATTGAGGGATCACCAACTAACCTGAGCGTAAAGGAACAGCACCTCAGAATCATTAGGGAACTTCTTTAAGCACTCGTTGAATTTCTTCCTTCCAGCATTTTGCTGTGCACGGTCGTTGAATCGTGTTCCGGCTCTGTGAAAGATTTAGATATTTATATTCTGAAGTAGACGTTTGATCGTCTCCGTTTGCAGAATGTTCACAGTAAAACTTCGCATTCGTACGATCACGATTAAATAATACACTCTTTGCAGAATAGCGACGGTAAAACTTTGCATCCACACGATTACAAATAAATATTAACTTCGATAGCTCACCTACACAAATGAAGCGATTTAGCTACGACTATGTGACAGTTTATGCTTTCCCTATGGAGCTTTTATAACTAGAATTTCTATGGCTTTATTTGGCCCTAGTTTTCGCGCTATCTATAACCAAATTCATCATAAAAAATATCGAGACTTACAGGCGAAATAATCCATTTGCAAGAAAACTAAAAGAGTTTGGGAAATAGCGCTTAGACTGCAGCAGCATCAAACGGTGGTAAAAAAAATCAGTTAATTTTTTCATGCCGACTAGTTACTATTACCTATATTCTGTGTAGGCTAACTGGACGTTGGGAGACACAAAATCAGGCTTCAAAAATGACGCAGTTGCGAAATTCTTCACCGTCTGATCAAGTTGGTCTAGGAGCAGGTAGACTTGACCGCTGAAATGATAAGCACGTTTTTGGAAATTATCATCCATAAATAGCAACGATGCCCGGAAACAAAATTCATTGTCACTGGTATCGAGTGGTGGAAGTCAATCTTACGGAACGAACTGTGCGTGCTATGTTTAACCGTGCTTACTAACTCGCATCAAAATTTTATTAAGGGATTGTAGCGATTAGGTGTGGCCTATTCGAGTAAGCTTAATACGGTTAAGGAAAAAATTGGGAACAGTTATAAGAAGATTCTTCCCAATTTTTTCAAGTCAGGAAATAAGTTTGGTATTAAGCCCACTTTCTTTCTATTTCTCTGCCAAACCGAATTCAGAGACAGACCTACTTGCATCTACTAGATAACTTAGAAGATATATCGCCTATACCATGGTAATTACGTAAAATATAAAATCTAGTAGTAGATACCCCAAAAGTGTCAATACATACTATACTCTGTATAAATATAGGCATAACTTTAACGGATGGTCCCGGAATTACAGGGCTTACCTATTTGACAAAAGTTACGCTTATTATCGAAATGGGACCTTGACACCCCACGTTTTTATCATACTAACAGAACACATACCGATGCAAATAAATGTCTGCATTGTTAGGATCCAGGTCGACGGCTTTTTGAAATGTAGCCAGGGCTTCTTCAGTCTTCTCGAAGTGAAGTTCTACCGTAGCTTTCTTTATCAGTCCATTGACCCGAACCTAATGTAGACATACACATTGTTTGATCCAAAGCTTTAAAATTCCATTATTTTTATCCGTAAACATAAGAAAGAGGGCTCAAGTCTTCAGTTAGAACAGCCTTCTATTTTTAATCGATAATTTCTTCCCCAGAAATGGTATTTCCTCTTTTAAATAATGTAAATTTCTAATTATTGTTTCTGATATAATTGATTTTTTTCGTCATTTGTTAAAATGAAAGTGGGTGTCGTTTATTAAGATATACGTTCCATAGAGAAGCTGCAATTAATTTAGGTATTTTTGGTCTTCATTTGGCTGGAGTTTCTTCTATTTCAGGTTCAATTTTTTTTTAACTATTTTAAATACACGTTCTTATAAAAACAAAATGGAATTTTTCCTTTACTTATATGATCTGTCCTTAATACAATTATTTTGTTGTTCTGTTTACATTATATTAGGTTGGTTAAAAACTAACGTCATTACATAGGTAGACAAACAAGTTCAACTTAGTGCTATTATATATAGTAAATGGAGATAACCTGCTATCAAATGTTCATTTGAATTAAAAAAAAAATATATATATAAAGGAGATAGTGATCATATAACGTAAATGACCACCTAGGCGAAGCTTCGATATTAAATATACCATCGATGCATCGACTAATAATGACTATAAACCAACGTTGATAGTTTTAAATGATCCTCAATTCATAAATTACCTTGATGTCAACGTTCTCTCGGCTTAGAAGGTTCTCGACATCCTTCATCGCTTCAGTGACCTTCAACAAAAGAAGAGCTATCTGGGTATACACATAGATATATTGGCATCATCTACTTGCTCAATTGGTTGTGTTTCCTGAAATTGTGTCCTCCTAGGATATAACGTGTTCAGGATTAATATATACTATGCTGCCCTGACCAACTAAGCTGTAGAACATGTTTAAACGTGTTGAGTTGGCCGTTAAATGGTTGTCATTTTAATCAAAGCTAAAATTTTCCATACTGCTTTATTTCTCCATGTCCTTCTTTGTGCCATCTATTAGTATTGAACACAGACCTTGGCTTAGATTTTCCTTACCTTTCCTGTGATAAGGCTAAAACCTGCTCTTAGAATCAGGGCTTTGTCCACTTTTTCCTTATTCTGATCTTTCTCAATCTCTTCGCTGCAATGGGCTTCAACCTGCATAGCATTCCCGATACATTATTTTATTTTTACTCTTTTAATTTTTTTTATAAATCAACTTACGGATGTTTATTAAGCATCTAACTATGACTCAGTTAAAACTAAGATGTGTCAATAGAACAACTCGCACATGAAATAAATTTACACTAGCAGATTACCTTATCCGCATTGGGTTTGAAAATTAAAAGGTGCTTAGGTGATTCACTAATGCAACTTTTATTCAGTGTAAAGACATGATTTAAGAAAATCCGACATTACTCACCGCATCCCAGATTTCATCCTGAAGATCTTGTAAGGCCAAATCGTATCCACTAGGCGGCATGTGACTCTTTTGCTGTGGCACGTTATTGCGCTTAGCATTCAAGTCTAAAATGACGGGGTCCTGAAAAACATTGAAACACAAATATCTAGCCTGAAACCGGGAAATTCGCGTTTACTCCATCAGAATGCTAATCGATTAAAAGACCATCTCATTTGTAAAGCAGAAGTGTTATACAGTAGTGTTTGCCTTTGTATAATATTTGGAAGTCAGTGCCAACAAAAACAGAATAGAAAAACTAGAGTGAGTAAGTACATAACCAAAATTGGATCCTACATCTTCAACAATAGATCTGACATTTTACCTCAGAAAACGAACGAAGGAAGTTCCGAATATAAGGTGATGACGGAAGTGAAGGTTTTCGCTGATGGTATATTTCTTTAGCTTGCTGAGCTCCGAACAACTTTAACATCTGCTCTCGCACAAAAAACTTATTAGCTTCCGCCGAACCGCATAGATATATTTCTGTGTTTTCGCTACCTTAAATACTAAACTTCAGTAAGCAAATAATTTCTAGGAAGAGAATAAATTGTCTTAGGAAAAATAAATTGTCTAAACCTTGGAGTCCATATGAGTCCTCGATTTATTTTCTGTTTCTGATCAAATCTGATGTTAGTGACAAGTACCTTGTCAACCAGCTGTAAAGCCTGCTCATCCTTGAAGTCATTTATCATACAGCTGAATGTTGCATCCTCCAAACATTTTCGCAGTTCTCCACGCTGTTCCCATGCTTTCGCACGACGAAGGTATGCCTTGGAGTATCTGCGGTAAAATAAATCAGAATATTCACAGAAAATCTCTAATAGCGTTTTAATATAGCATTTTCAGCAATGTTGTTATGCTATAGCGTGTATGTACGTAGCCAATTCCGGCACAAAGTATGTATGTAAAGTACCACTAAATAAGTCATACCTTTTGTTAAGTTCAATTGCTTTATTGCAGTCCTGGATGACATTATCAAACATCTGAAGTTTCTCGTAGGAGGCTGCTCTATTCTGGTAAAATATTGAGAGCATCTCAGTTTCATTCACTGGGCATACCTGTAAAAAGTAGCCAAAAACAATAATAGCCAATAATAAATAATAAGCTATGAACCCTAACGTAATAATAAAAATCTAACATTTAGGTGATTGCTTGTGTAAGCGATGACTTTTCGGCTATAAATTCGACGAGACGAGATCGGGAAGAACCTTCTTTTGAATATTAAATTGACTGGCAGCATTTTAGGCCATTTATCTGCGGTCGAATCGATCTTTAGTAATCCATGACTAAATCCATCTAATCATAAATCGATAAAAAAAACGGCATTCAAATAGAAGGAAAAACCTTTCTTCTATCTTAAGCTTCTTTATCTGGTCGTGGAATAATGAATATGGAATAATAATTCAATGTCGCAGAAGCTGATTCATATGATGTGTTATCCAAGTACTATTAGGCTGTTATAAAGCAAACTGGCAGACCTTAAAATTAAATATTTTTTAAACTACGTGTCACTGACAGACGAAGTTTAGTTGGTAAATATTTTAATCTACAGCACACTTGTGAATTAAAACCAGGGGGAATATGTTTACAAGGAAAAACATTTCTTAGTCTTGAAAATCAACACTTTAGTTTTTGTTGCCTGAAGGCCACAGCGCTGCGGAAATTCGGAAGACCCGTGGAAGCGTGCACGGAGGCCTTAAGCAACAGCACAGTAAGTGGAAATGTAAGGTGACGGTAGTACTTTCAATGGAAATCACAGTCATCTGCTACTACGGCATATTCGTTCAAAATGGAACCATGAACGCAGTCCGCTAGTTCGAGTTTCTCAGGGGACCCAGACGGTTGGTACGGCAATTGAAAGCACCCAATCTGGTTGCTTGATAACAATGCCAAACATCATCGTCATACTAAATGATTATCCAATATTAATTTTAAGTAGGATAACGGGGCTTTTCACGGTAAAAAAGAACAATCGGTATTGCATATACCTCTATCTATTCTTTCACTAAGCGATTGACAGAAAATTTATATATCGGAAATGATAGGTGTATGATTGCCCCGAATCCACTAGAGCATTAGCTAAAGTGTTTAAAAAATAAAGAAGAGTTCTTCTAACACATAAATAATCATTTTAATTCAAGTAGATTAACAGTTAGTCTCGAAGTTCGCCGGATTTGTTTATAACAAGTTTATATATTAATACAAAAGCCAAAACAAATTACCTTGATTCCTTCCGAGTAACTTTCAATAGCTGCCTTAAATCTGTTATTGCGGAAGAATCGATTCCCTTTATCCTTGTATCCTGTAGCTCTTTCTTTCTGTAAAATAAATACTAATTCCATCAGTAGAATATAAATAGGCGTTATTACCTATTCATTAAATTCTATTCAAAAAACCTATTCATTATTAGCTATTCATATAAATGTGTGTGTTTCACTCAAAAGCCTTCACTCAAAATAGTCAGTCCTTAATTCAGAAATCCAGTCCAGAAATGCCCAGTATGCGTTTCGTAAGATTAAAGCTTTTATCCGCTATCGGATGTGACTTGCTAAGTTGTCTTTTTATTAACGCCATAATGAACTTAGAGATTAACCTTTCAAACCAGCAGTATATAAGTTTTGAATGCGTATGTTAAATAGAAGAAATGCTTACTATATCTTTTCCGTAAACTCTTATGTTGGCATCTCGTTAATCAGAGTATTATTGGCTAGAGAAAACAAAAAAGTGGTAGTAGAAGTCAATTCCTATTATATCCCGCGACACTGAAGCGACTGTACAGGTCATAAAATTAAGGCATTAATCGTAGAGCCTAACTGTCAACGCAAATTTTTGTGACTATTTTGGTATATAGATCCAGAGGGCAGAGAAAATCCGGAGAAAAACCCAAATTGTCTGGTCAAATAGTTACGCAGTGCCCATAACGGCTGAACTGAAAAGAAATCTATCCCTAAAGCAGAAAACGTCAGTTTTACGGTACCGATAGTGGACAACATTTGAATGGGATTTACGATGTTTAGAATTACAACAGGTTCAACTAAAGCAAATCTTAGTCCTTGATTATTCGTTGTATCCCGTACAATAGTTTTTAATTATAACAATACTGGGCTAATAAGGATTACTTATAACATTTATTTATTTGAATAACCCACAGCTTCATTGATTAGACAATAAAACTGCGAGTAATTGGCTACATCTGACATGGTAGCACCTCAGAAATTTTTATGAAAAGCAAAAAATCAAGGCTCTTGTCATTTGCTACAATCTTTGTCTGTTGATCTCTTTTTCCCCACTTCTATTAGTTCCAGTGAAAAAAAAGCTATACACTACCTTCAGTTAGCAAGGAGTGGTTTATTTAATCACATTAATTTTGTCAAAATTACGTCCCGCTGCCATGTTTGTTCATGGGTATACTCCGGTCACCTTCTTATGGTACCACCTATATTTGACCCTCATTAAGCTCCAGACTGTTGGAATTCAATCGTCACTGAGATTTAACATAACGAGTCGACGGGGATAGGTACCCGGCGCTTGACCCAGTTACTACGACCTTATATTTATCGTTACTCGGGATGCACAAATATTTGTCAATAGTCTATTACTAATTTGTCACGTTGTAAAAAAAAGACAGATATCGTCACATTATTACTATGAGATAGAACATTTTGTCATCGGTAACACCGACACGATAAACACATAGCAGCTACACATACAATAAATTAATAACGAAGATAAATAAATGGACTCTGATTATTATCATTCGGATGTTTAATACATCGTCTGCGCTCGCTGCTTATAGAACATAAACTAGTTATGTCTTACCTTATTCCAATAGAACGGAAATCACTGATAAACAGGCATACCTTAGATTAGCAATACATAGCAAACTAACCTGGGATTTCATTTGCTCGTCGACTTTTTTCTGGCTAACCGCGCGTGTATCGCTTTTCTGTACACCACTAGAACCGGCTGAGTTTTTGCTTAGCGCATTGCCTTTGCGTCGCCTCATGTACCAGTACAATGCAACCCCTGCAATAAGGGGGGCCCCGAATATGATCACATATTTAAGCTTCGAGTCTGACTGTGAATCCATAGCGGCGTCAATGGCCATCGTGCCAACTTCGGCTCTTACGGGCGAAGATACCGATCCTTCCATGTTGTATCCTCAAATCCCTTACACTGCTATCAAGACTCTCCAACGCTTTGCGCGTGCTTCACTGTTTTGTTATTTATTATTACACAGAGACATACACCCGTATTTACAATGCATGCAGTGCGAATTGTTCGGCCTCAAATAATAACCAGCCAACAACGCGCGTTATTCGTGCGCTATGATAGTTGTCGCTAGTCAACGTCGACCAAAACATAAACACACAAGGGTGGCGACAGTGTGAAAAAAACTGATAAGCGTGCAGAACATTCGATATCGCTTCGAATTTCTTCAGTTGGCATAAATAGCAACCGGAAACTGAAACGGGTTGACGGAAAACGAACAGCTCTCATAAGTGATTGCCGTCCGTTATCATCATCGTTGAAAATTCTACGGAACTTATTCGGTTAAAAAACCAGAGAATAAGCTTAGCCGATCTTGCCTTTTGGCCGCCGCCACCGCCGCTGATCGCATGCGCTAACTACACCGCCTTTCAACAGAAACCGTCTGTCTCGCGCATATACGAGAAGAAAAACATACATAGATTCAGCAGACAGAAATGCTAGACACGATCAAGTGAGAATAGATCATAAACTGACTATACCACGCCCAAAGAGCGAACCATTAACGTCACTTATAGACTTCGGCTCTCGGACATAGCCGAATGAATCGACGAATTGACTTCTTTTGACGGCTATTAAGTAGAGTCAACGACAATCTGTCATGGAGCGAGTAGCAGACGACACTGCGCTGAACGGAGAACAGATGGATGGTCATGGGGTCATTTCGCTTGGACCGGCAATCATTCCGTGAACGCAGCGCCTGGAATGGAATATTCTGAAGTTGAACTTTGGTAGACAGAATTTTCTAATGCATCGCATACTTTCCAAAAATATTTTGCCTGGCTATGTTAATGCGTGCAATATTGCAATATATCAAAAAATGCGCTTTCAAAATGGCAAGATCGATTAAATAAAGAGGAAGGTAACACTCCAAGTTCATCCTCATCTATAGTTTACAATAGACTGCTTTAAAAAAGACAAAGATGTTTCTCATAACTCTTACGTTGGCATGCCTCATTTGATCGTACTCTGTAAGCATCGATATTGAAAGAAGAATTTTGGTAAGCTAAAGTGTACATCTATGTTAATGACTAAGAGGCAAGTAAAATGACTTCTAAATAACCACTAGTTAAAGGCCGGCGTTCTCGTGGAATGCTTGCCATATTAAACTAACGCAACATCCCTTAATAATAATAATACTTGTAGTAGATCTAAAAGCTTTAGTAGAGCTGTCATTTGCTGAACGAAAGTTGCTAATTTGAATATTACTCACTATCATCCAATAATCAATCATTCCCTCATCTTATTCGAAGAACGTTCTTCAGAAATTCGTAAATTTCTCATAGTTGGTGGCTAAAATGTTCGTTGACACGTAGATATTCCGGGTAGCTTAAAGGTGGAATGTTGTACTATACTGTATATTTTCGATGTTTTCATTTCGAGTTGTAATTGTTTGTAAGATATCACTGTCCTTTCTAGACTGGCTTTACCTGAATCTCTTCATTAGCAGTAAAAGGCTGTTGTAAAGTTTTGACTACCTGGTGCCTTGTACGAAAATTCGTTTTTACACAGCTTGACTGGAAATATTAGCCTAATAGAGAAAGTAAATTTGTTGATGTTGAAAATGTGTGGATACCACTGACTGTGTTATATTACCAAATCTTTAAAATAGATTTCACCATTTCGTAACCTTATACTATAACTTAGGAAAGAGATATCATAGCACGGAGAAATTATTTCTTTTCGTTATTTAAAAGCGTTTTCTGATGTTTTCATTTTATTTTTTAATCGCAGTGTGATTTACATAAGGAAATATTTTAGCTCGTTGCTCTTTTTCAAGAAAATAGCCAAGTATGGTGTGAGCATCGACGTTTCTCGAAGAGCGTTTCATTTTTATGAAATACTCTTCGTATTCTTATTCGAAGTATTTTGCGCCTTTATATGTCACAAAAGTTTGACTGGCCTTCGAAGTCAAAACTATTATACATCTATTATATTATCTTAAAAAAAAACGTGGTCTAAATACAGGAATGGAGACGGGTAAGGGATCGATCAAACAATTTAAATTGAAATACTTGCATTTAGTCAATGTGATTAATATCGAGTTCCCTCTATATTTGTCTTCAAGTCCTTCGTTGTCACCTTAGTGCGGGCAATAAGTATTGAAGGTAACCACTGAATAAAGGTTCAAATTTTACGTTCGGTACTTACGCCGTTAAACACTGCTTGAGATGGCTGGCTCCTAGAAAGAAACAAAAAATGTCGCGCGGACTTGGCAAAGGCAGTACTTTAAACGTTAAGTCATCTGCACCGAGATGCATAACATCACATTTCATGTTTGTTAAACAATGAGTAGAAATACTAACAGATGTTAGGTAGTAAACGGTCAACGTTATAATGTGTAAAGCATTTCGTCTCAATTCGATCGAAAAACAAGAACGTCAGTAGCTGTATCTTGGATCGCACTTTAAAAAAAATTAACAACATATCGAAAACAAGCTTTGGATGCAAGAACCTTGTCAAAGAACGTCTTACATACACACATTTCAGTCTTTTTCAAATACTGTTTAAAAATTAGACGGGACTATGCTCAGCCGGATTGCGCCACTGCAGGGAAACAAAATGTTAGCTACATATCGTTAGATCGCCAAAAATTGTTGCTGATTCGGAAGAATGCCCCTTTTGCGCTTTCTGTTCCTTCCTAATCAATCAATGCTTAACCCAGGCTATATGCTGAAGGTGTGGTTACCAAATAATGTAAGTACAAAAAGCCAAAGCCGCAATAATGAACACAAGAGCAGATGCTATAGGGTGAAGCGTAGACGGGAATTGTCCGAGGACTTGTCACTAAATACTTAGCTATAATATATATATATATATATATATATATATACTTTAAGCAAATAAAATATACATCGGATTAAGCAAATATTGCCAGTGGTTATTAATTGAGCAGCTAGTGTTCTTTGGGTTTAATAGATGTAACTCACTCTTAAGGCACCACTTATCAACTTATAGCTAAGTATTTAGTGACAAGTCCTCGGACAATTCCCGTCTGCGCTTCACCCTATAGCATCTGCTCTTGTGTTCATTATTGCGGCTTTGGCTTTTTGTTCTTACATTATTTGGCAATTACACCTTCAGCATATGGCCTGGTTTAAGCATTGATTGATTAGGAAGGAACAGAAAGCGCAAAAGGGGCATTCTTCCGGATCAGCAACAATTTTTGGCGATCTAACGATATGTAGCTAACATTTTGTTTCCCTGCAGTGGCGCAATCCGGCTGAGAATACTCCCGTCTAATTTTTAAACAGTATTTGAAAAAGACTGAAATGCGTGTATGTAAGACGTTCTTTGACAAGGTTCTTGCATCCAAAGCTTGTTTTCAATATGTTGTTAATTTTTTTTAAAGTGGGATCCAAGGTACAGCTACTGACGTTCTTGTTTTTCGATCGAATTGAGACGAAATGCTTTACACATTATAACGTTGACCGTTTACTACCTAACACCTGTTAGTGTTTCTACTCATTGTTTAACAAACATGAAATGTGATGATATGCATCTCGGTGCAGATGACTTAACTTTAAAGTACTGCCTTTGCCAAGTCCGCGCGACATTTTTTGTTTCTTATATATATATATATATATATTATAAGTAATTAAATAAACAATAAAATAGAAGAATAAAGAATAAATTAAATTAAAAATACTGTGATACTGAAAGAGTTCTTTTGCGTCAATTCATACTGTTATAATGTATGACACACCTTACGTTTGCTTAAATCACTCTTTCCTTATACTCAAGGGATGAGATTTATGACAATAAAAATACATGAATAAATATGTCAACTTTTTCGATTCTGATGGATATAAATGCGATGGATTAGATGAACCGAACTTGTTTTTAATTATTTTAAATGTACTTGGCAATTCCGACGACTTTTTAGAAGCTCTTGCAGATACCGTAAATTACCATGATGTAGGTGAATAATATCTTGAAATAAAATTAGAAGGCGTTAAACTAAATCAAAATAAAATATCGTATAGTTATATAATATATTACCTTACGACAATAATTTGCCCTCTACAAAAATTTATTATTTAGTAATAAATTGGATGTCTCTCAGATGACTAAAACTGAACACGGATCTAGCAACTTTTCAACCACAAGTACGTATAAAGTATATTTTAGGTATTAGAAATACGTAATCGAGAGCAGTCAGTAGACAAAAAGACCATTTAGAAAAAACGGATCGTACATATATATATACATGCTCTTTTTTTATAAGAAAGTTGCGAGATTCATGAAAAATCGAATTGCTGTGTCAATCTACCGATTAACTTATTCATTTTCATCACCAGCCTTACAAAATGCAACGGATGTTATTTCGACTGTTTTTTTTTAGAATTTAGGGCAAACCGGCGCAAAAACTTCTACAGGAAACTTCATCTGCTACCATGTCTTTGTGCTTCTATCTACCATTAATTATAACAGTTCAAATATAAACAATTGAATACATATTCGTTGCTTAAATACAATGAATTTGCGATCCCTATCAGTTTAGCAGTATTAGTAGCGATGCCCTTAACAACTTGTACGATTGATCTATTTGACGATATAACTTCACCAAAAAATGTTGGAGACCAAGTTATTTATTCTGCAAAAGGCTTTAATCGTTCAGTCAGTTGCTTCACTGATGCGCTCTTTTGTAACTGTCGTTGATGGCACAAGTTCCTGTTTTTCATCTTGTTTAGAGGGATACTATAAAGATGATATCTCAAAGCCATATGATACATTTTTGAATCGTAGATTCAATCACTTTTCAATGAAAAGCATTGCTGTGAAGTGATGTTAACTAATGAACGGAATAACCTCAGCTAAAATCAACAGATTGTTCTAGTCTGACTGGTAAACCGTTATTTTACTTGACGATGCCTGTCTTCTATTATTCCAATTCAACGAGCAACTGGCCTTCCTCCACGGCCTCGCCTGCTTTAACAAGCACAGCTTTTACCTAAAATTGTAAAACATTTCTTTAGTTATTGTGTAACTTCGAATCCTAACTTAGCAAATTAACACGAACTTGATTTTACGGCTAACAGCTCCTTACTTTAACGACAAGTCGTTAAGTCGACCCGATCGGCGACACAATCAATACTTCATTTTCTATATATCGACCAGAAGTTGAAATCCTTTCCTGTTTTTATCACCAACCTTTCCTGTTGCATTAGAAACCAATGAGTTTTGCATTTTCATGGCTTCAACTACGCAGACTTCTTGGTGTTCAGCAACTAAATCTCCAGTACCCACTGCAACCGACTTTACCAAACCTGGCATCGGAGCCATCACCTATCAATATAACGGTACCATTAATTCCGGGTTTCAAATAGAGATGGCAAAGAATTGCCTGAGTATTATTAGCTTTACCGAAGCGCCTTAAATAACAGGGTCCATAACTAGTATAAATGAAACAAAGCCTTTAAAGTAATTGTAGACAAGAACACAAAAGGAAACAATCAAACAGCTGTATAACTTTGTAGTGAGCGAATAGAAGAACGTGATCATCGTATCAATTAGCAGCCGAATTGACAGCAACATGATGATAATGCTTATTAGAACTCATTTTGCGTTTTGTATCGATGCATGTTAATTTGTGAAAACTAAAAATCCAATTAAAATGTAGGATATCTAATAATTACTAATGTATCGAGAACAAAATTCATGAATAAAAATTATTGTCGGTAGAATTACAGATTATTAACCACTACTATAGATCCTTCTGAATCAATGATCTATACAGGTATTACATCCTAGATAGATTTGACAACGAAAGTTTGAACTGGACTGATGGTGTTTTACCTGTTTAGACGCATCCGGTTTTGGTTTCTCAGGCATTCGTCGTAGGAATTCAGCACATTTGCTAGTCACCACCTGAAAAAAGCAGAATTCTAACATTAAAAACGGGCGACGCTTGCGTATCTATTTTTATTTATGTTTACTGAACACCTTCCTGACTATTTTAACGGTTTCGGTAATTTTTTTTATGGCTTAGGCTTGTTCTGAGAAGGCTGCGGTAAGTATATACATGTACATGTTACTGTTCAAAAATAATTTTCATATTTATAAACGTAAAGAAGCTGTTTTAAGGTTTATGGCACGCGTGTGGCACATTTGGTACGATACAGCAGCACAGCATCCCAGTAATATTGCAATGGTACCGCGTTCGCCTACTGAACGAAGACATATGAGAAATTTTGGTTCAAATTAGGACGTCGACAGAATTTTATGCTTAAGAACGGCTGTCTAAAAGAAAGATTAATGGCAGTACCAGACGTAAAAAACCACACATTAAATACCACAGGGTGGCGAATTCACGAGTTTTTTTTAAAGTTTGACAGAAACTGATCGGTACAGGCTCTCCCAGGATGGACAACAGTTACTTCAGGCACCAGTAAACATAATATCACAGATAACGAGCTTCTCGCTAAAAAGTTATTCGACACCAGCATATAGTTTCCATACAGGTGCGTTATGCATATCTTTGGTTTTGTACTTTTATTTCAAAAGAAGTCATGGCACAAAACTACGTAGAGGACCCCCCAGTTTCAATAAGAACAAACAAAAACAAACCTTAAGATTGAAAGTTGTTCCTTCAAATCGTAGCTGTATATTACCAGCAAAGTCTCGTGTAGGCAACTGGACCACGTATTCGATGTCCTTGTCTTTATCAAAACACACCTTTACAAATTGAAAAAAAAACCTATTTGAAAAAAAAAAACTTCAGTTGTTGAAATACGGTTTTACACGCATACAATACAGGAATGCAAGGGCGGAATTATATGGGCCAAAATACATTGAAAGCACGATTAAAAAAACTGCTGCCATACTTCTTGCACAGTCTTAGGTAGTCTATACAAGTCTTCTATGTATATACGACCCAATTTATACTACTATAGCACTTTTTGCAAAATGAGGCAAAGTTATGATTTCAGCTGCTCCTGTACAAGTAATGACGATAAAAGGTATTAAAGTAATCGTTCTAAACAATCGTTTGATGCATAGTATCGAACGTCAACGAGGATTAATGTTCAAGTTATTTAAGAACAAGATATTTTCAAAAATATTATACATTTGCCAAGCTAATTTAATTATCGGTAACACAGTAGAACAATCTCGTTTCACTATAGCAACGAGATTGTTCTACTGTGTTGTTGAATAAATCTGACAAGACAAGTATATAGACACGTAATTGAGTTCGATGTTTTCACTTTTAGTAGGTTGGGAATCCTTCCAACTTTAATTTAGAGCTGAACAACCGGATTTGAGTTACAGTGATAGTTACATTTCTCTTCGATAGTGTTCTGTTTGAATAACGACGTTTCAGTTTTCTAACAAAAACGATTTTAAAAGTGCGGCACTAAGTGCAAAAATATGATATGTTAGTTTGGTATGACATATACACATTTATATACACAGACATATTCACTACGATAAATCATACTTAGAGGGAACTTAATTCTCTGTATAATAAACAATCAAGGACATTTTGTTTCATATAGGCTTGAAATTTCATACAGTCCGACGTCAGCCTTGCCCGTGTAGCCTCCAGGTAGTATAAAATAATGATCTTCTTGCTAAGTAACTTGCTTTCCGAATCGAATCTATAGTAGAGAACGAGGTGATTATTTTGGTTGTTTGTTGCGCAGTAGAAGTACGAAAATTGGTCAAGGCAAAATTGACGTTCCCTTACTAGTGGTTAACATAGCTCCTATCTTATATAATTTCACTTTACTTTATATATTTATACCTATTACATGATAACCTGCTATGCATTTTTGAGAAGTGCGCTTTATACCTCGATGGTGGGTTGCGATAAACTGGTAGGAAGCCTCAAGGTATACTGACTACTGCCAATCGTTGCAACGTATTTACCGCACGAAGTCTTCATAACTGAGGTACGGCTTTTCTCCGGTCCATTTTCCACCTTTACGAAGTATGTTATCAATAATATATTGTTTATAGGCAGCATTTAATTACTAGAGATAAAATACACAGTAAAATATTGGCACATAACTTGCATAGTCAGGTAATTGCAACCAATTACTGGAACAATGCAGATCCCTGACAGATGATGTTAAAAATTTACTGTCTACCCGAAAGAAAACAACTGTAAATCACGGTATGTATTGTGTTTGCACCATTGAAACACCGCTTCACATGGTTCATCACTTGTCTCTATGTGAATACTTTCTAAGAATTTAGTACTACTATACGAGATTAGGTGAAGCGATTCACGCCGTTCGCAGTTCTTGTTCGCAATCGTATACCTGCAGTTCCCAAGTCCGGTTCTCTTCGTTCGTGCGCCGAAGCTGAGACGAGTTCAGCACAGCACGGGCCGTGAGGTCGTCCTGCACAAACACGGACGCCGCAATAGCCGTCAGATGATCTTTTTTTATCGGTGTTAATTGAATTCCGCTAAAACCTACACAAAATCAGATCAATGTCCGCTATAAGAAAACTGTCATTATTGTGTACTATCTTTTGTGGGGTACAGATTGAAGCAAAGAAATTTTCATGATTTCCATAATGGCCACCAACTACGTGGTAGCTTGAACTATTAAAGCTTTGGCTTGTGATAGAACCGGTGCGAGACACTGATTTAAGCCAAGATATGTACATGTACAACACTACGTGTGTAACTTAATGGCGAAGGTATTAAGTTCTTAGGTATTTTTACCCTTGTTGTAATCATTAAACAGACCTCGATCATGCCATACGCCAAAAATGTTATCCCCGATGGTTTAAAAACTTCCACTTGTACACGAAATGTTGGATTAAAGAACAAAGTTAAATATTAAAACCATTGCTGCTAATGAATACGATTTTAATTATTAGTCCCCAGATAGACAGCAATTTTGCTCACCTTTTGGCCAGACTTCCGTAAGATAACTTGTGCTGGTATCTCCTTTAATAAAGCGTTCCTCCTCCATGACAGCGCGTAGCAATGCTATATTGTGTGAAACACCTCTAATCACGTACTTGTCCAACGCCTGATTATCGAACAAAAAAAAAAACGAACTAATCTCAATGAATCAATCAACCTAATGTATAGATAGAACCTTAAAAAAGCAATAGGCAGAGACTTTGGCCAAAACAAATTGTCGCGGCTTAACCACTTCTTCCGTTTATGCTGTTCCGCCACAAAACTGGTCATCACGCCTCATGGGTTACTATAATGTACTTATACATGCATATATATATTCTATGGTTTCACCTGGATCATAGTATTGCGTGCGGCATCTCTTGTTGGACCATACGTGACAAGTTTACAGATCATTGGATCATAGTAGATTGAAATTTCAGATCCCTCCACAATGCCCGAGTCACACCTGTGTTATAGTCGCAGGATTATTACTAGTACTGCTTACACACTGTATACATAGATACTGCTCATTCAGATACTGTAAATAGATTTTGCCTTAAAAGGTCCTTATTATATCTGGCTACTATGACATATCTTTTAAAGAAACCCGTTTTGTTTGGAGCTCTTATTGAGCCATATAGTTAAGCCAACTACATTCTAGCTAGCAATAGAAATGTTTTGGCGAAACACCAACGACATTGTTATTAGGTTGTTAGAATATTCATGTTGAATTTATAACTATTTTCGGGTGACAAAGCATCAGACAATATTGTTATAGTCTTACCTGACTTGTGGTATATCTGTGGGCTCGATATAACGGTGCAGTCGCCCGACGGATGGCAAGCCGAAGTTTTTGAAGGGGTCCTCGGCATACACTCGGCTCTCAAATGCCCACCCATTGAGAGGAACCTGAATGGAACAGGCGTAAGTAAAACACACTATATGTTTTCTCTCTCGAAAACATAAGCAGCTGGATGTTTCATAATACGATTAGCTAACCATAGTTAGCTTTTCGCTTACCTTATCCTGGGTAATCTTTAACGGATGCCCCTTAGCTATTCGAATCATTTGCTGTACAAGATCCACTCCAGTGATGCATTCCGTAATTGGATGTTCGACCTGCAGTAGAGCCAAGTTCCAAGTATCGTAACTTCAAGCATGTGCAGAGTATTGACGCAACAATTTAACGCAAAGTAGAAAGTCACCTTGCAATATTAGCTGAAGAAGCCTCGACGTGTAAACAACGTGTAGTAACGAATAAGTCAGCTAAACACGTTTAAGAAGCAACTAAAAAGCGTAAATATTGGTCTCTATTATTATTATAGCCATTATGAAAAATTCCACTCACAAGGAACGGACCTGCAATCGGGTATTCATTTCGAGAAAGTAGAAGTTCTTTCCTGAATCAACAAGAAATTCGCACGTTCCAGCTGAATCATAACCGACCGCTTTGGCAAGAGCCAGAGCCTGTTCGCCCATCGCTTTCCGTAATTCGGGGGTTACAAAGGTAGACGGTGCTTCCTCGATCACTTTCTGGTTACGTCGTTGGATCGAACATTCTCGTTCATTTAGGTAAATGCCTGGAAGTCGTTTTTGATATATACAGCGCGCTCCGAGTTACTTTAGTAGCCCAAACTTCGATTCGATCGAATAAATCCATTAACAAAATGTACTATGGCAAGGATGTAGAGATTCGATGAAAAATTCGTATACCGTTTCCGTGTTTATCGCAGAGGAATTGAATTTCGATATGCCTCGGGTTGTCAATGTATTTCTCTATGAGAAGGCGGTCGTCGCCGAAAGAAGCGGCCGCCTCATCCTTCGAGAAACGGAACCCTTCCGCCGCCTCCTTGTCGTTCCAAGCAACTCGCATGCCTAATCACCGAATGAAAAATTTTTAGAAACGTTGAACGTATGTCCTTTGAGTAATATCATTGCAGTTTGATGCTGCCTTTGCAATGCTGTTGTTTCAAGCTTGAATGTATAGCCACATGTAAATTACCAATCTTAATTAATATTAGTAACAATAATATACGAAGACGCGACACTTATTGAATGTTATTTTGTACATAATGAAGCTGTACAAACTGTTTTCTATGAAACATTAATTAAATACCTTTGCCACCTCCACCTGCAGAAGCTTTGATCATAACAGGATATCCAATTTCATGAGCTATCTTTATTGCTTCTTCGGGGCTATTTACTACTCCATCGTATCCCGGGATGCAATTCACTTTTGCCTCATTGGCTAGCTGTAGTTTACGCATTCAATATTGGCAAAAGCATCGTATAGAACTGCGTGTTAATACATTATTCAGCATAAGTTTAGTTAATATCTTTATCAAAGGCAATATAGTTTGCCACTTATTGCTTCTTTACGTTTCTCAAAAAGGTCAGCGTTTCAAAAAAAGTCAAAGGATAACTTACATAATTTGAAAATATCTGGAAAAACTATGTGTTACGTGACTTAGAATATTGCCAGTGTTCGTGTACGTACCTGTTTAGACATTATTTTGTCACCCATGCTTTCAATAGCCTTTGCGTTTGGCCCTATGAAAGAAACACCATCTTTTTCAAGACGAGCAGCAAACGCCGTGTTTTCCGACAAAAATCCGTAACCTGGATGAACGGCCTGCGATTGAGCATATTTTAAGGTAAATGAGCAATGGATCCTAGAGTCTGTAAATCCAAAGCTATTTCTGTTTTAAATACACTTACCTCAGCGCCTGATTTCCGTACAGCGTCCATAATAGCTTCAATATTAAGGTATGAGAGATTTGTCGGAGCCGGACCTATGCAGAACGCCTGGAATAGCCGTTATTGATTGGAATTAGGAGATAAAAAAATGCTAAGGATTTGTCACAATATTGCTTGCTATATTGTTGTTAATAGGCATGGCCCAAAAAATGTAAACTTAGCATCAACTAGCCTCATCAGCCATTCGTGCAAAAAGTGAACGGGAATCTACGTCCGAAAAAACCGCCACTGTTCGTATCCCCATTCGGCGGCAGGTATCGATAATTCGACACGCGATCTCTCCACGGTTGGCAATCAGGATCTGTGAAAAATAGTTCACACTCTGTGTAGGGGCAAAATTTTTTCTGTCAAATATTACATTATATACAAGGAAAAAGAGCCAATGCGAAAGCTAGATGAATCCTGAATGGGCCACTTCATGTCGGAAGTGGCCACAGGAAACACTTTTCCTTCTGCAGTTGATTTTTTATCTTAAATGAACAGCGCATGGGGTAATTCTTCACTTATCATGAAAAGCATTCGAAACTGCGTAAAAGAGTTAGACGAAACCAGTAACGACTCATCGCTAAACTATTAGATCGCTCATTGAATAGTCTTGCTGATTCCAGAAAACAAGTATTGCATGTATAAAAAAGCGGGAGTATGAATTCGAAGAGTAATTATGAAAAATACCGTATTTATTATATACATTACAGGCTACGAAAAAGAAAGTGTGTAGACCGCGCTGCGTAAGTTTTGGACGCAAATAAAATTTCGATAAATACCTTTCCAAACTTTTGTTCTGAAGTATCGATGGGATCCGTCGTGTAGACCAGCTGCTGCCATGACGGTATCGCCGCTATTTAGAATCATGCATATACATCTTTATTTAGACGGCAATAAATATTTTCACGCTTGCTGTAATTTACTAGCACTCATACACTAGGGTTTTAAATTTTGTAATTACGATTGGGTGCTTTTTTAACTTAAGAATGTAGCATGTATTCATAGTGGCAAACACAAAGACGCTTGTCGGAAACTGACAAGATATTAGCGAGCGGGTACGGTATTTAGGCCCTAAAAACACCTGAGTAAACCGCTGTTTATTGTTTATATTGCTGACCTTACCATAAGCAACTTTCACTTGTTTTTAATGTTTTTTCCGTTTTACTATTTGTTCATTTCTTGTATATTCGATTCGAAAGACTTCGGGTTCCAAAGATGCAGTTTCAGACGAGAAAAAATGTGCATTTTCGATACCTACCCTATTTCGCCTATTACCCTAGTTAAACGGTAAAAAAGCGGAAGTAGTACGGGATATTTAGGCCGTGAACAACAAGGACTCTACAACTGAAAAAAAAAACGCTCAAATCGATCCGCGAATTTTAAGAATGACTTTTCACTTCCAGAGGATGCAGTTCGTCCCAGTCGGCCGCTTAAGGTCATTTGAAAAAAGATGGCCGGAAAAATAATACCTGAACTTGTGAGAAAGTGCACTGGAGTCACATGAGTATCGACGAGCACCTTAGGTCTATGGGATTTAGTTAAGAATTAGGAGCTTAACTGTTCCATGAATTGAATGAACGTCACAAAAAAACAGGGTCAAGTTCAGAATTAAACCAGTTCTTCGATTTAAAGAGACGACGGCTTGCTGGAAGGGTCTTACACACTAGGAAATACTTGAGGAGAACAAGACGACCAACAAAGATTTGTATATTCTAGTTACAGTGAGTGGATGGTGTTATGGAACAGAAAATGCCCGATAGACAAGGCGACGTCATCCTTCTTTACGACCACGTTAGATCGCATCCGGTAAAGATTATGGAAGCCGTCCTGAAGGAGCTGGAGGTTGAAAGAAGTTTGGATTTCTCTCAGAAGAATAACCACTTTTCCCGATTATTAAGAGATCAAATTAGTAAATGTATGTTTCACAGTGAAAAAGACCAAGACCTGGCTGGACGAATTCTTCAACAGTAGGTCTCAGAATTTCTCGTGAAAAGGAATAAATAAATTAGTGGATAGAAGCTACAAGGACGTGGACGCACGGCAAATACATAATATATTAATTTGCTGCTAAATTTGAACAAGAGCTTTCATTTTTGTGACATGGAAAACCGGACTTACTTGTGTTCTAACCTTATATATATATAACTTGAAAGAACGTCGAAACTTTCAATTATCCAAAACTAGTTAAATCGATCAAAAACGGTCTTTTCGGTGCCTTTGTAAAAAAACATCGATTTCAATTTCCTAAATATTTAAAACTATCGAACTGGATTCTAGTTGTTTAAGACTGCGCGTGGAGAAGCGCAATATTTTACGAGCATAATAATGATAGACAAAATTCCAAGATATATAAATGTGAATTTAGAGGAACTCGAACGCCTTAGCCATCAACCATATTTATTCGGTGTCGGTTAACGTTTGCTAAAACAAATGTAAAAATTATCTTTCACACAGATGGTATCAATCAGTATTTAATTACCTGCAGCCTCCGCAAGGGTCCGCTGACCACGTTGACTGATTTCACCAGTAGATTTTACGACGGCAGAACCACCCCGATTTCGGGGGATCGTATTTAACCAGCGGAGCATTGTTCAATTTCGAACATGTAAATTATTTCTCTGCAACAGTGACTGAATGCCGCAGCTCGCTGATAAAAAAACACGATTTGTGAATGAACTTACTAAAATCAATTATACAACCTAAAAAGTGTATCTACAACTACATAAGCAAAATATACAGAATTTTATAAAGCTACGCAACTTGATGTAATATTTATAAAGTTACTGATGTTGCAAGTACTATGCTTTACACATTAATGCCACAGTATTGTAGTATTTACGCATTTTAAATAGTCAAATGACAGAAACGTCATATAATTTGGGAAGTGACTTCGATGAATTTTGTGTTAGTCTGAATTGAATTGTTTTTATTTAGTTTCTAATTGCAGTTAGTACGTGCTCTAGTTATCAGCGTTATACGCTGAACTTAAACCGCTTGCAGGAAATACATAGGATTATATCAAATCCTGATTTGTAGACTGAGAAAATCTTTGGAAATGATGTTCATGCATACAATGATATAGTGGTGATAAGCAGCGATAGATATTAACGGGTCTTAATTTAAGATATTTTTATACATTATTTGGAAGTCAAAAGAGTATATTACTAAGTGTTAAAGGCCATTAATGTTCTGAAAAGCTTGACTAAAGCCTCAAATTTGTCTGATGTAAACCCGTCGTTTTTATTTGCATATCATAGGATTAGAAGAATTGGGAGATTTTGATGGAGCGAGCTTACCGAATAAAATCTTCCGTTCGGACTGAAGGTACTGTACTCTAAACAATAACTGAATAATACACTTAAATACTACAGTCAGATAGTGAGAAATTAAAACAAAACTTGCTTTTACATATGCATGAAAGTCAGCTGCGATTAAGTGGAGAAAGTTCTACTACATTCGAACTTTTTCGAGGCCTAGGAGAGCGTAATCATCATCTAGAGCATCTTGAGTTGTGACAATCATTACGAATTACTTTTGTTTAAAAAAAAAAACCTATGCGTAATTGCACAGCGATAACACAAACATACTTTGGATGTTGTTCGCTATGTTTCTCGGAGATAACTGAGAGACCCGGAATTGCGCCCGTGCAGAATACTCCTTACATATAAAACAAAGAACTACTGGTAACAAAATTGTATCCTTTAATTTTAGTTAACGCAGTAGAATTAATATAGACTTGGGCTCCAGTTCGCTCTCACCTGGAGCCAGTTTTCATATAAGTGAACTTTCGGCTGTCGTTAGTGAGATTGTTTCACACCAATTACGACAATTTAAGACAAGTAGAGCGGTGTTTGCCCCCTTGGACCGCTTATTCTCAAAATACGTATGTCATATAAATGCAAAGTCATGCCGATACAGGAAGCACATGTCTAGGGCCTTGCAGTGTTATCTTATCGTCATATAATCAAGGAGATCTGTAACAATGTATGGGTAAGCGAGGTTAAGTGGTCCGTCTGATACGTTTTCTTGAACAGCTCGGCACGCGAGTCTGCCGAAACAGGGTTTTTTTAAATCTTTTGTTACGACACTGGAAATTTATATCTACCGCTTTATACTTATTTATTATATTTGAATAGCCTTACTCTAAAGCAAGAGAGTCTGATATAACGAATAATTATTCTACCTATGATTACTACTATATCGTTATTTATTATATCAGTTGCATCATTTTGTTAAGCCTTGTAATATATATAGACTCAGGACCAAATCGCAAGGTTAATAATAATATTAATATAAAAACTGCTTCAAAATCGTCTTCTAGTAGCAATAGGTATACTATAATTCTTGATATATATATATACACACACACACACACACATTCACACTTAACTCGTGTAATAAGTAGATTTATGATCATCCCGTCTGAAGCAATACTTAATGGTAATAACCAAACATATATATTGAAACACATACATAAACTCTTTCGTGCGCCTTTGCAGTGCACGAATATAAAATCATTTAAGTGTAAGAAATTCAAACTAAGAGGACTTTACAGAGATCTGTACGAAAGTAATATGTGGAAGATCTGATACTGGGTATTGATCTAAAGACTATTATTGATGCACTGGAGTGGAGGCAACAAGGCGACAGCATGTTGAACTGTTAACATCAATATAACAGTAAAGTAGGAACAAAAATAATTAAAACATTGACTTCTTAATACTTATACAGAATTATCAGTTCTGTATTATTGCTAGTGCTATTATCACTATTACTACGAGTACCGTTAGTCGGAGGCAAATATAGGCGATCGAAGTTTTACTGCTTAATATGATTTTTTTGATCTAGATATCTGAGATGAAAACAAAAGTTTGTTGTTCCGAGGCTCAAATATATGAAGCTTTTCAAGCTGCAACTAACACGATTTGCACAATAGTTCTCGATCGTCTACAACATACAGAATGAGTCAAAAATAGTCTTATAACACAAAATGACCAACGTATATAATTAAGAAAATGTTAAGTTGGTAATTGTGAAAAAAGACGCCCATAATTGAAAGAGCATCCGTATCAATCAGAGACTTACTTTTGCCAAATCCTGCATACACCTGAACTACCGCGATGTTAACTAACAGCAAATGCAATATTTCAAACATATTAAATTTGTCTACACTGTAACCTACTCAGAACACTCGCCTAGAAAAGTAAGTCCATTACCAATGTACTCTACTAACTAAAATAGTTTTCACAATGTGATACCCATTAACTATATTGACATCTCATATTGAAACTACTTTATACAAGTTATTTTACAAGCCTGAACTCATGTACTTGGAAGCCGAAGTTTAACGCCTAGAAGCTACCCTTCTTCAGCCTGTAAAAAGAGTTCAGAGTGAAATAAGTTTTACTCTGCACTGCTCTTTTAGCGCTCGTAACAAATCGTGGATAGATTTTATTTCAACACAATAAATAATAACACACCTTTTTAGAAGAATTGGGGATGGTAACTTTCAACTGCTAGTAACTTCAAAATAAAGGATATCAGAGGCATCAATCTAACAACATATTGACACCTTCACTGCTGTCACCTGAAGGAGATACACTTGCACTAGATGCTTATGCTACGCGCACAGAAGCACCCCACTGCACCACAGAGAATCGTAGAATGCAAAATGCAACAGGTATCGAATCGCTAAGCGAAGAGCGCCGGATTAGCCGGCCGCTAACGGGTGAACGGTCCGACTCTGCGATATTTCGTCAAGTTCGTTGATAGTCGCAGTTCAGCGGATGACTTTAGAACAGAACAGAGGCTCCCTTTTATTATTACAATAATTATCATTATTATTCAATTTAGACAATATGTCTATCAAACCTCATAATAACTTTGAATTTTTTTGACATGCTAATGCAAAACGCCTGAACTTCACTGTACATTCAATTAAATCTGTTGTGCAGGAATCTGTTTAGAAACAACTATTATGAATCTGTAACGTCTTACCGAGGAATGCGTTTCTTATGTGATGAAGGTAATGTTATATAAAAGAACATACATGAAATTTTGTACATTTTACGTGACGAATACACAAGAAATAAGATTTAATATATTCATCTTTCCTATCTCATTAAACATGGACTATGAAACGAAACGAAAGTTTATAGTTTTTCATTAAAAGCAGCTTTTGCTGAAAACTACAGATGATTGTAACTTCATGTTGAGTTCAGAACATTGCACGTACTTTACGCAATAATAAATATAGAGAAATCAGCAACTAAATCCTGTTTGCACTGAAGGCGAATCTTCATGAGAGTGGACTCTTTGTTGAATGCATGTTTTCCGCGTAGTTCGTATATGGGCCTCATCCTAAAACTATCTAATATGTAACTGCGACATCCTGAAGATAACCCAGCGATGTGCTACCACTTGTCCTTGAAAAATTTTAGAAGTCAAGTTAGAATAGAGTTAATAGGATGCTCGAGGCGAAATATTGGATATTGGATTACATAAGTAGTTGGTAAATGGTGTAAATTAAATACCAGCGCGCCACTTCTGCACGAGCTGCGCCGAGAGGTAAATTCCAACCGTACATAAGACAGTAGCAGTAGAAGTCGGCGTACATGCACAGAGTCGAATACACCAAAAAGAAATGCAAAATTAAAAGGGTCACGCAGTCCCGCAAGGTTGTATGGCTTCCTAACCGTGTTTGAAAAGTTAAGCCCTTTCGACTTTCTTAAATCCAATAGATGGATTGAAAGACTTGTGGCGAAATTTTTGGGTTATGGTGAATTCTTTACGCTGCGAGTCTTTACTCTGTTGCGAACATCTTTGTTTCTTATAGAGTTACTTGGCTTATAGGAAAGCTATATATTTTGGAAAAAGTCTCTGCTACAAGTAGATCATGGTGATGACGCTTTTCGTCGTTCTAATCCTTATGGCTTCATTTAAAGTCTAATATGCGTCATGATCACAGTTTATCACATTAAACGGCGCGTTCAAACAAGTTTGGTTTGACAAAAGCTTTTTTCCTTGCCTAGCTGTTTTGACGATTTTAGGTACTCGATAAGACATCGTTCGTATGGTTTAATGGCACTAGCTGTATGCATGTACAAATAAATATACAATATTCTCGTATAAAGTCAAGTTAAACTTAAAAACTTAAAAAAAGGCTACCTTTTTTTCCGAAGTACCCAAATATTTGCTTAGATAGTGCTTCAGTATTGAAAATTAGCTATTTGCATGCAAGTAGGAAAATACTACTGGAGAAATTTTGGAAGTGTACTTTATTACTCCATTCGAGGACTTCGATATCGTGGGCATCAATTACTCAAATGCAATCGTTACTATATAAAAAACCACCATTAAAAAATTAGATGAATTTTTCGTATCTATCTATATCTAAAAAAAGAGTGAGAATATTTGCTCTAAATTATAGTTTAATTATATGTATAGACTGGATTACCGGCAACGTGTAGTTCTAGTTTTGAAAAAACAAATCCTAGCTTGTAATAAATGAGGTTTAGACGAGGATTGTCTCCATTACTGTAACCTACAATCCATTCATTACAAACGTGAGCTCGGAATAATGAAAAAAAACCTATTAAAACTATCGCTTCGTAGGGTTTTAGCTCTTTAGAATTAGAATCACAAACGTTTGTAGGGCAAACATCCATATTGCCCATGTTTGTTTCAGGCTACCAGAAAATGTGCTTGCCCGTTTCTAAACATGCTATTCTGGTTCACAAGAAACCAATGAACAAGAATGGGACACAGTGATCCTGCGACAGTTTTACTTTTTTTTGCCAACTCTTCCAAGGCACGTCTAAGAAAGCCCTCTATCGAAACGACATAATTAGTTATGCAAACTTGGCATTAAACAAAAGGTTTGAAATAGTGTGTCCAACGAACTTACATATAGAAATTAAAGTCACTGACACTCGCGAGCACCTTTGCAACGCACTATGAGTAAACATAAACTATAAAATTAATGATGAAGCACGTCGAGTACAGATTCAATAATGGCATCTCCATCGCCATCGGGTGATAATATTTGCAATCAATCTGCGATCATGAATAATCGGAAAATTAAATTTATCGAAAAAAGCGTGGTATTTTTAAATGTGTGATTAAGGTTCTCCTTGTGCCATAATTGCAGCCTGAAATTTAAACGCGATCTGCATTTGATCTTGTATATACTTGTATTTGATGTATTAACTGCTATGAATTTCTGAGGGTCTACGGCGGTATTTTTTTTTAACTATCTAACGTTTTTATACGTGCTAGCCTTAATAGGTAGTAGTACATTTTCATAGGAGGTCAACATATTCATACGTCGTTGTTTTTGGTAGGGCATACTTAATTCATTTATAAGGTAGCCGCCGAATGTTAAGTTGTTTCCGAGAATTGCGCTTTTTACGCGAAAAACCATGATCCCACTGTTAAATAATATAAATAACATAATTAAATGGCGCAGGTTTAATAGAAATAAGACCTTATATACAACTGGTAAGTTGCATGTTGAAAACGCAATGTCTCTGATAAATGCGCGATTACCTACACAGCAACATAACATTGCATCGCTGTCCTGGGTATCTTAAATATTGATGCTATAGTTGGTAAAACGAAATTTAGCTCACTCTTTAAAAAATCGGTTGCAGACGGGCACCCGTAAACTCCAAGCATAGATGCCATGCAGTTAGGAATCAAAATGCGAAACATTCACTATTTCATCATGAAACGTTTAAACATTAGAACATCTATGAATTGGAATAAAGCATGACTTATCTTAATAGTGCATAAATTATTTACTCAAATGATATTTGTTTCATCTTGATAAAGTCTTTATAAAATAATGGCAACATCTAGTTAAGATTTTCTAGCCTATAGTACAGCATTTTCGCTCGACTTCGCAACATTTCGCAGCATTTTCGCATAGACTTCATCGCTTGTCTCTCGCAACTATCCTCAGCTTGTTCGATGTCCAAGTAGCTCCTATTGCAACGTATGAGATACGCGTCACTTGGGAAAATCGCAATTTTCTCAAGTCAATTAGATCGCGTCAGACCCTCCTTCCTCAAAAGAGCATTGAGTCTTCATATGCTCCCCAAAATCGCTTTGCGTGTCTGCTAATCGATTCATTATTGCTGTTCAAGGGCATACGTCGTCGCTTTTGATTGCCAGCAACGGGAGACTGGAAGGCCAGCCTTAAAAGCTAGGAGCAAAAATTCGTAGCGACCGATGGAAGTTTCATTGGTTGGAAAGCAGTTAAGAACAACGAGTACAAAAAAAACAAATCGGCTAACTGGCATGTCGCTATTCGCTCTTCCGTGCATGGGTTCTATGATAGACTCTGCAGAAGACGATGCTGGCACGAACCTAACGATACATATAGGTGCTTCAGATACGAGGAAAATTGTGGTCGATCATACCATTCGTTACCCTTTGATATCATCTTTAGGGCATCTAGCAAATCTGTCAGGTTAATTGTATAAGTTCAATATAACTCATATGATGCAAAATGTCCTAAACGTTTCTGTATACTCTGTCTGATATTGAGGTAAATTCGTACTACTAGCAACGATAAATAACTTAAATTTGCAAAGTGATTAACCATGTTAAAAGCAAAAAAAGAAACGCCTACGTGTTCTCTGTCCATTCTCAATATATTTTAAGTAAGCGCCTAATTATAGGATGAAAGGAAACAGATGTTTAAAAAAAAAAGTACTCTATTTATTCAACAATTTGTTTCTCAAATTTATTTTTTGCTGAACGTTTTATGAAAGCGTTCGTAGAAAGCTACTGACTCGTTTGTAATTCTGGGTGTCACGATTGTCAGTGCCTTCTCGATATGCCATGTTGACACGTTCTGCATAGTCATGTGCTCTTCATACGCTTCGATGGCTGCTTCCTGCATTAGTGCCACAATCTGCCCCATCCAAATTTATTATGAAACAAATTTATTATGAGAAAAAAAATTAAGAACGTATACCAATGTACACTCATCTCAATAACGTTTTATGAAACTTTTTTCCTCTAATGGCCGAGTTGAGAGTGCCCACAATTTGTGCAACAACTGTTTAACTAATCATCTCTAGCAAATCGTTCGTTGCTGTACATACAAGCTCGGCATTGGCTTGCTAATTTTTAAAAAGCAAAGTGATCTGCGATTGTTAAATACGGTCACACGATCCGATAATTAAGTCAGACGATATCAAACACGCGTTGGCGTGTATAACCTTGTTGATTACTGACTGAAAAGGGTCTTTCGTAATCTGAAAAGGGTATAATCGCTTTGAACCAAAATTAGACTCAGTATTTCTTCAAACTGATAGTAATTACATCATATTGACGATTACGTTTCATACCTCAGCTCCGGAGTAGCCACTCGTCCAGTTAACGACGTCTTCCAACTGAACTTTACTATCGACAGGATGTTTCTTGAAGCAGATCTGCAATATCTCTCGACGGGCCGCCAAATCAGGGAGAGGGACATAAACTACGGAATCTAAGCGACCTGGACGAAGTAGAGCCTATTTTGGGGAAAAGTGTAGTTTCGCACGCATCTATGTCATTAATATATCTCGACCCGTATTGAAATATTAGCAAAGGGCCTAAGTCTTAGATGCCGTACCTACCCGATACGAACCTTTTGCTACAGTGTCAGAAAATTGATGTAGTTATATATTATATAAAGTGTCTATAAGAAGCTTTTGCTGTCGGCAACATTGTGTTCTGGTTCGATACCTCATCGATAATATCCGGTCGGTTTGTTGCCGCCACTATCATGACACCTTCCAAAGCCTCGATTCCGTCTATTTCAGTGAGAAGCTGTGTGAGAACCCGATCGCCGACAACACTGCCTCCTCCGGAAGATCTTTTTCGTTCTGAACCAATTGCATCTGTAAATTAGAATTGAATATTATATATAAAATCTATCGCATAAGCTCATGGTAAATTTTATGATCAAAATAAGTATATAGTACTCACAAAATGTTTAACCTCAAAACTAAAACAGATTTGTTCGAGTGATAACCATCTTGACAATTCAAAAACGTAGGGGACAACTGATCTATCTCTTAATTATAATTATAACTAACGAATTATATATATATAATTCATTATAATTAACGATTAACCGATGATTAAATTAGACTATATCAGTTTTCCTAAGTTTTCCATAAACTGACGTCTTCTATCAGTACGGTAGCTACGAATCCTGAGCGAAGACGTACCAATGCCGAGCTCACCTATTTCATCAAAGAACACAATAGAAGGGGCTGCAGCGCGAGCCTTCCTGAAGAGATCTCTTACTGCTCGCTCACTGTCGCCGACCCACTTAGAGAATAACTCTGGACCTTTGACGGCCAGAAAGTTCAGTCCGCTCTCAGTGGCTAATGCTTGTGCGATCATCGTTTTAGCGCATCCGGGTGGGCCGTACATGAGAAGCCCTGACGGAGGTTTTATCCCCATTCTAAGCAGAAATCAATAAAAACTGGTAACTGGATTTATTCATAAAATATCAACAAGAATTTTGCTCAACTCGACAACTAATCCAAATTTTTATTAAACTCTTTAATTATAAAAATAATGAGTCCTAAGAAACACGCGAAACGGTGCTGTTCATCGCTATTCAACACATATTTTTAGCTCCCTATAGGTAAAATCTAATATAGAAAGTTCCGAACAAAATGACGTCAAGTTGATACAGAAAATTGGCATACAAGGTTCACTTGAGACTGAGCAATTATTTGATCATGTCTTTTATGCACAATTACCTTCTAAAATCGTCTTTATGAAGCAGAGGCCACTCCACGCTTTTTCTCAGCCTCTGCTTGACTTTCTCCATACCACCAATATCAGACCAGTAGACCTTGGGAATATCTAACACAACTTCACGCATCGGTGTTGCCGTCACGATCTGGTCATCATTGATATCGAAAGTCACAATCGGTGTTATCACAACCTACATATTCTATTTAGAATTACAACACTCTTACTTTTTGCATTGATTTGCGCTACATCCAGCAAGCTGATCTCCCCTTATGCTCATCTGGCTTACCCCCCCCGCCCCCGCTCCCCCAACCCCCACCCACCCTAGCTGTAACTTAGATATCACAGTTAGAATACGATTTCTACCCCCAATTTTAATTATTTTATTAGGCTTAATTTACGTTTTCTTTCGCACCTTTGAAGCTTTCTTTAGATCCTCGTTTTCCAAAAACCCTGCTTGGTTTTCACCTTTCTCTGTCATTCTCGAGACAACTGCGTGCCTTATTAAGGACTCTAAGTTCGCACCTGTGTAGCCATGGAGAGTGCTGTTGATCTGTAATAATTGTACATATACAAGTTAATAGAAGCCTTTTATAGGGGAAACTACTGCCTTAAAGCGCTAAGGTTGTATATTAAACCTATATACATGTCGTTGTCCGTACAGTTTGCATTTTATAATCACTGTCTTCATTAACTAAATCATTTTTTTAGAATTTCTTCTGAAAAGACTAACCATAATTTTTAACATTCAAAGACGATCAGGACTATGCGGTGAGTATTGCATGCCAAATTCTGATTCGACTGAAATGCTTTACTATTAATGAGATGTGTAAAGACTAACATGTTAACGTTTACTTATAAAGGTACCTATAACAAATAGTAGTTAGTTAGTTTAGTTAGGTTTCAGTTACTCTGTCGGAAAATTTCTATATACCTCGTCGATCTCGCTGCTTTTAAGATGATGTGAAAATTTCCGTAGCATTAATTTGAGTATTTCAAGCCTTTCCTCGACTTTAGGTACTGCTGTTTCGATCTCCGCATCAAATAAACCCCTAACCGCCTCATCAAGTGTAGAGACGCGGCCACTGGTGGCGATCACAAAACTCTTGTGCGACATGAAACACATAGTTAATATATTGTGGGACCAATTAAAGCTAAGATTAAAGGGCATCAAAACTGTGTATCGGAATCACACCAGAATCTCAGCTGAATTCTGTCGAATTCATTTTTTTCTTTTCAGACATCATTTTCTTTGCATGAGTGGCACAACAAACTTTTAAAGCGTATATTATTTAAAAAAAAAGGCACAATGACGACCAACCTGAGGCGGCAAAACTCTGATAAACGCATTAATTCTCGCATATCCATCTCTAGCATCGCGCTTGCCACCCAGAAAACACTCCACGTTGTCCAACAGAATGAGTTTATGCCGAGCTTTTTTCAGAAGAGCGGCCGCGGCCCCAGGAGACTCCTCACTGGTTTGATGTATCGTAAAAAAAATGTGAACTTCAGCACATGTATGTTTTTCTTTACTTAATATCTATTGCTCCATGCACTTTGCTATCTATATTCACTGGACGCTGTAAATTTGACCCGATTCTAAAGTTTAAACCGAACAAATCTAATAGACAGAAAGAAATTATGTATTGGCAAACGATGGTTAACTTTACTTAACGGTTGGAGACAATGCCTTATATCCTAGGCTGACCAGGCTCTGATATGTCATGATGTATGCAAATAATATACCAAATACGAAAAAAACTGCGAACCTGTCAAATTACCTGCCGATAAGATCCTGTACGGTTACTTCGAAGATATTAATGCTTATTTGCGATGCAAAAGCGCTAGCGAGCATCGATTTTCCAGTACCTGAAGGACCAATGATAAGGATGCGACGTGGTGGCCGTACGCCAATCCTCGCCAGCTGTTTCAATCCACTAGTGGTAATACTAGCAAAAGCTTTAAGGGATGCCTTTGCAGATTGCAAGCCTCCAATATCCTCAAATGTAATTTTATTCTTATTCTGCGCTTGTGAGGGGTCAGTATCCTCAACTGAGACTTGTTTACGTCGTATACTGAATTCAGTATTGTGAGTAATCCTGCTTGGTCATACACATACAGAAATGAAAACAATTAACCAATTTTCTCTTCCGTTCAGTAGTGTATATCAGGCCATCTAGAGGCCTAAACAAATAAACACATTAGAAGACGTACAAGCCTTGAAGGTAAAAACGTACCTATAGTATGTGTCCATTGCCTTAATGTCCTTGTCTGGGGATCTAATGCTGAGTGCCGCCATCGACGTCTCCAACCTGAGATCTTTACTCTCGGCAGCCACTATCCGCAACGTGTACGATTCACAATAGTGATTACATCGAATTTCCTCTCCCAAATGCACGACGGTAGCATCTGCAATATATATAAAAGGTACACAGTTCACGCATAGAGCACCCGTGGGTTCCGTGAGTTACACCGAACATTTGATAAATATAACTTAATTTCTCCTTGAAAACAGCACAGAACTATCAAAATTAGTAAGCATACAAAGTAAACATAAATAGCCTATAAAATAGAACAGAACATTAGAGATTCTTCGAACAGGTTACCATCGCAGTGTACCGCTGACTGTGTGTTATACTGATAAAATAAATCTTCTCAATCAATGCCGTAAGTGTAACAGGGCGAGTAGTGATTTTTAAAGGTTATTTGGAAACATTAATAAATCAACTGAATCTTCTAAAAATAATGTACGAAACTTTCTTACCGTGTGTTCTTCGTAATCTATCGAGAACCAGCGATTGGATTTCTTCGGAAATCTCAATCCCAGCTACCTGTTCAACTTCTAATGTTGATGCCTCAAGTATGTTACCATCGAAGCGACTGATAGATAATCGGCTCGCAGGAGAAAATTCATCGCATTGTCGTAGCGGATATGCAGATAACAGAGGCGCCGCCTGCAGGCCATGGCATATTATGAGAAACAGAACGCATAACTAACATGAAAATATATTTATTTCTGTACTGTATCCTCGGCACTATGTTTATATGCATACATATAAATATTAGCGTACCATGTGTGGCCAGACTATTCGAAGTGATGCGTGTCCCCGTGCATTGGTCACGATGACATAATCGTTTACTGCAATATTGGCCATTTTCAACGTGAACGGACTTACAAGCAAGATCTGCCTCTGAAGAGACATTGAAAGTTCTCCTAGGAGATTATCTGCAATGAAGATACAAGAAATCCACTATGCGAATTCCAATATGAATTTACTGTACTTGAAGAACGCATACTTTTTACAACACAGGTAACGACAATGCGTCTGAAAGGCAGGTTATTAAAGCTTCGTAGCTTTGCACTAATTTGATCAGACCTGCTATTTTCTCTAGAAATGCGTAAAAATTTAAGGTTCAAAATTCCCTTCTATTAAGTTTATTGTGTTTGTGGGTTATTCGAAAGAGATTCTCCGTCAAGTAAAAATGACTACTTTCGGCATTTAATGTATCGGGACGTGTGAATCGCACAAGAACGTATGGATTCGATCTCGCATCTATTTTTTTATAGAGAAGAAATAAAATATGACGAATAAACAAAAATTAAAAAAGACAAAATGCCTTTTTAAGTGCATTTTAGCGACGCTTACTCTGCAGACATGAACCGTGACTTGTGAAAAACTCCGAAATTAATTCCGGTTCATTTTATTAAACGGATATATACCATCTCGATGATATGCATAATGAAGCAAGGGCGTGAGGATAACTACTAATACCTATTTGCAGCAACAGATAACCAATGCACTCACCCTTATTCTGAAGTTCGCGTACAGTCACAAACAACGTCCCATTACGGATGAAATCGTAGTTAGTGTTATCAAAACCTAACTCTTTTGCGCTCAGATCTGTTTGACAACCGTCACCATCGACAACAGTGTGTAGATGCTTCTCACGATCTTTGGGCAAGATAATGATCGAGCATTTGTTGCATTTCATGAAATCACTCTTAATATTTTCTTTCTTTTTATTTCCGCTGTTGCCTGTGGTAGGAGTAGTTGTCATTTTGAACCGCAATTTGGATACTACTGAAAGCAAAATAACACATGTAGTAAATACTACATAATAACTGAAAGCTAAATACGTTTAAACTAAAAAACGTTAACTAAAAAGATGCTCACACATAATTTAGTCGTCAAGGGATTCTATATTTTTCTATACAGCCAAATCTCCTATGTTGGTACTGGCTTAATTGTTTACCTGTCTGTGGCAAATCAAGAACCAATTTGTTATTAGATATTAGACGATAAACAAATATTATGTATTGGGCACATTTAAACCATTACGATTCTCAGGTAGAGGTCGAAACCAAAAGGTTACGGTTGCAAGTTGGATACCTGATCATGTCACTATTGCAATAACTGAGCTTTTTCTTCTACGACGTCAATTTTTTACGACCACAAAGTAAGTAAGTTTGGTTGCTAAGGCCGAACGCCATAACTGCTACATTGTTAATGCAAATAAAACCTTGACGAAATACCAAAGTTATCAGAGAAGTAACTGTATTGACACAATTTTGTAATATAATAGATTCTATCAAGCTTTACAATGCTTCAAATTAGTTAAACTGATACCCAGTCGGTATTATTCTGCATTTATTGACCGTCTAATCTTCAGCTCAGATAATCTAGCCTTCAGCAGTTAACGCTTTACGTAAGAAATTGTATGTGACGTTTAATCCAAGGTTTGTTGCGTAATCAGTTCATTATATTGTAATGTGGACACTGTACGTACAATGTAACGATGACATAAAGCATTTAGCGATAAGTAATCATACAGACATTAATATATGTAGTACTATTTAACATAGTGACTTTATACTAAGGTTTTTCGCATAAACTTACTAAATCACTGCTTAGTAATCTATGTTTTTATCATTTCAAATGTAAAAAGTATACTTCTTTATTAGCTAAATATATTTTGTTGAATACTTCCTCCTATTCACTTACACCCATTTGCGCTTTCGTTGTGCAGATACGAGCGGTCAATAATAGTTCATCCTAATTCATTAACAAACCAAACGGACTAAGTTTAATTGGAAAAGAAATACAAGATGATGCCGTTTGCCAATTTTTGTTATTCTCTGTCGTACAGTAAAAAGCTGTAATAGATTGTGATGAAATAAATATTCTAACCTCAATGGCCTTGATGGACTGTTCCACAGTTGATGTGCAAACGTGTCGAATAAATTGGAAGCAATTTCTGAAAATTTCAAAGAATCATAATCCAAATAAATATGTAAAAGCTGACTATTTATAATTTAGAAACCCCGATATCGAAATTATAAATGGTTTATATACAAGTAGTTGATCACCATAGCAAACTCCTTCCGTACGAAGTACGGCGTGCGGTGAAGGATGCGTGTGTGCCGTGCAACAGCTGATTAATAAGTATCACCGTTATATGCGAATATTGAATATATTCTAAAGGTTGTACCCGACTCTGAAGTTTATTATGATAAACGTACAAATGGTGTACGTATTTATTGCACAGAGACTTCGTTAAGCGATGTCATGTCCTGCTTTGTGCACTCGACTTACACTCGCTAGTCGTACTTCGCACAATTTCAAATGTGGTAAAGATTTCCTGCTGGGTACACTTTTTAGTTAGGTTTATTATATGATGCATAAAAGCTAAAACCGCGTTCCATTTTCCTATAAATGTGTCTGCTTTTGTTTACAGTTAGAAGGAATAGAATGTGACTCTATCCAGCAGCCTGTACACATTGCTCAGAATCTACCGAAACAATAACTGATAGCGTTCGGGGTGAGTACCCAAGTTACAGAGAATCACACCTTTATTTTCAGATTAAAATGCTTTCGCGTCCAATGAACTGCAGTTGTCGATCAGTGACAGTCGATTATGTGCGTGTCTGGGTTCTTAACGAAATCATTAGAACTGCTAAAAATAAACATTCGAACTTTGAATGTACCATATGTGCGTAAACAGAGAGGTATCATGAGCTGAATTCGATTTTTACGAGGTATACCCCTTTGTATTTGCTTGTATATTTATGTCATTAATAATAACCTAAATAAAAGTCTGTTTTTCACTATAATTATTAACTTGACTGTCTCCTCATAGAGCATATACGAGATATTAAAAACGATGTAGTCATTACTAAAGGTAAAGAAATATTATGATTTAAAAAGCAATAAAAGGCAAGATAAAATTGAAACCTATATTTAAATAACGGTCAGGCTTATCTTTAAAGCAATAAAGGTGTATTTGATGATAAAAATAGATTTTAATTGCGTACGGCGGCTAACGCTCGAATTTAAAAAACTTGTAATGCAAAAAATCATATGTGAAGTATACAATATTATCAAGGTTGAGGTTTTAAGTAAAAAAAAAAGCTCAATCTCTGATTAATTGGTTGTATTTATGTTTGTTAAATATTCTCTACGCTATCATAAATAACATAAGGGTAACCGTTCTTCTGTTCAAGTTCACGTTCAGATTCAATGTACACGATAAAGTTGTTTCACAGAGCCCTACCTTATTGTATTTCGTAGATAAACGAGGTACTGTAGATTATAAAACACCGTTTAGTTGACACTTCAGAATGGGCAAAAAAGAATCAGGTGCGGTTAAAGAGCAGCGAAAGATTCTCTTCCAAGCAGCACAGAATGGAAGTTTGGACTGCCTACCTCGAGGATTACTGATCCGAAATATAACGAAGTGGTCGGCATATACACCAGAACAAGCGCAGGCAACGTGGGACAGCCGAACTTTAGTGCAACCGGCATCTTTGGATAGCGTGCTGCATGTCGCTGCACGTAATGGCAACGTTAACGTCATCCGGTAAGCTTACAAAATGTTAGCTTGCCTTACCACTTTCTCTCAAAATTTAGTCCACACATATACCTTGCAAGTGTGCAGAAAGTACATTTTTTCTACAAAATATATGGTACACAAATAAACTAGATCTTTTTATTTTTACTTTTCCCTGAGCTTTTTCTTGGAATATCTCAAGTTAGATTATCTGCTGACTTCAACTAATCAGGACGGTAAATGCGCACTTCACGAAGCCGTCCAAGCTCTTCAATGCGAAGTTTCTCAATACCTAATTGATCGTGGAACGCCAGTGGATGTTCTTAAAAGAGCTGATTGGTATGAAGAATATTTAAATATCGTATACTCACTACTACGCTCCAAGAAAATTTATACAAAAGTCTCGAAATATTTTGATATATTCGAATATACCGCGTTGCTCATTGGTTAATTAATTGACTATATACATGGTGCAACCGATTACAGGTCATTGCGCATAATCTACCTAGATCTATTTTGCAAACAGCAGCATACGATTTTCAAAATATTTCGAGCATACAAAATATTAGATGTTGTAGTTCTTCTGATATGTAGTTGATAGCATTCTGAAATTAGTATTGGCCATAAATGAAGCAAAGAAAAAATAAATACCGAGTAAAAGCTAATGCAGCAATTATGCACTGAGCTGTAAAAACCTCAAGCTTCTATCTATAAAACTGTTCTTTCGTTTTATTACGGTTGGTTTTTTCCGTTCTAGAATCTAATGTTGCGCCCAACTTCTGTTATAGGACTCCACTGATGTTGGCGTGTACCCGATCTAATAACGTTTCCATGGTTAAGCTTCTTTTACAAAATGGAGCCAGAACAGATCTAAGAAACAAGGATGGCTGGACGCCGTTTCATATTTGTACAAGGTAACTTTCCTTCATTGTGCTACTACTTACACTAGATTACGCGCCTAAAAACTAACAATAATAGTAATAAGTTGCTCAAAACACTGCATAATACATTTATTAACTTATTACCGTGTATTATCCATCGCTTCGGGCGTCAGAGTGCCGAAGAAAAATAATTTCTTCAAAATTTGCACTAGCATTGCTCACTGCCTTCTTTTAGAGTGCAATGGCTGATCAGAACAAATATTTGATCATTTAGTTTTTACTACCTGAACTCGTCGCGCTGCTGCTACTATATGTTCTATCTTTAGCGGTGCCACTTTCAGTAGAATTTTTTCCTGTGCTTTTTTTTGCTACGCGTTTGGGTAGGTTTTCGCTTTTTTTTGGCTTCTGGACGTCATGTATTCTCATAAGATCAACAAGCTTTTCGGCACTTGAGCCGTTTGAAAAGTGAAGAACATCGTCCGGCAACGAGTACTGCCGGTAGCTTCCCGGTCGAAGGCTTACACCATCAGTGTGATAACGGAACTCCGGTTGATCATTATCCGCCTATTAGACACATATATACGAGAGAAAAACGAATTGAAAAAAAACTTTACAAATTACTTTTTTTAAGAGAATTATTGCTCTAGAAGCAAATTTAGTGTTAGGGCGAAAGGAACTATGCAGTCATCTTTCAGCAGCATCATCTAGAACAATTTATGATAAGAGTAATGGACAGTGGCTAAGCGAAGATAATCTAAAATGGTTTCGTAATCGCTTGATTAATCAAGAATGTAACTTTTGTGCCTCGTTCTGCTTAAAAACGGTTATTTGTAATGGTTGAAAATTCTCAGATGATCTATCATTTGCGAAATATCATATTATATGGAAGACAACTTCTGATTTTACTAAAGATGCGAAGTGTAATGATAATCAGACTGATAAGATGTGATTTTGTAATGAGGTGATTTAGAATTCAAATATTTAGAAAGGATTGCTGAGTCTTAGTTGGGAATCAAATATGGGGTTTTGCGCTCGCTATTCTGGAATCCTGGCCACCTCTCTATTGCACCGATAAAGTAAAAAATTGATGTTCTTTAAATTTGATCAAATGTTTTAGACAAAGATGCTCAATTTGAAGATTTGTCGGTCCAAATCGCACACGAGCTATTACATATGCATGACAGACGAACACAACTCTAGCCTTGTAGCAAACGTTCTGCTTTATGTTTAACTTGATATTCTTATTATAATTATAGCTTGGTCAAGGGCTGGACTTTCCTTTTGTATCAGCTGCCAGAAACGCTGCTTTGAGACTATTTATCAATTAACTTCTTACCTTCAGTTTATATAATTCGTTCCAATCGAAAAGTAGTCCATCGGTTTGAGCGCAAAAAGGATTAAAATCGAGTAGTCGAACGTAGTCCTTGCGTGAACGATATACATCAAAGGTGTAATTTTCTAGAGGGAAACGGTCTTGAATGTATTCCTTGAAAAAGGACATTACGTCATTTACAATCTGATCCCGTTGCTCGATGATGTACCTATAAGAACGGGTCAATAAAAATATCAAACTTTAGCAAACCAAAAATATAATCAACTGTTTATCTGCAAAAGAGCTTAATACCCTTGAAAAAGCAAAGTGCCCCTAGCGGTTTATTACAAATCATAAAAATGAAAATCCGAAGAATTACAACTCACCCGTAATACTGACTGATTTCCCTCTGCGAGATAGCAGTCAGTTCCCGGTGGTGAACAAAACAACGGAATTCAAATGAGGGTTCAATTTCTACCCATTTTCGTAGTACCAGATGGTGAGGTATGCACGAAGCAGCTTCTGCGGTTGTTGCAGAGGTTAATGGAGTGATATTTGTCGAGCTTTGTACATAACAATTATTTATACAAATATAGCAGCATAATTACTAATGATAAAAAATCGATATGCTTGTATACAAGAACATTACGAAGTAAAATAGACCTTATTTTTTTTGTCTACTTATTTTAATATTCTTTCGATTAGAATTCTGCATACCTCCGCCTATAATGTTCTCAGCAACCGTTTCGTGACATGCGGTATCCAGTGGAATTGTGTCGTCACAATATTCGAATGGATTTGTAAGATCGTGGATCACAAATGATGAACTTTTTAACAGAAGGCACACATCCACAAAAGTGCTGCAGCTTAGTGAATTGTTAAGGCCTATCCAAGATGCATCCTAGAATAAAATAGTCACAAATTCACACAAATATCATCAATAAATAATTAATAAGAACGCTTGCACCCTAACGGTTTTATAATAAATTCGAATACTAAAATGCTTTCGACATAATACAAGAAGTTTGATGAAACATCTTGAGATTATTATTTATGTTTACCCGTCTTTAATAATTTCCTATAAATTGGAAACGTTAGGAAACAAAATTAAAGATACATATATTAAGTAACATTTTGAACATAACAAACATTCAGCCATTTTTTTCCGATACGGTTAATGTGTTCTATGCATGCGTTATATAGCAGCAGCTGTGGATTTTACCTTGGGGCAGCTCCAGTCCAATTTCGGAAAGCAACGGCCGCCTAACTTTCGGATTTTTTTCGAAACCCAACGCGACAGCTTTTCGAAGGCAGGGACCTATATGAAATAACATGAAATACATAGTAAACTAGCAGAAATATTTAGGGTTATCTTCAGTTCTTATAACCTTTATACAGAGTTCAAGCACAAATCATGCGTTTTATTTCTCTGGGTAGCTAGCAGTCAAGACGTTTTCGCGTATTGACATGTCTTGTACTCATATACCGAATGCAGCTTTTGTATTTGCGATTACAGCACTTGAAGTATACAATTTTTATAAAATTTAGGTGTATGACGTATGACGTAAGGGGTCTGAGTCATTCTAAAAATTAATGTACTGTTCATTTTGCGGTAGTGGGATCTAAAAACCGTACTTTTAACGGTACCAACAATCTTCAAATAATCTTAGACATGATTTATGGTGCATATGGTTTAGTTCCTGTTTAGTATACGATTTTATAAATAATCTCTTCACGTCGTTTGGTACACAAGTTAATCCAAGTTAAAATATGACTTACGTCGGTTGCACCTTCACCGAGCTCATCGTCATCTTCTACGTCCGACCAAGATACATCAGAGTCGTTGTCCTCTTGACTGTTGTCCTTTTGTGTCTTCCGGTTCCACTGATATGGCTTACCGGGCAATCGGAGAGTATCATCCGAAAGCAAATATTCGACGAAGTCCGCCGGGAGTGGCGTGATAAACGACAATGGGGTCACTTTCTCGAACTGGTAATACCTGAACAAGTACAAGTGTTGAGTAGCCGAGTCAATGAGACCAACCTTTTTATTAATGAATGTTGTTCACGATAAACACGCTAAGACACATGCTAATTTGTGTGTGATAAAGATATGAAGAATCGCATTCTGATTTCTAATAAGTAGACGAGTGTAGTTTGGGCTCGGCAATAGCTTGCTGTTAATTTACGCGAAAGAATACAACATCAAACTAACTACTGCGTTATTTTGGTGCTGTATTTTTTAATTTACAAATGATGTTCTCGTTGGCGGTACGGAGGCATATATCGCTAGACTATGTCTTTTCTCATTAAGTATTTAGATGCAGTTTGTAGTTGCGCCAGATTGTGATAATCGATGGTATTTGCTTTTCGAGTGGCTCAAAGAGTACGGCGGTAACTAGAATGTCAGTCAGAAACAATGTTTGTTTCTAAAATGCCTAAAGTCATAAACAATATGATTCAATGACATAAACGTAACATTGTTATTAAAAAGCGTTTCGGTATAAAAATAGTAAACTATCAGTTTTAAAGACTGTTGTTTTTCGCTTGCATTTGCTTACCACAATATGTTGCAAGCATCAAAACCAAATTTTTATGGTTCAGTAATGTTTCATTGTACTGAAGAAACGCGTTCTAAGTTACGCCTTAAATATTATTTTAATACCGCTATATTTGGCTACCAAATTCTGAGAAATTTCTTAAGTTCGAAAATATTTGTAAGTGTATTTTGCTTTTTTGATGCTAAAATATTTCTATGTGAATTATAAGTTAGCCAACAAACGTATCAGCTGAAAGCGTACCACACAGGAAAACTGCACTGCATTATCTCACTACGGCTGACTGTTCGAAGGCGATGGCTGCCATTTGCTTCCGCCATTTCGACTGGCCAAAGTGAGCACCCTTAATCAACTTTAAATTTGTTCACAAGATCGACGAATGATTAGCTGCGCGACAGCGAAACGTCGCGTTTTGACTACCGGGAAAATCCCCCTGTCTGTTTGTTGTTATCTTTCTTTTTGTTTTCATCCAAAAACGAACAAAATGTAAAAGAGTAGCGGAAAGATCAGAAACGAATTCTGAAGCGATTTAGAATGAACGACAAAATGGACGAAGTTGAAAAACAACACCACATTTTCAGCCTCCACGGGTCCACTTGATAGTCCCACTTCGTGTTGTTGGTTATGATGCTGTTGATGATTTTGCTGACGCTGCGTGCGGCCGCATCAATGAGGAGGCAAGTGTCGCGGGTGAGAAAAGTTACGATTGCGGGTTGATTTTTTTGGAAAGTTACTCTGGGAAGCTGTTAATAAATATCCCAAACAATATACACGAAAAGAACGCACTGAGAAATAAGACAAACATAGTCATATTATTGTATATGTATTTTGTGAATTACTAAATAATACAACAGTATATTAAGATAGATATATTCGGAGTAGGATAGCAAAGTAATAGGCCGAACAGCGCAAGCATTCCATATATTTTATTTATTAATTTGCCACAACGGTAGCGGTGCGGTTTAGCGATAATGTGTTTGCCACGTTCCTTGGGCGGACGTGTAACGTGTGTCATGTTAGTCTCTGGGAAAGGGCATAAAGCGTTGGGGCGAGCCGTGTAATATAATGAATGCCTCACAGCAGCGCTGTGCGTAAGATCGACGCCTTTTATTTATTTTGCAAAGTCTGTTGCAAGCGAAATTGTGATAATAGTTATAATAGTGGTAGTAATAGCAATCGATTTTATGATCTTTCGAAGCCTTTAGAAAGCAGTTCAACCTATTATTCAGCCTTATGTTTCAAAAAAAAACTGAGAATTTCTTTATCTTACACTGAGATGATGCGTCAATACAACGTAAATCTAAAAAAGACATCTTTTATAATGTAAAAAAGTATTTGCGCGTCACTGCATGGAACTAGATGGTGCATAGCAAACTCGTATTTTAATTTAGCATACTGCTTGTTCTTTTCACTGACATATTACGCATGACAAATTACGGTACCGTCGTAGCAAGCAACGTTTTTGCGCGATCGAGCCGATCCGTAACCAACCAATGTTTGAATCAGTATTGCATAAGGACACTAGAAAATTGCCTCGAAATCCAAAAAGTACGACAACCTGATTAGGACAACTAAGAATCACTAGGCGAAGGAATCAAGTTGGAAAAAGGCAGACCACAACCACCTTAAACAAAGCGGTGTAATGAAGTTAAAAGAGACAAGGACTTTTACTTTTATCTTTCATACTTATCGTGCGCACAAAAAATTTGGAAGGAATATGCGGTTTAAAGGCCTTTGATCGCCTAGCAGGACCAAAAAATGAATGTCTAAACAGTGGTTTCGATTTACTTTGCATTGCAGGAAAGGAAATTTAGAGTCGCTGAAGATCCTGTTAGCACACGATCCATTCCTTTTGAACACCAAGAGTTATAACGGAAGAACACCGCTGCACACAGCTGGTAAACTTTTGAATCTAGTTTCTTTCGAGTAGTCATGAACTCCCTGAAATTTGTCATCATTGAATGTGCGCTCTATTTATATATTTATCCAAAAACAACAAAATCTAAAAAGCAGCTTAAAGAATTCAGGAAAATAGTAACCCATTGTTAACAAGATAAAGTCTGAACGTTTTAAAGGGCTCATAGCGACATGTGCGTTCACCACTCGGTACTTCGATAGAAAAATGATATAGGTGAAAGACGAGTTTTGCGTCAACATATGTAAGGATAGTACAATAATCTCTGCTTGTAACAGTCTGTAAACAGAATGAATTTAATTATCAACCGAAACACCATTTTAGTTAATTCCAAGTAATGACTCAGACGGTCAAGGACTTGTTTTTAACATTGTTTAGCCATAGGCCCCTTTCGTTTAAAATTAACTAATGTATTTTCCTGTTTTCTATGCTAATTTCACTCGCAGCCATACACGGCCATTCAGAAATTGTAAGGTTCATCGTGTCGGCCTGTCGACTGAACGGCCAACTAGTGAACGCACAGGATTCATGTGGAAGTACACCTCTTATGGATGCAGCTCGTTTCAACTCGGTCGAGTGCTGTGACATTCTTATCGGGCATGGTGCAGCCATTGATAAACGAGACGGAGTCGGACGAAATGCATTCCATATCGCTGCTCAGGCAGGATCTACTGAAGTCATCCGATATTTCCTCGGCGTAATGGGTGCTTCAGTTAAGAAGACAAATTCGATAGAATCAAGGCTAGACAACTACAAAGCCTCGACTAAAAATACACGCAATGGAAATGATGTCCATGTAAATACCGTACATTGGAGAACAGATAACGGACAAACAGTACTACACCTTGCAGCACGGGTTCGTATCTACAAGTTTTCTGAAAAAATTTAATCTCATTTAAAGAGTTTAATTTGGCTGCTGCGTTGATAGAAACTAGCCACAAGATTGCGACAACATCGTCATAGCAATATGTATATATGTATAATAAAGGTTTTAGAACATGACATCGAGCTGATTTTGCTAATCGGCAGGAGGGCCACGTTGACACTGTAAAATATTTGCTGTCCATTGGAGCGAATATCGAAGTAAAAGATTGCGAGAATTATACAGGTATGTTTGTTTTATTCAAGGTCCATGGTTATTTTTTTGTATATAACACATCTTTAGCGCTGTTTGTATCTATTTTACTTACTCATTTGATCCATAAATTTTCTTTTAGATTTCTTGTTGTGAAAAGCACCTTTGCCTAGAATACTGGGATAGATGTGCTGAACTCAATTTAAATTACGGATATTTGGACTTTAGTTAATGAATGTAAGCAAATTGCTATGAAAAATATCTGTCTCATTAGGATGAGACATCTCTGTATTTACACATACCTATGCCTATAGCTTAGCAGTTATTTTAAGAACGCTTCTTGAAGATATAGGTCTTTAACTAGTGGCATTTGAGCCAGCAATCATTACTTCAACCTTATGTCTACGCAATCATTTCTGTATGTCATAGTTATTTTAAGTACATTAGCAAGATGAAATGGATAACATCTGAGACAGTAAATTTCCGTTTCATTTTCAGCCATGGATATCGCTAGAAGATACAAAAATGATCAAATTCTCGAAACCTTAAATGAGCACCGTGATAAAACCCTTAAATAAAAATTGGATACTTGTTAGCCCTTTACTAAAATTACTTGTGTTTGCTTATGTATATATATATATATATATATATATATATATATGGATTACATGATCGACTATGTGTCATATATAGGAATTTAAGTCGGAAATTAAGCTAAGATATTTAGGAGGGTAATGTGATTATGTGATGCATGAGATATGTATTATGAAGCAAAAAATATTCTACTACGTCAGCTATCTTTGTAAATCAAATTTTCTTTGTAGTGATGTTTGCGACTGTTCGCATATAATTTGAGAGTTTCTTGATAGTAGATCCCAACTGGCATTTCAGTGCAAGCGGTAAAAATCAAAAAAAGGCATACATGAAAAAACCTTTGGGGGTGGATACAATTTCTATACGTTTTTTTTTTGTTTTTTGTTTGAACTCGTAACTTTTACGTGTTCGTTGTACTAGTTGAGTGCCAAATGAATTGTCTGAAATAAATAACGATCAATTCCCAACTTGTGATCATCAAGCCGAACGATGGATAACCGGCCATCGCTCACTGTCGTTTATCAGTTCAGAATGAGTAATGTATACCTGTGAATACGTCGATATGTATACATTTAATACTTTCGTAAGTAAAACATTTTCGAGCGATCGCACGTAATAACGCCTTTTTTTCTTTCTTATTTACATTATCGAATGTTAAAGTTTAGATATTTTCTATCATTTCGTATACTAAATTCCGCTCTGCGCAGATTCAGTTTATATTTATCTGTTGTTTTGCACGCAATCGTCTCCTGTTGTCGCATTTGTTGTAAGGGCCCTACTACGTTAGAAAGTTTGCGCTTATACGTGTATAAAGGTTTTGTTTTAATATTATTCTCGCTTGCATACGGCTACAGTATTAACAATACAACAGTTGATCAGAGATCAGCTGAGTTTTCTAACTAACAAACTGTGTAAATATGCTCAGAAGCAAAATATCACTAGATTCGCTTATCAGATATATAATATCAACTCACGAATTTACATAGCAGATTTTGTCTACAACTTCGTTGCTTTTTAGCAGCGGAGCGATTGGGAAAATGCTTAACGGAAGCTGAAAGTGCAGCAGATCAATAGGTAGTAGCATACCGACTATTTCGTTAATTCGTACCACTGCAATAGTTCAAACGCTGCTGATGAGAGAGAGTAAATTCGTTGGCTTCTTTTTGCCCACGCAGGTCATTCGCGACGAAGGGCAAATGGCAAAATACTTCAAGCGAGAAGAACGTGACCTATTGGCCCACACCTATGCACGCTGTGAACTCGCATAGAGTTCTGTTTATTACGATGAGAGGCATATTTCGATTGTTTCATTTGCTGAGCTACTATATTTAGAATTATTTTCTAATGTGAGGCGATCTATTTTTCATGTTGCACAAAATAAAACTACTTTCCATCTAGTTAGTTGTACGCTATGAAGGAGCGTATTTACTATAAGCCACAGTGAGAGCGTAAACGAAGTCACGGCTTTTAAGAGTTCAAACAGCCATAGGAATGATCTAAAGGGAAGGAGCTAGACAGGTACGTCACACTACCAAAATAGCATCATTAAAAGGACCTAGATCTGACTAATATTTGAAGCTTTTTGAGATGCTAACTGCCACAACACCTCAAGCAAGCCCCTGCTTCAGATGCGCATCGAATTTGTTTCCATTGTGCTATGGTAAATAGGTCTTTAGCGTTCGATTGTGTCTCAGAACCTCTCAACATTAGCCTTAATAGTGCAAAATGATGCAAAAGCGAGAACTAAAATCTGTGCGACCTTTCTAAGGTCCAACCTTCTTTTAAGAAAAAAGAATTCACATGTTATTGCATTTTATTACACCTTTATTTTCCCGTTTGTAGTATTTAACAATATGCTTCCAGGGAATTCCATTTTTTTCTTCTCGTTTTGTCCTGTGTTAATGAATTTATGAACAACTGTATCCTTGTGAGGTTCTTGGTGATTTGTTTTTCGTTATTTTGTTGTTGCTTAGTTATATGTTATTGAGTTTCTTGAGCCATTCTATATAATTCGCAATCTCTAATGATGGCAAAAGCTTTCCTGTCAACATCTTACGCGAATAGTTCATATCGAGCTATATATATGTTTCTTGATTATTTCCGACAACACGATTCGCGCGAGCGCCAGCTTTATATCGACACCTCCAACACCAGTTGCCGTGTCACTCTTTATGTCTTAAAAGCCCTTCATGTAAACGTTTGTAATACTTCACTGCCTCACTTTGACAATTCGCATTACCGTGCTTCCAATATAATATGAACTTTTTTCTAATACATTTCACTCTGTCTTTTGTAATATTGTAACGTGTTGTGTGCTTAATATCCAATGTTTGTTTAATCATGGTCAACTAGCAAAGATGCGTTCGCTTAAATATCGCGTGTATTTGACGCAAATCAATTATCATTCTGATAGAAACTTTTCCACGCTCTGTATATACTGTGACAAATAGGATTTTCCTACCGTGACTTAATGCTTACTCAGTACAGGTATTCAATTTCTCTCGTGCACAATGACTTTTACCTTACGCCCACTAGACCGCAATGATTTCAATACGGCAATACAACAACGTAACCTAAACAGCGCTGGCTTTCTTGCCATTGGGAAGCTCGTTGAGGCCGACGATCGTATTCGATGACCACGGGAAACATGCAAGACATTAGTCGTATCTGCTTTGGGGGCCGGTCACGTCGGCAACCTGCATCGAAGGGTTGAAAGATGCTATGGACGCAAACAAGCTCATTCTGTTTGTTTATGTATGTGCTATATTAATGTGTTATATAGGAAACCGAAACAGGCGCGGGTGCGTGCGTATTTCCTAGCACTGCCGCCTCTGACGCGCCGCTTGCCTTAGACATTCGATTCGTGCGCCACATTTACAACCATGTAAACATGTGGACCAGTTAATAAAGTGTTTGCGCTTATGTAGTCGGTGCTAGAGTCGAGGAAAACCCATCGAGAGATATGGGGGAGACTGTCTCTATACTATTCCACTGCTTCCTCGGATCTAGTGTCAATCCAGTGCAGACCTGTTGCCAACGCGTCTGTGTGACGCACCACAACTCGCAGTGATAATTGTTATGCGATTGGTAAGCTGCCGCGTAGCGAGATCCGAATCAGATTTTTGTAAACCCGGAATAAATATACCATACTATAATATATTGATTTATTATTTGTCACCTTTGCTTATTTACCATTTAGATATTGGCTGCTTCAGCTCGACTCACAGATGTAAAAGGCTGAGTCATGTTTATTTTCACGTATATCTAAAAAAACTGTCGACTTCTATGGTATATTTGAAATGCTAGCATGAACCAATGAATTTTACATCGGAAAACTGTAAAGATCCGTACCCAGTAATATTCGTCGTTTAAAACTTCATTTTAGTGCAGTCATATGCTACACTCCTGTTCATTCGAACGACTGCAAGGAAAAATGTTTCTTATTTAGATATCAATATTATAGAGACAGTTACCCATATATTTCGGTCGTCTAAAACTGTTCAAGGATACACTTCCTTTCCATTAACAAAGTTATGTGAGAACCGGTGTTAGATTTATAGTATAAGGTCTAACTAAAATTTAAAATTCAGTATTAGCGATAATTCATAGGGCATATGAAGCACTTTTTAGGTTCATGACTAAAACTCTTGCTTTAGGGTCACCAGTCTTAAAGGACCTCAACTTTCGGGTTTAGTCGAAATTCGGAAAAAATCAGATTTAATGCATATATGCTGCATGGTTATGCTGTAAGGCTAACGTAAATCGTGATCTCGAGATTCACCGAACCATATGCATCACCGAGTAACGCGGGTAGGCTCGATATGTCTGCATCAAGCAAAGGATTGGATGAAACATAAAGATAAAGAAAAGAGTCGTTCACCAGGTTGGGGAGTGCTATTGTTTGTTTATGGCGAGCTATGGGTAAACACGTCTTTGAGGCACGATGATCTCAGGTGGAAAGATTGTGAAGATTTGGACACCATGTAAAATATAGAGATGCGTTACCATAATTCTGAAGCGTATCAGATTTTTTTTTTATTTTCCGCAAGCTAAGTACTTTTTTTTTGTCTTCGTTCAAGAAATAACATGTGAGGACTTGTGGAGATGAGCGCCTAGCGTGAATGCGTATATTTCGCTATTAGAATATATATGTTCATGAGAAAATCGGTAAATTGATATTCCATAATGATGCAGTGAACACGCAGCATTGCATCTCAAAGTACTTGACACTGAATTGGTATCAACATCCGCTTACCGCCATTAATAAAAGGGTCCCAAAATAGTGCACTAAAGCAGAAGACTAAGTGTAATTATTTTGAAAATGTTTTCTAGCAAACTTTGAAAACATTAAGAAATACACCGACTGTCGCATGGCTACCAAGCATAAATGTTCTTAAGCCAAAGTTACACGCTTATTTATGTTAAGTAAGCGGAACGAAAGCCTAATCGGTGAGAAAGGTGAGGAAGTAAGTGGCTAAAGGAAATGCTAGTTATAAAGAAACGTACCTTTTAGAAGATTCGCAAAAAAAGGTTATTGCAATCGGACGTAAATAATCAGGGTTACTAGATAAAACCTACGGCAAGGCCTGAACTAAGAATCGCAGTGCAAGGGAAATCGTTACGTAAAATATAAATTCAATCGGCAGACAGTTAAATCGCGAATGCTACGTTTAATTGCTTTAAGGTCTTTTAATTTAAACCTTCTCATAAGCAACTGCCACTTAAGTTAGCAAACCTGTGCGTTAGCATTTACCTTAAAAGTTACCTCATTTTTATTAATGTAATATTTTATATATATTTTTTTCGTCTACTGCTTGATTATACTCCGGATATCGTTCTCGGCGAAGAGAAATCGTAAGTTTTGTGACTGCTGTGCACGTGTTTTTGATGAGGAATCTCGTCTGTCAACGACACTGCCCATAGCTTCATTCGGTAATGTGCTTTTCTTAAGGGAAGCACATCGTACGTAGATGAAGAATTATATTCTACTTGTTAGTAATAAGGTAATTCGAAATCATCATCTCAGTGAAAAAAATGCTGCCACCTTTGCACAAATCCTTTTTTTCTGCTGCCACTTTTACCTGAATTTGCACCTCGAGATGCCTCCGGGGTGGATGTTGGGTTACGTGTAACTTGGTTTTTGTTTCTTGATTTTTTTTTCAGACCTTCTTTTATCTGCTCATGCAAGCGGCTTTTCTACACGTTATAGTATATAGGTACGTGTGTGTATTGCTTCTGTCACTCCAGGGACTCTCAGGATCGGCTCTTCGCAGAGTGCGCAGGTTTGAAGCCCGGGTACTTGAACCGTCGTGCGGCCTCCACCCGATACCGTTTACGCTCAACTATGGTTAACATATATAGGTTGTACTTAATACAAATTTCTCTTTTTGAATCAATGCGATGGCCATCATCTCCATGCATTGTTTTTCTACAACGACGTCATGGAGGTTATGTAATGACCGTGTAGATGTTGACCACGAGGCTGATGATGACGCGATGCTTGATCGTGTTGAAGATAGGTCGAGGCCCCGGGTAACGAAAAGCAGAATCTACTGGACTCGCGGTTTGGCCGGCACGTCGTTGCCCCTGATGTTCCTAACCTGTGCGAGACAATGCAACGGTTGAAAAATTCATCAGTGCGGAAAAGTAGGTATAAAAATTACTGGTAATCTGATGGGCGAGCGTAGACGCTCATGAAGGGATGACATCACCGACCTTGAATAGGCTAATGCTAACTAGAATAGAGTCATCGTGTTGCTTTCATGTCGTTGGAATATACGTGTTCATGTGGGTAACATGTTTCTGTTAAACAATCCTCGTTACGGCAATGGCAGCGTTAATCTTAACCCGATTGATATACCGAGGACTATAATACAAGACTGCGTCGATTCCTGATGCCAATCTTCCTTTAATCGGTACGTAAATCATAATGTTCTTTTCATCTAGCTTAGCGTTGTACTAGCAACTCTAGCAATGCAATAATCTATTAGGTCTTCGCCGTCACTTTTGACAATTCTCTGTAATTTCGAGCCACCAACTAATTTAGTTATCCTTTCTCGCTACAAATTTTCTGGTGAGCTGTTAAAAAGTTGACCCAGTTCCCATTTTTGAGACTTTGTTTTTCTGGCAAATGGACTGCTGGAAATTTTGTTTGCCGGTGATTATTGAACGTAGCAATCCATCAGCTTAAGGTCTAGCAAATATGGCGGATGCCAAGTAAGCTTTTACTGACGCACCTGCAGGGCGGCCTGTTTGCTGCAATGTTTGCCATAAAAACGTATGATGTTGCCTTATCTATCAGGTTATTTCAGCCGCATAGCCTGACTCATCTGATGTAACTGGGCCGCACACAGATCCTTGTTAGTCGTTTCGTTTTCCTCAATCATTTTCCATTCTACAAGACTTTTTGAGTCCCATTGAACACAAGTCGTAGTTTTTTGAGGATGAACATCTCGTTTAATTCTAGGACTAGGCCTACTTTCCTGAGTTCTTAGTACTTTCTGCATCTCGCATCGATGTACGTATACTATTTCCTGTGCCCCGTAGCAATTCAATGTAGAAACCTGTTGAATTTCAATATGGAAACATTGTTACTGTGTGTTTGTTATTCGATTGGAGCCGAGATGTTAGAAGACAATGCGAGGTCGTGTTTCCTTGAGCCCTTCACCTAGTTTAAGTGGTATCCAGCCTCCTAATATTTTAATGAATCTCGTATGTTTTATTTATTTAGTCATTTTATTTTAATTTTAGTCACGTTATTATTAGTCACTTTATCTCCTCGACCAACTCAAAAACGACTAGCCGGCCGTTCATCCCGGAAGTGCGATTCGGCAATCTTCAGTGATCTCGTATGAATGGCGGCGGTGGTGGGCATGATTCGAGACGCCATCTTTGAGCAGTTCTCTCTGGCAAAGAGCTCACACCGTACCCTGCACAGATATCCCGGGCTGTTTCGGCATCATTTTGGGTCCGGAAAAGACTCGGCGTCAAAAACGAAGTCGAGCTTAATCCTCGTTTACTGCTAAATGAAGTAACAATTAGTTTATAAAGAAAATAGGAGATCTTTAAACATGCATAAAGGAGTACATACCTTGTGGGGAGCAATTAAAAGAAACGACCATTATTGATGCGCTAAATTAAGATTATTATCTCTTTGGATTCGACTCTCAAGCTCAAATCTGTACGCGAAAGAAAACCTAGCTATAGTCAAGCGCGTTCCTGAATGAGAATTTTAAAAAGAAAAAAAATATTAGGTTGGACATGTCTAATCTGACTAAGGATTCTGAAAAAATATGATTTAGTAGTCGTCTTCATATATGCCTATTTATATAAAGACGATTAACTAACAATACTGCGTAGAATGCTTGAGAAAAAATGAGCTATGTTACGAACAAAACATCGAGGCATGTAAAACGCATACGGCTTTTATTAAATAATCCGATGTCGTCTTTGCAGAATCTACTAATATCGATAGATTCGATTAACAATTATTTTTGATACGTTCATATAGTTAAACACGATCACATTGCCATAGAGCTTACATTATCGAAGATCTATATTTAACTATAAAAATTTTTTTAGGATGTGTCGTTTCGACTTCCAGTACAACCTCAGACTGTTCGTAACGATGTAGATGTAGCGTTCTCTGTTGCGTTAGTCTGGCCCGAGTGAAAAGTTTCTTTGTTCGCTCCATTGTTGTTATTATCTGATGCTGAGAACACTGACATAACTTGCACACCCGATCGAATATTCGATAAAATTCTAGTTTATTGAAGATACAGTGTGAGCCTTACACCAGAGAATAGGTCTTCCCTATCTAGCTATATCACGTATGGACATTCATCGCGGCGCTTTTCACAACAGACAGATGCCACATGGAACCGAATGATGTTGCGTTTCTTCAGAAACGTTAGCGAGGTGGGTAGCATATTAAACTTTGGCTTTAACATAGAGCTTTGGCGTTAACAGCCAGCTGAGACGCGGTGCTTCATTGAATTCCTTGGGCTGTAAAAGTTATCGCAGGCCAGGTTATGACTACTAAGTGCAAATCTTGTGTAATTTTCCATCCTTAACACATGCAAAACAAACCTCACCTTGCCACGGACAACATCATCTAATTAAGTTAGTAACGTTGGGAGGTTTTAACCCTGTGCAAAAAATTACATATAGATTTATGTGTATAAATTGGCAGAACGAAGGTTTTTAGTTCTACTCATGGAATAAATTTATCTCGATATTAAATTTATTTCGTACCTGCGAAAGGACCATAGTCTCCATCTCCGCCATGCGCTGGTCGCTGAATCCGCTGCGTTTTTGCACGTCTACAACTTTCACTGTTCCTCTGTGTTTATTACAGCTGCCTTTATCGGCGATATTATACCTGGTGTTGTTCTCCGCTTGAAGGATTTCAAGAACCGCGTTGATATCTCCGATTGTCCGGAAAGTGGAAATCCCTCTGAGTGGGCGACCAGGTGCCCCTGTGTCCTCCCTTTTACGTGCCGATCCAACACCGCGTTGGCCGATAATCAGCGAAGCAGCACTGGGGTATACAATGAGCTCTAAAATATGGCGCGGGTTGGTCTCCAAATTGAGCGCTATGGCCCATTTTAGTTCCGTCTCCGGCGGTTGAGTGGGCCCATTGACGTCCAGATTTCCGTTGATAACGTGAAGACTGTTACCGTGCGCGGCTGAAGGATCAGCACTATATAGAATGGTATAGTGTTAATTAAAAGCAGTTAAGAGCTGCTCCTGGATCGAGCGCAGCAACTAATGCATTCTGATATCGAGCGTATCAATATAGAAATGCATTATAGCACAAATAAATGGCGGTGTTACGCTGCGACCCATCCAAACTGAGCCACGTCTCAATTAGGCCTATGTCGTATTTTTGCTAGTATGTTTTAGCATTCCAAACACATATTTTTCATTCGATTGATTGAGACTATATGGAGGCGTACACACAGGGTAAATCCAGGCCAAATCATCGCACAAAAAGTTTATTCATAATATTTTCTCGTTTTGTAGAAATTTATTTTTTGCTGGCTCATGGCAACCCGTTAGAGCAGTGGACACTCGCATAAGCAGCGACTTCGGCTCTTATTAATGAGTCTTATTTTTAAATTCTAAAGGGACTAGCAAAGGTTTTTAGTATATTCATAGGAGTGTAGCTGAGTTGCCGCGTTATAACTTCAAGAGCGGCGATCATAATTTCATTTAGATAGTTCCTTCTTTAGTCGCAAATAGGCAAATTAGATTTTCATACATATTCAGGTAGACCCACACTAGGCTATCAAATGAGTGGGGACGCGTTATGGCATAATTTCGAATCCGGGCACAGACAGAGCTTGTTTCATACTGGAAGGCAGCCATCTGGTCGAATGCATAACGACGAAATAGAAAGGCTATCAGTTTCTAGGAAACAGTAGGGCGGATTAGAGTCGAATCTAACTAATAAACTGCATACTTCTGTATTAATCTATTTAAAGGCGAGAACGATCATTGGCAATGATTAAGTAGACGATGGCGCAGAAAGAAAGATAGAGACAAGGTTTGGCGGACAAAGTATGTTGAGATAAAGCTTGCAGAAAGTCGGTCATGAGCATTGCGCTTGACAGAAAAGTGGACATTTCATTGAGAAGGATATATATATATATATATATATATAGAGAGAGAGAGAGAGAGAAAGAGAGGGAGAGAGATTACAATATATATAGGAGAATACGATACAGGTTGTTCCTAAGAATGCAGCAAAGTAAGGGAAATTGTGTTAATATATATATATATATATATATATATATATATATATATATATATACCATATATATGAAATCCACTGTAATGAAGTTTCAACATGATAATCTCGTCTAGCAATGGGTGGGGTCTCGTTGCACCTGTGTATGGTTACGGTGTCCATAGCGAAAATTGAGTAGTGTATAAGATTTACTAAATGGCCAATTGATGAACCTTTGTAAGAAACGTGCCAATTTTTCGATGCTCTCAAAAAGCTTACGCAAAAAGCAGAATGGGTAACAAATACTTTATTATTAATTTTCTAATACGAAGGAGCTGAAACTGATTTTTAGAGTATAATCACTTTATACCTTAAACGAATGCGGAAAGGTAGTACATCTTACGCTTGTATATTTCGCCCTTTCTCAGTATCGCACGCAAGGTTCAACTAAAGCTTAAAAGTAGGAAATCTAGGTTTTTGGTTACAAATAAAAACAGGTGTTGCAGTGTAGAAAAGGGCTTTCAGTGCTGCCTTGGGTCAGAGAAGATAAGAAGCGATTAGGTCCTTTAGCAGAATTATCTAATTAATTCGTTCGACGAGGATTTATTAAACTTGATGGTTTAAGTTTTCGTACTCTGTGAGGATGACATTGTGTATAAGCGTCTTCCTAGTAGCGAAAGTAATGGTAAGACTGCAATGTTGAAAACACTTCATTGGATAAGAAAAGTTCAGAGCATCGGAATTATGGAGCAATTAAACCTGCATAACTCTAAAAAGTGCATCTCGCTTAAAAACATTTATATGGCCTTGTAAATGCATTCGGTACGTAGGTATGAGAAAACGGTGACCAAGATTTGAATGGATGTGATTCATTGGAAATTCATGAAAATTACATGGTGCAATGGCATGATCTAGTTAACTACAGGTGCGCTCCTTTAAGCCAGTTGCCTAACTTCATCATTCAAAAAAAGAATATGTTCGTTTCACTTACCTGTGACAGGAGAGAATAACTTATAAAGAAGAAATTGGTATGGGTAGCTGGTCGAAGATAGTTGTCAGCGTTTCTTCAGCACATAGGATTTTAGGCACTAGTAGTCGCTGGCTTGGATAGATATAGCTTCGTTGCTTAGTGACAGACATGTGTGATTGGTACGAACACCAGGAAAATATACATGTGACCACATGTGTGCAAATGGCTAAAAAGTATTTTTACATAGGACATCAGTGGAAGCAGAAGCTGTGCGTGATATAGGAAGTGCTAGGGTAAGAAGAAACCTCGGCTGCATGCAAAAGCTGTGTCACGATAAATCTCGAATTTTTTTTTTATAACAGAAGTCTACAGCTAATTACAATGGACGAATCGGCTTCTCACGCAATGACTGTGGCTAGCGAGACGAGAAAGTTCTTAGAAGAATTATTACACGACAAAGAAGGATAAAGGGTAAATAAAAACGAGAAGAAGAAGACCAGTCACTTCCCATGCACGTGGGCTCGTACAATTGCAGTCTTTTATATTTATTATTATTATCATTATCGTTATTATTATTATTATTATTATTAGCATCATATTGTGTTCATTTTAGTGGATGATTTCCAATATATCATTGTTTGCAATGTGTAATATCAAAGCTTTTGTTTTCCCTGTGTTGGGTTACTTCGAATCATATACTCGGGCTTCATCAAGTTTGTGTTTCGTACATAACATTGGGCGCCAGGAAGCGTTCGTGGACGCTTTTCGCATCAAAGCAAGCGAATAGTGTTTTTTTTACCAAAGCCTGATCAACAGGACTGCCGTTATGAGTCGTATTAATATAGGCATCACTAGATCGCTAGAGTTCGCATTTGCATTCCCAATAGCTTAATCCTTCCATTTCTACTGAAGAATATTGAAGCTCTGCGACACAAATTAGTAAAGACTATTTGATTACATCGAAAAGAAACACATGTGTGGGTGTGTGTGTGTGTGCGTGTGTTTGTTTGTTTCAAGGTTACAATTTATATTTCCGCTTAGATCTACCCCCAGGCAAGGTCATTACGCCGAGTGTGAATACTCTATAGCAATACGGCACGTATTATTTATTATCAATAACCGGCGAAACGGATATTAATCGGATTGAAGGTTATAGGTGGAAACGACGATGTCTCGTCTAGTTAGTTCATTCTATTTCAGGGCAGTGGTGATGAGCAATTAAAATGTTTGGAAACGTGGACTATTTAATAGTCAGTTGCCCATAAATATTACAGCCGTTGAACAAAAACCGATTTGACCGTTGAGATCGATGATCTTAATCATAAAAACAATACACAGACATCTTAAATACTGATCCGGTGATCACACTGAAGACAACTGCTACAGGGATAGAAGAACAAGGTGCCTCATAAACAGTAACTGTCAAAGTTAGCGAAGAGGGAAAAGAGGCACGAATGACGTTGAGACAACAGGCGTTAATCTTAGCCTCTGGCCATTGTTATTGCCATCACAACGACCGCTATTAATATCAACTATTATATACCTTTTTCATTGCAAGCATTCGGTTTCCTTCTAAAGCGATCCATCTAGAGCGTTATCGTTACCTTTGGTACAGTCATAGCGATGGTCCAGAATTTATGTGTTCTATATTGACATGCGAGAGACGAGACCTGCCAAGATTGCGTGTCATGATTTAAATTACAAACGAACTTCATCGTTCATAAATATTGATCTCTCCTTTGTTGAATAAAAAAAACAAGAAGAATAAAGCACATAATATAATGGTTACTGAGATGCATTGTCTGTAGTAGATCGTGAAACATTTGGACATTGGGAAATGACAACGGGATATATGTTTATTGTGTTTGATTTGATCATTGATTAGGGGCAATAAAGGTCCGCAAATTGTTTCATTTGTGTAAAGGTAAAAGTTGTAAAGGCCGGTACAGATCGTTCAGGTTTCGGCCCGTAAACGTAATGGCGTGATGCGATGTCGCCATGTATTGCTGACCACCAGTCTCCAACTATTTCAATAACATATAAAGCATGTTTTGGTCTTTCACTTATCATTATGATAAGTCGCGAGGGTTTTTCAGTAAAGGTTTCCGTGGTCATAAGTTGTTCCCGTAAAGCTGGAACATTAGAGTGAAATCGGCGTATCTGTTTACGAAACGAAGATGGCCGATTGCTTTACGTGAGTGCGATGAGCACCAAATCTATTCGTATAGAGACGATGTTGTAACGGGCTATGTCAACTAAAAGGTTCCCATTTTTCTTTAGATGTGTTTGAACGCTGTTATCGTTATTATACCAACTCATAACGGTTATAATTCCTTTTATTTCCTTTGTTTTTGCTACATAACTGAGTTGACTTCGATTAGCCCACAGGGTCATTGTCAATGGAGTGGCCAAACCTCGTAGTTCAATGCGAGAAAAGGTTTGCCAACGGATCGCTGATTAAGACGGGACGAGTTGGTGCCGCGTGTGTTTTTGTTTATTTATTTATTTGATTGCCTATCTGTCTGTTTACCTCGACTGTTCGCTGGCGGTAAAAGCTCGCTGCGCTGGTCTTTTCATAGAGTTCATTAACATGGCTTCCATCTCTGCAATCCGCTGATCCGAGAATCCACTGCGTCGCATTCTGCGTATATGGAGGCGGACAAAAAACACGACAAAAACCGTGACAACACTCATACGAGTTTCGGATAAATACATTGTCTGTACACCTAATCATGTTACCACACAAAAGAAATTTACACAGACTGACACGGAATAGTAATAACGCACTGAGCTGCATTACAGATTAACTTTAGCTCTCGATAAACGGCTGGCTGATAAACATCTAAAAAGCACTAAACAACTGTACGAAATCCCTAAACACTCACATACGCGATATCGGAATCGATAAGAGCGAATCGAACCGATGCCAGTTCTGGGTCTAGAACCAAGAACCCACAGAATACAAAACAACCCATTTGAGTCTCGATAAAATCTAGCTGTGTTATGTACTTTTCGTGTTTTACGTCCCCGGTACTTAATCCTTTTTGTTGTAGAGCCTATAAAGTTACGATGAGAGAAGGTGACTCACATATAGGCAAGCACCGCAAGCCTTCGCTTTTTTCTTACCGAAAAAGTTTTTTCAAGTTAAGATCGCCTTAATTTGGATACCTGTCAAAGCAAATAAGTAACTTTTTCACGCAGCAAAATATATTATACTCACTTATTTTGGCTATTAAATGGAATAGAAATTACTTCTTTCCCCGACTCTCTATGCAATGGGAATTCCGCCATCTTGTTCACTCTAAATACCCTTCATGATGACGTTCAGTGCTACCCTGTCTGCAGGTTAGCGTCAAGCCTGCTGTATGGACATCGATTGATGAATGAAATGTCGAAACAATGGTACTGAGTTACTGCCTCGTTCCAGAAAGATTACTAATTTTCTTGGTCACAATTTAATACGGCGTTATCTGAGGAGTTATGAAACTTCATACGTGGAAAGCTTAGGTTGGCAGTATTATAGGAAAAAGGGCGATATATTTGTGCTAACGCGGTTACTGTTCATAAACCTCTTTTGTAAGCTAAATTTCATATGTAGATTCTCTATCGCTAACACAGAAGCAATACCCGTAATTAGTTGTTTTTTTGAAAAGATTTTTTTCAGTTCAGTCTCAGAAATGTGGGATGGAAAGTTTGTTGATCTATTGGCTTAATGTTGACCGGGCGTACTTGCGTAATGCTGATTTGTTATATGAAATTCAGCTGGATCAACAGTGATTTTGATCCAGTTGAATTTCGGGGGGTGAATTTGAGGGGTGCGTGTTGAAAATAATTACTGTCAATTCTAGTGGGACGAAGGCTAAGGTTCGCAAAGAATATGCTCAGGTTTAAAATATAGGGGCTTCAAATACTCTCTGTTATCAGACGGTTCTGGTTTCACACTATTAATCCGCTGTAAAAGCACTCGTCAGCCATCTTGAAGTTGCGAGGTGTCAAGACGCTTTTCAACTGTGATCGTCATTTTTAAGCTGGAAATAGAAAAGCAGCAATATGAACGTACAGAGCAAACCAACTTAGACGAAAGCATATCTTCAGTGCCGAGCGTCCAAATAACATATCATCACAAAATCGAATAGTATGGATGACGCAAATAACACTTCATGTCCTGTCTCTTCATGAGTTGCTGCTGCCGTAAAACGCTAGTTCAGTATTGCGTTAGTCGCATAAATAAAGTTCATAAGTACATACCTTAATTAAGTTTGTACTAACAACTCGAAATTATCCCAGTGAACCTTTTGTGGATATGGTAACCCCCTGATCAACTGAGCGAACCCCTTAAAACTAACAATACTGAAATATGTATATACTGAAACAATACTGAGGTGGCTCTACATACTCTAGAAGACTAAGTGAATTCCAGCTGAAATGGATTATCGCGCCTTTTACGTAAAATGGGTCGACGTTCTAGCTTTTCTCCCTAATTTAGCGTCAAGGACACGTACCAGTTTCATTAATAATTTCGAAACAAAATGGGGCCGGTTGAAGTATCTATATTTAGCATGGTCGTTTCATTTAACATGGCTGCTTAGAAAGGCGTTTGCCCTAACAAATACTAGGAGTTACTTATTTAGAAACAACATTTCACTTGCTCTACAAACCAAATGTTCAGTGGCTTTACGAGTCCGCGACGTTGAAACGGTCAGCCCTCGGATGATGCGTTCGGTTGAAGTCGCCAAATACTCACTCGTAACCGAACGCGAGTATTCGGGATGAATTTGAAACACTATGACTAGTAAGAGGTGATTTTACCGAAAACGAATTCATCCAGGCCCTTTGTCTTAGCGGACATGTTACGATTTCTCGAAACTAAACAACGGGCTCATAAGAGATAGGAATTTCCACGACAGCTCGAAATCGATGGCCTACATTATTCTGAATCTCTAAACCGCTTCTGAACAATCAGAGGCAAATGTACACAACGCAATGCAACGATAGAGATTTGCTTGAGGGAGTCTGTAAATTTACCAAAATGGCGCAAAAAGCTATTTTTTTTTTCTGTGTTTCGCATAGATGAGCGAAACGGCAACGAGTGCACGCACTGAATGTTTCGCTTTACGCTTGCTTTCCGTAGAAAAGTTATTTACGAATTTTGAGAAGAAGTTTTTCAAAATGATTTGTACTCGCAGCCGATGAATGTTGTATTATCAGTAAGAAGAACCGCACACGGAAAAAATCTTTCAAATATATATATTCTCGTAAATATGTGAATCATGAGCAAAGACGTCTGTTTTATCCCGATACCGGGCACTTTACATACACATGTCTTTCATACCTATGTCTACCATTGAGTAAAAAGCTATTGATGCTAAATGCGGAGCTTCCCTATGCACAGTTACATATACATGTGTCTACATGTACATAGATATTGCCACTAGAATCATATACAGTTAGTCACGAAAGGATTACATCTGAGCCCAGTGAATTAAAACTATGTCACTGGATGTGTTTATGAATATTTCGGCTGTAGTGCTTACATAGGCTAGACCAGAAAAAGCCGAAAAATCTATCTGCATTACATAGTCTTAGGAAGGGCTAAATTGTACTCAACTCTCTTCCATTTACCCCAACTGGGTAGATTAGTTAGTTTCGTATTAATTGAATTCACCAGTTATTATCACAAGGACGAGCTGAGTAGGCGAATAGCGTACGAACAGTAGTATAAAAAAAAAAAAAAAATAGTAAGAATAATCACAAAAAAGTAAAAAACCATAGAAAATGTTAAATTAATGAAAAGATGCTAGGAATTAAGTTATACGCACACTCTTGCTTAAGCAGACACCGTCGTAACGATGGCTTTTCTTTCGCCTTTTCGGCTTGAGATAACAGACGAGAGGTCAAGCTACGTTGTAACATTGCATGTATAAATCACTGTTATGCAGATAGAGCGTTCGTTGGGTAAATTCCAATACTACTTTAGAAGTTCACTACTTTTCAGTTCAAAGTAACTCTGTAACCTTTAATTAAGCATATCTATTCGAACAGCTTTTTTATGGCACTTGGCATAGTAGATAGAACGAAGACTAGGACGACTATATTTAGCCCGTAACTTTTCAACGGTACCCCCTTTGGAGGAACCTTGTGACCGCTAACCAGTAGTGAGGTGAATGAGATATATTTGGATCTTTTTTTATATACTTCACAGTAGCTCTTCATAGGTAAACAGCGTTCGACTATGTATGGAGACTTGCCAAATATGTTCCACGATCCTGTGTGTATTTTTAGTTCAAAGGTAAAAATTTCTGGAAGTAGCTACTAGGGATTTCGGCCGTATAAAACGACGCATAATAAGCGAACAAAGAGAAATAGATCATGTCATTGAGTTGAAGGCTTGGCTAAACAGTGTTTCCTATCCTATAGGATTAGACAAGCTTCTGCAGTGCAAAATTGTCTTTGTTTGTTGCCTTATGATAGAAACGCTTCTGCTTCAGCCAGCGGAAACCGGTCACCCTAACGCTGCGCGACTGTTGATCACACAACAAACTATGAGCAAGTGAAATGGAGGAAATTATAGAATGATTCCTCACACATCTACATATGTAAATCACAGAAAACTCTGTTGGGGTCCGTGAATGACAAGCTGGCTAATTTGGCTACTTGTATTGTCTAGTGTTATTATGCTCTTAGTTGACTGCCAACAAATCGAGATTTTTGGCTTTTCAAAGTTGCTATCGTAGTCATTAGTTGCTAGTTACATTTTATAGTGAATATTTCATAGATGATCGATCTCAACCTCTTTGTTTCTGTTCTTTCATCAATCCTAGTTTGTTCGGCTGTCGCAGAGTTCTGCTGATTCGATGCCTGATTTTACTTTTACTGGATGCCCGACAGTTTTTTTTTCGCACTTTTTCGAATTTCTTATACCACTTTGTCATCCGTTCGGCCATATTCATTCTCACGATAGTCTCTACCGGTAATATTCAAAATCTATTTTTAGTAAAAATAAACATTCAGCAACACTACATTAGCACAACACTGCGATTTCAAAGGCTCAAACATGATACCTGCAAATACAAATCGTTCGATTGACAAACGTGAAGATTAATACTGCCCTATATTGAATTACATTGATTCGTCATTAGTTCTTCGTCTAGGATAGCTTTGTAATATATAGTATAGTTTTTAGGAATATCATGTAGCCTGCAAGTCGTCCTACAAGAACTGCGATCTAGACCCCTTGCAGCTGCTATAATTACGAAATGAGAACTGGGTCTCTCAAGATGGTCGAACGAGTGCTTGCCTTGGGTTTGATCAGCAAAAACTCGAGGCAGCCACTCTGACACCCGCAGCTTTCAGTAGCTACTAGTTCAGCTCAGTGCGGCAAATGCTACACTGTGGTTGGTCATAAAAAAAACTTAGGAAATTACCCTGAAGCCACTATTAAACGTACAGAAAGGAAAAGAAACTGGGTAAATTCAGAAGTTCCCTTTTTTCGTCGATCAGACGTGACGGTTTCCACATGTTAGTATAGGTCTAGTAGAGGAGACAATATGGGAGATTCTATAAGTCCCAACGACCCCAACGACGTTTTAATGTACTTTGCTGCATGGCGGTCCAACTCGTTTGAAAAGCTCTATCATAATGTCTAGACACGGACGATTCCGCTCGCTCATTGGCTGGTTGACAGCAGATTAGGTGAGAGAAAACGTGAGTCGTAAGAGGTTAGATGTTTTCATGGACTTAGAAATTGATTGTGTCTACATAAGTTTGATAAAATACACAATCAATGAAACATAAGATGATTTACGCGCAAACATAGTGCCCGTTTAGAAACGCAAATCATCTTTATCCGAATTTATCCTGTTTCATCCTGTGGATGAATAGGTTGCGGGCAGGTGTATTCAGTAATCTAAAATCATGCAACAGGTCCTTAGTGCGTCGCGCAGCGGATTGCATAGCTTACCTACAGGTTAGGTTTAGAAACCAAAGAGTCTTGCTTTTTTTTAACATACTCCATCGAAGATTGCCTTGAGTCACACTCGAAGAAAAATCATTCTAAGATAAATTTGTATTTCTTAGCCAAAGGGTTTTTGCTGCACTAGGAACGAACATGTTGGACAATATCTTACGCTTTTTGATAGTGCAACAAATTTGAAATATTGAAAATGCTGGTTTTTGCCACTCTATATGTTACCTCTGTAGTCCGAAATCAAGACGGGTGTTGAAAACGCTGCTATTTTCAGCCCGACATAGCCAGGCGTAGAGAGAAGTTTAAAAACAATTCCACTTCGAACCTTAGCGCTGAGCTGCTTCGATATATGTCGCATTTCTTTGTAAATAAATATTTAACCTAGAGGGCTTGCAATTGTAATAAATTATTTCTTTAAATTGATCAAAAAATTGAAAGAAAAATATTGACCTTCACGAATTGTTGCTGTATTTATTGGAAGGACTTGCTAGTAATTCAGATAGGCATTTTAGAAATCGTCCTAATAAACTACAATTGTGTTTTATGATAGCTCTAGTTTCCTTCACTTTAACGAGTGATCGTTTTATATAAAATCGTGTTGGATTAAATCGTTCAGGCCTAGACTGGATTCGCCCGGTCGTTTAGTTTAAATATATATAACGTATAGTTTAAAATTTTGTACTGTAGTGAAGGTTAAAGTTGCTTTATGTAAACGAAGGATAAATCGCAAAAATATCCAGACGGTCCGTGGGGCTCCAATTTAAAGCTTTGTGACCTAAAACAATAACGACCCTCACTTAAAGACGTTTCGTAGGGGCTTGGAAAAAATTCTAGAGGGAAACTCTTCACCTTTTCTAAACCTTGTGTACAAAATAATTGTATTCGAATGATCTAACTAACATACCTGAGTTTGGCGTACTCACCGATTGTTCATCAGCATCCCTTCGAGTTCAGCGATTCGTTGATCGGAGAATCCGCTCTTCTTCGATCTAAAAAATCAATACGGCTTTAAGCATTCAGGTCGGCTATGTTTTGACTATGCGCGCGATAAGATCCGCCTAAAAACCAATAGCTTATTTGTGCTCAACTTAAGTAAAAATGAACTTCTCTATGCCCATTTATTCGTTTTTGCCAAGAACCCTAGTGATGCTCGCCCAATCGCATAGTCACTTTCTAGGAAACAGTTCGTAGGAAACGTTGTCCTCACCTTGAGACGTCTGTTTCTGTTGCGAGAATAAGGGCATTTGTTTCGCATTGAGGACAACGAAAGATACGAATTGGTGTTTGCTGAAAAACGATGTCTCGATAGTTTAAGGGAACTCCAACTGAAGACAGCGGTACGGCGACAACCCCGTCTGGGCCTCCGATTGAGGCAAGCGCGGCCATTGCGCACCAGAGTGCGCTCCAGTGGCCAACAGGCCAACCCCAACCGTTACACGGGCGAGACGACCTCATCGCTTCTTGCTATGCTCGAAGTTTTGATCACGTGAAGGAGAAAAGGCATCGTAGATTGCATTGCAGGCTTTTAGTGAATAATATTAGTAACAAAATGATTGATCCTGACTCTTTAGTTAAGTTGTGAAGAGAGACTTCACTGGGGATGTAAAGTTCTCTTCAGTCTACAGATATTTTAAGATAAGTTATCCCTCATCGTTAGAAGTGCGGCCGAAACAGGGCAGAATTCATACGCTGCAGTATTTATTTAACTACAATCGCCTTAAGGAGCTCGAATTTCTCTGTGAGTATCTGGGTAGAATAACAATTATCCATTCATAAATAAATGATAATAGTAACTGTGCATTTAGAATGCGCTAAAAAATGTTATTCATTGAATATTCTCTTACGGTATCTGTAGTTGGCAGATCGGCCCGAAATCAACGTGATTCGTTTTAATGTGTGCACTGAGTTTTTTTTTATCAAGGTTCGACAAAAACAGAAGTTAAACACAATTGGCACTTCTTCCTTTACATTCATGAACAGATAGTAGGGATTTATCTGTTAATCTGCAAGAATCCGTATGAATTAATTATACTTTAAGGAAGTCTGACGTTTGCAAGATGTGCCGGAAACATACAAAGCCCGGGCAGTGTTCATGGGTAAACCAAAAAAATAGTGCTTTTTATCGTCGATATGCATGTACTGGCCCTATAATCTCAAAAACAAAATGATCCACGTAATGTGAAGCATCGAGCATACCACGTATAGTGTACTCGTTAGCATACGAAGCGACCTGAACAAAACTGTCATCCTAAAAGCAAACGATTTGGAACGGCCGTTCGGCTACGGCTTTTCTTGTCTGGTGTACTATATTTAAGATGTATGTCGATTGACACAAGCTTCTATTTAGCGCTATGGTATACTTATAAGGAATTTACAACTCGAAAATAAACCTGACGAGTATTTCGGCCTAGCGAAATGAAACTCTGACCTCAATCGCTGTAGCAGACGACTTTTCTGTAGTAAGGCTCAATGGGGCCGTAGCCATTGGGATGCGCGCTTCCGCCAGTTGGCTGCTTGGGGGAAATACGCATTACTCACTAAATAGATTTAATTATTTTCTACTTTTTGTGGATTCCTTCGTGTTATGGGCGATCTCAAACTGATGCATTTGTTCTCTGAGCAACTTTCGTTTTGATATGCCTTGGAGGATTAAGCTTATCACTAACAGCTGATCTTTCGCTGCAGACAACTGTGCTAACGAGAACAACTAAGTTTGTATCTTTGGGCTGAGGCTACCTAGACAATGACAAGACCATTCAGCATTAAGATCTGCATTCGAATTGTACAAATTGTTCGTGATAAAACAAATATCGTATAGTTTTAAAATCGAACGTGTATACTATACATATTACAAGCAGTAGGTTCAATAAAAGACCAAATAGGTGCAATCGTGTGCGATAACCTTGAAAAATCGTGCATACAATTATACGCGCAAATCTTATTCAATTGTCAGAAAACAATGATCAAAAATAAGTTGACGACCAACGAAGTTACTACTAGTGAAATAAAGTTGCAGTTTCAGCTTTTACCTAAACTAAACCATGATACTGTATGTTTACTAACTTTTCTACATAAGCCATAGCCTTCGCAGGTCCCCAATGTCATTTAATACTGAACGTCATTAGTTCTTGACTAAGTTATACGGCACATCAAAGTAATTTGCTGTTAGGCTAGCTAGACAACGCGTTAAGTGTAGCCACGGTCTTATACATTCTTTTGTATGCGATATTTTAACTTGAATAATATTGTTGAATTATTATCTCAACCGATGGGACGTTTTAAAAGTATTCTTCAATTATAAGTTTCATAAAATCCTTTTGAAACTGCTGTTAGAAAAGGTTTATCTTAGACGTAGTGTCTGAGCTTCTCCTCTGTCCAACAAAAGACAACCAATCGTGCAGTAACATGCCGTAATGGCTTATTACAATTGTTACGCTGAATTTGCCGTGAACGTGCCGTACGTATAGCCGTAACGGACTATCAGCTTAGCAACGTAATTTGCACACGTAACAGTACGCGACAAACAAGCAACTTGTGCTTAATAGCAGTCTTGCACGCACACTTTGTCTTTTAAGTCTTAGTTCAAGTAAGCTTCGTGTTTATCCATATAGTATATTAAAACTTATCTAATATATCATTTGATCATCTAATACATCACCATTAGTTCTGTCGTAAGCAGACGCTAACAAGGTCGCATGCGAGCGACTACCTTCGCTCGTATGAATTATTTATGCTTTCTTTTTTCGCTTGTCTCCCACACGTTCGCAAAACTAAGAGCATTAGGGTAATAGGAGCGATTTAAAAAAGGCAGGAAAATCGATATTTGACCCAACGAGATACGTATTCTTGAAATGGGACCGCCGCGTAAATCTGTATACTTGGTATAACTGGTGCATGATATTCTAAATTGTCTAGAATATATTCAGAAAGGTAGTAAAGAAAATAAAGTATCAGAAAACGTAATTATTTGAGAAGGAAACAGTAATTTCATCTCTAAATACAAAAAGAATCTCTCTGCATATCCTTCGGTTGATCTTCCATAAGCAATTGCTTCCTCATTTGGCTTGGAATCCAAAAGTTTATTGAAAACAGATGCTATTACGTCTTAACAACCGGCGCTTCTACAAGAACATCAGCCCTTCATATTATTACCAGAGTACAAAATTGACATTAGAACTCTTTCGTCACAAACGTACCGCACAGACATATGTCTGCTTCCTCTTGCCGTGTAGTTTACTGCATCGATAGATATTAACTGGAAACTATAAAAACACTTTTCATTTAAACATTTGTAAACTGTCCAAAGGTCCGTTTCTTCCGTCCGTGATTCAGTCCGTACGCACATACAATATGTGTGACATATAACTTAATGTTTGAAGATCTGCTCCGAATAATATGATCTTCGATAAGTCTACAACTTAATAAATTGAAGAGAATCGTGTACAAAATTGACCTATGTTAGTAATAATATAATCTCTTTATGCCGTACCTTTACGGTCGTGTCATCTAAAAATGATAGAATGATGAAGCAGTTATTGCCGTTGCTTTGTTTACTATTTGGACAATGTCATGCTAACCGAACCAAACAATCGTTAAATAGTGTTAAACGATTTTTAATACGTTGATGTATTTGTAAAATAAAAAGATTGGTATAACTATATCTTAACGTAGACGATATGTGTTTGTTCGCACTGGTCATGCAACCAGACCATGGTGGTATATGTACTTCCTGCACGTTGGCAATTTGCGTCACCTCAGTCAGCATAATCGTATTACTTTGGGAACCCTACTGGGATTTAGACGCCCTCATGGAAATTCCTTTTGGTCAGTTCGCATAAACCCTTTTAAATATGGACGAAGCTGCTAGGGAAATCAACAGTTGTATAACGGCTGAAGAGTAACTGGCTAACTAAGCAACTCACAGTTGGATCCACTTAGTCATTACCAGTCTATGCCTGCCCGACGTCGATATCGCGGTGCTCTAAGGCGGAAATGGTGACACCGCCCTTTACACCATGAGAAAATACCTGTATTGCATTGCATCCCCTTCCTGCTTCCGTGCCACACGAGCAGGATAAGTGCTTTAAAGTGATTCTGGAAGACCTTGAACGTAACTTGCAAGGAATTAGAGCGTTAGGGTTAGAGGTGGGGTGGTAAAGGGTAAATCCGTTTTCCAGGCTTGCACTGCTATTATGGAGAGCTTCGTACGTAAACAGACCTGAGGTTGAATAAAAACTGAGATGAAAATGGGGCTCGAGTAATAGCAGATGTTTGCACAACAGCATCTAGATGTTTCAATCAACATGGATAATTACAAAGACGCTTTAAATGTGTTTTTTGTTCGCATCTGTACTCTCTTGACATTGTATTAGAGTGTTGTAGTTTTTACAGTGAGATGAAATTTAAAATATCAGCTATATCAGTGCGGTAGATCACCTGGACAATATAGTTCTTTCTACACAAGCCGTAACACTTGCTGTAAGCGTTTATCGTGCTGGCCTAAATCGGCCAGAAGAGGCAGAGCTTCACTCCGCCTATGTGCGACATTACTTTTTGGCGGCCACGCATTAAAAGATCATGCGCACCAATAGTGGACAGTTTCCTTTATATCATTCCTTGTTTCTTAGAAAGCTCAGTACTCGTTGTCACGTCTTGAAGTGTTATAACCACACCAGTTTTATGCTTTGCGTCTGTATATGTATATATAACCAGCCAGTGGGTTTCGGGTTTTGTCTCGCTTTTTTCGCTTAACTCTTCTGATTGGCAATGCTTGTTTTCATACGCCCTCGTTCTCTCTCTGACTCTGTCCGGCTTCGGGCGAGTGCAGACAGTGAAGCTGTTAGAACTTCTTGATGGTTTGCTAGCATAGGCGTGACCAAAAAGCGCGATTTGCCCACTACGCTCCTGCCGTTCTAGGTCAGGTCGTAACGTCGGAACACACTTCTGAGTTCTGCCCCAATAAATTAGCGAGACAGGCAATGAGGAGTGCGGCGATGTCAGATGTATGATACCTTCAGTTTGTTCTCTTTCTATTATTTAGTAGCTGGCCCTATTACACAAAGATTTCTGAAATGTAAGCGTGACAAAACTTCGAAGTGGTCGAGGATTTTGCTAAACTTTTTCTACACGAACTTCGTCCCGAAAACAAATGTTTCCTTCATTAGTGGAAATATTGTGGAGGAACGTGAGCGTTATTTTAAACAAGGTAGTGCCTAAAGTTTAGCTAATGAAAGATGACGGAATCGACGCTTAGCTTGCCATGTGTCCTAACATAGAATGATTTGCGCTAAGTTTTTCTCGAAGGAAAATTTTTCGTATGGAGCATACATTAAAGCTATGCATGGGCATACGTAAACATCATAATTAAAACACGTGCTTGAGTGGTCAGAGGTAACTGGCCAAATTCTGATTCAAGTTTCAAACACGGACTTTGTTATGCGCGAGTATTAAAAATACCAGAAATACGTGAAATGTTTATTATGTTAAAAGTTCTTATAGTCCTTCTTACTGTTAAAGGTCTTTCAGTTCGGTAAAAGTATATTTGGGTTTGGCTTTCTGGTACTGGACACCTGATTAAGTATGGACTCTAGTTTAATGGGAAAAAGCATATGCTGGAAATAACTGCCAGATAGAACTTCATATAAGAAAATGATTAGCTCACTTATTTACGTTCGTAGAACATATTATTTCAATATCAAACGGTTAAAATCAAACGCTTTAGAACCTATTATGCCCAGTCATTGCTAAGAAGTAATTAAAAGTACCGCTACAGAGGTGACGGTTCGTTTGCTGTGGAAAAATTTGTACCAGGAGTACCCCTTCGAAAAGATTTTCCCTAAAGTGATATCTCGATTTTAAAATGAATGTTAATTATCTTTTATGGGCCTTACAAAACCCAATAATAATACTGAACTCTGCTCCATGCAAATGACACGGGACACTTAATGTTGCGATGCTTTCGTTGCAAAATAACAACCAGGTGTTAGCGAGTGCTGGGTTTGCCTATGAATAACTGTTAACCCTCTCTTTCTCGCCATTAGGCTCTTTCATTGACCGAAAGGTCACTCTTTTGGGAAGTGCAAGTTAACTTTTCGTCTCTCCATACTCCTGTATAACTTGATATTATTACCGCAATCAGATTGTGAATGCAATGACCGTTACAATCCTAGTACATACTTAATCTCTTTAAAATATAGCTCGTCGAGAAGAAAGCTCACTTTTGAGACGGTACTCCATCACATAGTAACGCTAACGGCATCTAACGCTAACGTTTGAGATTCGAGTGTCACCCAACTGCCCATCACAGCCGCAGAGGAAATAATCTATGTACGATTGGATTATTGAAATACAAAGCAAAAAATCGTTACGTGCAAATATTGGCCTTGTGTTGAAAAAATTATATAATTTTTGTGAGCGTGCATAACACTAATCTAGTAGATCATCGTATTTGTATATGAATGTATCAGCCACTTTTTTATTTCGTATCCTGGTGCACACTGATTTTTTTCAGTGACTACGACAAGATGCCCAATAATGACTAATTGGCTTGAATGACTAATAGCGCTTGAATGTCCGCCCTACCCTGCAGTTCGTTCGCATGCAGAGTAATACCATAGCGTTAAAAAACCATCACCTTTAATTATAGGCGTTAAGTAGGCCGGTAACGCGTATTTTTGCTACATATCAAGTCAGCCGACGATATTTTATCATGTCAATAAAATTTCTAATTCGAGTACAATAGTCCAACGATAATAGACAGCATAAAACTACCTGATATGAAGCTCTGAGCAAAAATTCAGGCGATTCTTTTTTGGCTGCATAACTGTCAGATGAAAACTTATTATTTATTTTTCCTTAATTGATATGTTTTTATTTTTTCATAATTAGCAGCTAATTAATAATTAAAATAAATCAGTGTGGAAAGTGGGTTGGGATAAGATAGGTTTAGGTTGAAGCATTGTAAGAATTAAATTTTTCAACTTGATACTAGGTGACCAACCCTTAAACCGTCATACGTCGGGCCGAGTCGAAATTACCGGTTGCGTTTTAGGTTTACGCAAATGTGTTTTTCCCGGATAGCCGCAAACTATATTTTAATTATTAATTAGCTGCTGTCCGATGATATGTAGTGATTTAGATGTAGAAATTAATGTTAGCCGAACCGCGTATTTTTCTAACTTGGAGTCGTATGAATAGCTTGACTCATCATATTCTTATTTTTTTAAATTAACCTAGGTCTGAAAGCTGACATTGGGGGTGAGGTATGGGATCTTAGGTGAGACACTTGCGACTAAGCATTTCGCCTTGCTTTGTACTTTTACGCGTCACAATATCACCACACGTGTGCTGCGGTTTCGGCACTATCTTAGTTATATATCCTGTGTACTAGTCCACGTAATGAAGAAATCGAATATCTAAAGATACGAGGAGCAGCCATCGATATAATTGACTTCATCAACTTCATCCTGTATTTTTGTCGCCACAATCCTATGGTACTGGTGGCGCTGAGTTAACAGTCGGAATCTACCAACTGCGTGTCGTAGCGCTAACAGCTAAGTTTTTCTTGTTTTTGCTCTGTGTAGTTTGTTAAACTTTTATAGAACCAATATATTAGGGAGGAATCGAGATGTAAATCTTTCATGGTACCTAGTGAATTTCACCAATTAACGCGTGTTGTCAGTCAATAAAGAGCAGAGAGAAGTGTGGCGGCAAGCTTCATTTTGTAACCGAAATATAAACTAAATGACAGTCTGTCTCAGTTCAGCTTAAGTACTTCAGTTCACCCGAACGTTGAGCTGAATTGAGACGTTATCTAATTTTGCAAAATTTAACATAAAAATTACTTATGTGTATGTATTCAGACCAGTATCGTAATAGCTTAATGGCCGAATTATAATACTAGGTAGAATCAAAATGTTTCCTGCGCTAGATTTTATAAGCTTTAAATTAAAAACGTCCAAAATCATATATTAAAGAGCACCTCGCCATTAAAGAGGTTGTCGCTAAAGAGCGTATGTTACTTTCTAAAAAGATCGGATACGTAGAAATTAAATCTATTCTAAAATTGTATTTGTCTTGTTACGGTTATATCTTGCCCTTTTCATTGACATTTTTTTGCAATTTCTCTCATCTTATATATCAAAAATTATATTCGTTGCTAACATTAACCTACGGAAAAATCCTCTAATGACCTTTTTGATTATCAGGTCATTCAGTAGGAAATACGCCCGAAATGTTAATTAATCCATCTTCCTTTTCTTTTTATAACAGTGCGCTTTTTCGCCACTGACTGTCTTTGTATTTTTGAGATGCACTAGCGTCTCTTAAATCTGAAACAGTCCGACCATGCGAATATCGCCACTTGGGCTTTCAGTAGGCAATTTTCAATGAGTTATAAAAAATTCAAGAAGTAGACTGCTTCACGAATCTGAGTCCGGCCTGTTGCTACAGACGCAAAGACCAGTTTCCGGAAAGATCAGCTATTGAAGGTTCCGTGAGCCAGTGACAACATTTCAGGGAAATAACTTTTAAATTCGAAAGTAAATTTTAAAAAATCAAGTTAAAAAAAAAGTCCCGGCAATCTTTTAATAGAAAAATTGTTCAAATCTTAACTTGATGTCGCGAAATAAATGAATTACCATCCGAAAGGAAGAAGGTCATAAATAGTGACGGACATATTCTGACTGAAAATAAAACAACTGATTATCTTTGTGGAAAAATTCATTTCAATTAGAAAATAGTTTGATGTCGATGCGATTAGATGAGGTCGCTAGTAGGTAGGGCTTTAAGTGTTCTTTAAACGAACTCTCAAAGGCGCCTCTGTGGGTCAAGAAGGTTCCATAGAGGTTCATTGGTATTTTGTAGTCTCAATAAGCCATGGGCTTGCGACCACATCAGCTAAGAAGAACTGCGTCAATATACGCTACTAAATCAGGAAATTGATCGGCGTAGTCGACAAATCTCAAACAATCATTTGCTAAATGTTACGCCTTAATTTAATAGTAATGGTGCCACTCGTGGCAGCCACCGTCAGAGACAGAATACCAAAGCCACTATTAATGATTATGTTTAGTTGATATTTGTAGTAGGACATCTAGTAAAAATGTTCTTCTGTGACATTGCACGAAAGTGTTTTCCGCATATAAAAAATATTTCAAGGTTCAAAGATGCCTAAAGGCAAATACGTTTGGCGTCTAAGCTCAGGCCCTTACGTTGTTTATTATTACTAAGCAATTAGTATATTAGATCGCGAGCTCAGTACAACAGCGTGTTTATGAAGAATAAAATAAATGGTGCATTTTATTGTTTGTTATTGAAATTTGGATTTCTAAGAGTCGCCAAGGCTCTGCCTTAGAAACAATAGATTGAAAGCTTTTCCATTCTCTTTGGCCTTGTTAGGAACGTTTTCGTTTGGCTATTTGTCGTATATGGGTAAAATATTCTAACGATACATATGTGGTCTAATTATTATTAAGAAACGAAATTTTAAAGCACACCATTACTTCATTTTGTTATTCCGTAGGTATCTGGCAAGCAAACTTATTTGATATCGAAAAAATAACCATATTACACCTCTTATCAGGATCGAAGGCTAGCTTCTGGGAGAAAAGCGAGCGATATCGTTGACTCAGCGTTATACGTTAACGTTTTTTTTTTTCTAAATGTTACCTAAACTATATTAAGCCAATATGAGGTGTTTACCGAGCGGGTAAGCATTTGAGTATGTACCTGACTCTACTTTGGTTTACCAATAGGTAACCAATGATCTTAAACAATTTGCCCAAAGGTTGGTTTACCCTGTTTTTTTGAGCCAGTTCACGTTTCGGTCTCCATCTTTAGGGACAGTTGATTTTTATGGGACTGCTGTTCCTGGATATCAGCTTGCACGCTGATTCACAAATTCAACTTCAAAAATCAAGTAATTTGTTGCATATTCCTATGGAGGCCAGTTTTGGAAAAGCAGTATGTGCTCTACATGAAATGCCCTGATTCTGCCTTTAAGCATAACTATGTGCGAAATGATGATTGATAGTGCGATTTTTCTCTTAATTATAAAAAAAGCTTTGGATGAAGCTTTTGGATCAACCCCATAGAGATGAGACTCCAGAACAGCTATCAGCCAAAGAATGCCTAACAGACAAAAACTACGTACTGATCCGCGGCACGTTCGACTATACAGTTATCATTCTTGGGTTCGCTTCCAATGAAGACAATCGTCAGGTATCCCATTAGTAGCTTTAGCACTCATCAGTAATTATAACAATATCGAGTCCATTCATTCTTTCGAAATCGACTGATCAAGCATCACGTAACGACACTCACCTTGGTATGATTAAGGTTCGTAGGTTGGTACGCGCGTTATGTAGGCGCGATGATGAGGGTGATCGTAGACGTCCTATTATTCAGTCCTCGTCGACCCTTTTACACTTAAATTCGTTATTTCGCACGCCTGGTTGCCTGTTCCTCCACCTGCTGCTTTAATGCTTTTTCGTCTTCCTACTTCTTTTAATATAAGGAGACCAACTTTGCTTCGCCGTGTGTGACCGACATTCACCGATTTCGATTAAACGAAAAACAGAGATCTATTTTTCGGACGCGACCGTTTCCTCAACTACGCTGGGCAATGAACGACGCGCGCTTTTAAACCACCGGCACACGGCACTGACTCAGGTACAGACGAACCTATCGGCTGCAGCTAGACTGAGTACAGAGCAGCATTGCTCCTACCCGAATACACTCCCCGGAACCTGAAACCCGCATGTCCTGCTCCCACAGATCCCTGCGGGCAATTTCGCGCGCAAAACTCCATACCCCCTTCCAGTTGCCGGCTTCTGACCCCCATCAAACAGTGGCATTCAGTTGCACTACGGCTGCTGCCAGATTTGCAACCGCCTTCAAAGTTGGGGGTGAATGAGAAAGAGCGTTGTGGGCGGAGCCTACGAGAAAACTATAAGCTCAGAAGAAGAGGGTTGATGTAAAGTGCGAGCGCCACGCTACAGCCACAACTACAACTGCAACCAGCCAGATATCCAAGCCGCCATCGACCACGCTTACGTATTAGATAATACATTGCAAAATAGATACATCTGAGCTGCGCACTACGATACAACCCCACATACTCACAGCAGCTGGCGCCGCTGCGTCGGGTCGTGCCAATGGCATCGTCCTCCGGTAGTAGACCGGCCACTACCCCCCGCCTACAAGAGACGCCATTTCCATTACCACCACTTTAACGAGCCGCGTACAGGTTATCCCGCGTCGCTACGAACTCAAGTCAATACAAGCACATTGGCAGCTTGCTATACGTGGTCACACCCATGCGAACGGAATAAACACACAGACCGGTCGTATGCTAGTCAATCGTTTATAGAAATAAACGTAGCGAAATGGTTCCGGATCGCCTACTTATTTGCTGCTTGTCAATTATGATTGGCGGTAGATGCCACTATTCTGTGTACGAACATAAGCCCTTACGACAGCAATGGAAGCGCTTTAGAAATAGGAAGCCGGCAAAAGTGAATGAATGTCTTGTAATGAAGTCAAATGACAACACAGACTAAGTCGAGCGTACACAGTTGTCACTGTTAATGTTCCTCTAGTGACATATCTATAGACTATATGAAAAGTATGATTCATCGTGTTTTGTTATGTCATAACAAGATCAAATAATCAAAGGGCCACTTTTCAAGAAGAGCATAAAAGCTTATTTCGTTCTATGAAGGAATTGCTATTTACGTTTATGACCTAGTGGACCTGATAAACTGTATCAGACAAAGTAGCTATTAATATCGAATCTTTAGGAACGATGGAGTATCTTCTAGCACCTGCTCCGATTTGCTACTTTTTCTGTTTCCAAAAATGAGAAACACTTCGAAATACAACTCACTATACTGTGACTACCTAGAAGATGGCAAAATAAAATCAGGCCACATCAATCTCTAGCCTTCTAATACCTTCATAAATATGCCACTCATTCCTACCAGCCCGTTAAACGATGATCCGGGTTGGGTTGGAGTGAAGAACGGAAGAGAAGTTGAAACTTGTGAGTAGTAGCGTAGACGAGAACCAGTTCAAACAGAGGCGTCGATTCCCACACGCACTCCGCATAATATAGACCGTAATACTCCCTCTACCTCCAGTTTGAGTGTATTAATTTCAATGTGAATTCCAGCCCGTTAGGTACGACGTGCGAAAATAGCAGAAATAAAACGCGTTCATTTTCTTTCATCCTTATATTTGTCGGCCACTTCTGTCCCTGACATCTTTAGATCTGGTGTTTAAGCACTTTTCCGGTTCTTCGTGAGTTTCAAATGCACCGGGACAAATTTCATTCGTAAGTGACAGGGAAACGCATGAAGCACTTGGTGCGGCGCTTGAAGAACATCATTATCTTCGTACTGCCGTAAAGAAACCATCTTTTATCACCCGTAATAACTGTAATAGTAACCTGCCATGGGACGTTGAATTTACACAAAGCTGTATGTTATTGTGCTGTTCTCTTAATTTATTGGGCATGGAGCCTCTATTTGTTGTTGAAATCCTTCTCTATCAATCCACAAGTCCCAGATTGGCTGTTTTCTTACAAAGGTGTCTTCAAACCGCTTTTATCGACTGACTGAAAAGTGGTGTAGTCTCCGGGGGCAAGATGGTAACTCTAATCTCGGCCGGCCGTTTGTCGGCTGCATGCAGCGCAAATACCTCCGTCTGTTTTGTTAAGTTTTTTTTGATCGAAATAAAATAGGTGTCAAAAATGTACTCCTTCTTCATCTGAAACGTCAGAGCTCGAAACTAAAATGAAGACCCATTCACTAGACGAAACCTTAACGGAACGACGATAAATGAATGGTATATAGTAGCAGTAGACGACCAGTGGGTAGGCAGAAGCAACAAGAAGAGAACATTTGTTAAATCACTTCTCTATTACACATATATGTCGAGTAGGCTTTGGTCGAATATGATAGTAGCACAAGCATTCGACTTCCTACCGTGGCGGAGTCGGTAAAACACCGGATTGTGGGTCGAGTTCCTTGCATATTTTTTTACACCTATAACGCCACAGTGAGACTACATTTAATCAGCTTGAATACTGCAAGGATTTGTACAGTTATCAGCAAAAAAAAATTGAACTGTACAAATTGTGGACGAGACCATTTCATATTTATTAAATTTGAACGTGAGACGCGTTCAACCGCGCTAAACTATTGCTCTCTTTTGAGGAGATACGTCTGCTCCATCGGGCGGATTACAGCCCGAGTACGGCGTCTGCTATTAGTGATAAACATTCGCACATGTTTGGTCTAAACACTTAGGCTCTCGAAAATATCAACCAATACGGATAGACAAAAAAAAACAACACTTCGCTCAGTCAAATTTACAAAATGAACCTAGAGTAATTGTCATGGTAGACGAACCTGCAAAAGTTCCCCTAACAATGCTATTTTGAGATGTGTTCATCTAGCTCTTTGTAATCGAGTTACAGTAATGAAGCCTGCAAAACAGAGCGCCTCCAAAGACGAAAATTGTTCAGCATCTGATTTAGTTAAAAATGACAACGTTTCCAATATGTCTTCGTATATTTTACATATTTCACGGCGGAGTTTGTGCTGGTTGTCGGGTAAGCAATCACACGTACACGTTGTTGTGTACATTATAGATCACATGCGGGCAATAGCCTATACCCATACAACGGGTCTAGACCCACATAGGCCAAAAGCTTTGTAAATAGTCGAACGCGTTGTAAGTGAAACCTATTCAACAAACGACCTTCGGCAAACAGCGATACCTATGATTATTTGTAGAGAGAGAGAGAGAGAGAGAGAGAGAGAGAGAGAGAGAGGAGAAAAGCTTTGTCGGTTCTGGCACCCTGACAGCTAGGTCCTATTCACGTTTTTGTTCACAAACATTTCGGATGCCCTTTAGAAGCATTATGCTTCCCTCGAATTTCGTGTTTTCCATGAATGGCAATCAGAATAAGCTGTACTTGCGACAGGCTGGTTGCAAATGGGTTCTACGAATAGAAGATCTCTGACGAAAAAAAACCTGCCAACTTTTGCAGGTTTATGCTGTGTTGTAACTTAGCGAAAGGACCAAAACGTATTTTGCTGCGCATACAAAGATCCTGCAAAGTTAGCACTAAAAATAATTAGCCTATTTTAGCCTAGTGGGTTGTTACGTCTAACCAGTGGCTGCGATCTCGTATGCTGAGCATACCAAATAAGACCCATAGGAATCCTGTTGTGGGACCATATGTAGCCCATTGAAGCCTATAAGGAATATTATAGGAATAATATGTACTGCATAAGGAATATTTTTGATAGGATCTTTTAATGCGATTAGTGGCGGCGCTTTTCCGTGTGACTCTTATAGCATTAAGTACTCCTGATCGAAACCTGTTATTTTTTTGTCTCACAATTAAGATATAAACTAAAGAAGTATTAGTTTTTAGCTTTCAAAGAGTGGTCTAGCTAAATGTACCACTGTTCGAAAAGGTTCCCATTGTAGGCTTATTTTATATAATTTTCGTGCAGTCTGCAAATAATAAAATTGGTTGAATTATCATTAATAGGACACTGCATGTCCAGATTATCGGATAACTTCTGCAGACGGTTAATTCTGTGTACTAGTCTAATCGCGGCACAAATCAGGCCTATAAGACCCAATGAAGCTTCAAATATTCCATACCTAAGTACAGGTTATCATGAAAGTGGGACGTGGATTGCTTGAAATTTTTGGATGTCCTATCATCATCGTTACGTCGTATTTCCCATTTCGAAAACTGGATTCAAAGACTCGTTTTCAGCTAATAAAGCATTAAGCAAGCGGTAACTAGATAGACGACCACGTTCCATGCCTCGCTGAAGTATGCCCGAGCTGAACCTACGTGTAAATACTTTCTAAGGGACTCACGTGCTTAGTCAGCTTTATTAACTTAAGTTACATGGTAAGTGATTTTCAATAAGTCTGCGTATTTCTCTTTACCGTTTGCAACGAATCACAAATACAGTATTTCGATTGCTGACCGCCAGCTGGAGCTAGGTCCTATCGCAACAAAATTCTTTGTGTGCGAGTCGACTACGGACGTACGCTGAAAATGCGTTAATGTAAAATGTAGCATTTATGGCAGTCTATCACTGTTCATTCGAACGCTCTGTCCCTTTGCCAAGAGTTTCAGGCGCCTTTGATAAACTAACATGTGAGTTACTCTAGAAATTATGCCATATGAAACGTCAGCCTGAAGACGGTCTGACATCATAGGCGCTGAATTTGCTTATTACGAGCATTCAGCATTTAGATTCTTGTTTGTAAAATCTAAAACGAAAAAACTCTAATTCAGCTGCTTTTTCAATCAGAACGATACTTTGTACGATTCTAGTTTCAAACGTAGCGTCCTAATGTCTAGAAATATCGGACAGGCCAATCATCATATTCGTGGCCACGGGCATGGGATAGGTCCTGCGGTAAAGGTTCGGCGCGTGTGTATTTTGCGTAAAACGCAGACGATTCCTTCGACAATTCGAAATCTATGAGGTGATATGTTTTGACGAGATCCTGCATACGGAATGTGGTGCATGCTATGAAGCGTCAGAAAACGCAAGAAGGCTTCACTGTATCACAGTAGCGCTCAACGAGTTACAGCTCAACGGTCGACTCATTTGATACAAGCAACAAGAAAAGAGAAACGAAACATGTCTGCAAGCTT